CCGAAATCTGTTGACTCCTGGAAGATCAGCTTGCGAGCACGCGATTATTCGCGTATGCGTTGCGCCCCAGACAACGGTGTCTTTTTGCGGAGCAGTACAGCGGCGCTACCGGGCGAGTGGGAAAAGCTGCTAGCAACGACTGTCAAGAGATCGCACAGACATGATACTCTGCTGAGCGATATCATGGGTATTGGAGAGTGCCTACAGGCCATCATAAAACCCACAAGCATTCAACTATCGCTGACTGATATGAGTTATTGACATCATTTATTTACACGTACTTGCGTACAGCTCAATCTATTGTGCGTGCTTTCCCCTTTCCGTTTCCCTTCGATTTATTTTTGTGCTCTGTTGCGCCGCTTGTTTTCGAAGGAGCGTGGGATTCACCATTGACAAGTAACAGTGGTTGAGGTGTAACGAGCTCCGAGCAAGCAGCACCGGCGCTCAAGCTGGTACCACCATCAACGGGGGCTGGCATCGGTCCATCTTGGATCGAGTACCCCATACCACTGAGTTTGTCCTGTAAGTGCCTGCGCATCTGCTTCAATTCGTCGCCTCCCTCTCCAAAGCCAGATGTATCCTTGTTCTCCGGAGTTTCAAACTTCAAGCGCACTTGCCGGTAGTGTTCCATCTCTTGTGCGCTGACGCTAGGCACGAGCTCACGCAGTGCTGCTTCAAAGTCGGACTTGTTGACCCACACCTCGCAGTCGCCGGGCTTTGCTAGTTCGGCGAGATAGTATTGCGGGGTGAGGGGATAAGGGTGCTCATATGGTGCGGGGCGAGCATTCAATTCGGCTGGGTGAGGAGAGCATGGTCAATCAGCAACATGCAACCAGTCCGTTAGCTTGTACGCACCAATCTTTGCGTCAACCTCGCTAGCTTTTCGCGTCATCGCTTTCAGCATCGCGTCTGAGCAAAGCGCGTAAAAGTCTGCGCCAGTCAAGTTGAACGGACATTGCTCGGCAACGACGCGGAGGTCTCCCAGATCCGGATCCAGTTTGAACTTGCGCGTCAGCGCCTGAAGAATATTGAGCTGGGCGCCATGTGTCTCGGCAACAGAGAGATAGAGCAAGCGATCAAATCTGGAGGATTTGAACCGAAGGATCAGTTTCCAGGATGCGGCTTCATCTAAAAGTTTGCACATACCTTCCAGGACGGAGCAAAGCGGGATCTAGGAGATCTGGCCGGTTGGTAGCGCCGATCACAAACACGTCCGTACCCTCCTTGCTGCCTGTCATGCCATCGAGCTCGGCGAGCAGCTGGCTGACAATGCGATCCATGACGCCTCCAGAGTCACCCTGGTTGCCTCTCTTTGGAGCGACTGAGTCGAGCTCATCAAAAAAAATGACGCACGGCATGGCGTCTCGCGCGCGCTGAAATACGCGTCGTACGTTGGCCTCCGACTCTCCGATGTACATGTTGAGCAGCTCTGGCCCCTTGACAGAGAAGAAGTTGAGCGAACAGGATGTAGCGACTGCTTTCGCGAGCAGGGTCTTTCCTGTGCCTGGAGGACCATACAAGAGGATGCCGCTGCGCTTCTTGAGTCCGTCGCTGAAGAGTTCCGGGTGCTCGAGCGGCAGCTGGATCGTATCCAGAATGTCGTTTTTAACACTTGCAAGGCCGCCGACGTCGTCCCACGTGACATTCGGGATCTTTGGTGCGCCAATGCTCTCACTATAGTTCGATCTCGCTTTCCCGAGAGCAGCCTCGAGATCAGCTGCGCAAAGAGTGATGCCTGCAGCTTGCAGCCTGGTTTCGGAAAAAATCCTAGGTCTGCAATGGAAAAGCATAGTCTCAGTAGGAAGAATCGAATAGCACTACGAGCTCTACTCACATCGCCTTAAGCAGACGTTCAATAGCAGCGGCTTTTGCTCGCGCAGCCAAGTTGGAGAGATCAGAGGCGACGAGTGCTGCAGTCTGTGTAGCCAGCGACTTGAGCGACACGTCTGGGCTGAGGGCAGTGGCACCGAGAGCAGTTTGAATAATCTCTAGCCTTTCGGCCTCATTCGGAGCCTCAAAGCTAATCTCGTGCTTGAAGCATCCCAGCACTCCTACAGGGCTCTTGTCCGGGTCACTTGTCGTCGCAAACACAGCGACCGGTAATGGCAGCGCAACAGCACGCTTACCTTTCTTGCCTGCCAACGAAGTGCGCTCGCGCAGCTCCTTGATGCAATTGGTAAGCACAGACGTCATATGCGGCTCCTGCCCAGTCTCCATCGCCTGTGCCTTGCGCGCGAGCGCTTCGATGTTGCGCAGGAGCAAAATCCCCGGAGCGCATTCTGCTGCCTTGTCAAAGCGCGCACGGAGCGTGCCTTCTGTGCGGGTCTCCGTGTCGGAGACCAGCTCGAAGCAGTCAATCTCCAACAGATGAACGCCAAGATGCTGTGCGACCCAGCGGACTACCGTCCGCTTTCCACAGCCGCGTGCACCCTTGAGGAGGACGGTGAGGTGCAGGCCAAACGCGGCAGAGCGTGGGAGGAGGGTCGCTTGGACTAGATTGACAAGCTTGGCATAGGGACTTCCCTCATCCGTCAGCGCGCCGGCAGCCGGCAGTGGAGGCGAGTCGACTTGTACACCGAGCCAAGATGTGGCGTCGGGCACCCTGATATTGCTGACACCCGTCTGCACCATCTTGCTCAGATTGCTGTCCACCACGCAGCCAAGCTCACCCGTCCAGGCCATCGACTGAAACCCGAGCTGCTCTTCGCCTGCGAACTCGTCCGATTGCAAGGGATCCAAATCTGCAACGATCGATATAACTTGGAAGTACACGACCGCGGTCGGCAGCAATGCGGCTCCTTGCGATTGCGCTGCTGGAAGGTCGAAAGCCGCAATATCTTGCTCTCCCGGCCCGCTGCTGGCTTGCTCGCCTCCACCGTGCTGCTCTTTCCCCTCCGCTGCGTCACCCTTATGTATCCATCGCACTTTGCGTCCATCAAGCGAAACGGCAATGACGTCGCCTTTGCGCACAACCCTGCGCCGGCCCTGAAAATAGGACCTGAGGGAATCGAGGAATAGCGTCTGATAGTTTTTGTCAATGCTGATCGGTGATGCTACGCGGCCGACGGTGAGAGACTCGGCAAAAGGAACCGGCGCCTTACCTCTTGCTCTCGCAGTGAGCGGAGGCAGCGAGAACAGAAGGATCTGCCGAGAGGAGGCGGGGCCCACGTTATTGCTATCACCCCTGTGCAGGTTGCGATAGAGAACTGGAGACAAAAAGGCATGCCGAATCAGTCGCGACGGTCCTACGCCGCTAGCACCCGAAAGGTTTTGCGTCCGCGATGCAAAGACGCGGACCAGTTTTTTCGGGCTCGAGGCGCCGTCCTTTCCTGCCAACGAGGCCAACATCCAGTCTCCGTCGAACGAGCCCATGGTCGCCAGACTACCTTCTTCGAGAAGAATCACGCTCTCCTCATCCAGATCTTCTTCCGACTCTTCGGTATTCGCTTCCTTCCAGACGATATATGCCTCTTGCACGGGCTCTTGGCTCTCAAGCAACACTGTATGAAAGGGGGTGGCTTTGCCGCGGGCTGATGCTAGTGAGCGCTCGCTATTCACCTCGGCCGATTTCGGCTGTGTAGGTGTGAGGAATGACGCGCCTTCTATGTCCAGGCCTCCCAGCTGTTGCGAGAGGAAGCTCTCGTCAATGACTACGTCTTCATCCTCTTCCTCGTCAGCCCCATCGTGGTCCTCGGCCGTGCTGCCATGATTGTCCAAAGCAGAGATGTTACTTGCTTCGCTAACCCCATCCTGAGAGATGCTTGGGTCGTCTATGCCCAGCACTGATGCGCTGGAATATGTGAGCGTGATATTTGTATTTGCAGCAAAGACCCCCTGCAGCACCGGCTCTGTCATGATGACCTGGAATATGGCTTCGCCGTGTGAACCGAACCCCAGCGTGAGGTTCTCTCCCTGGCGAATCAAACGGCCTTGTAGGGCGTCTTCCAGGCCCAGCTTTCCCGCTTCAACGTCTCCAATGATTGAGCTGTTGCCTGTGGTGAGCACCAGCGAGCATAGAAGTATCGGCTCATGTAGCTGAAATTTGATGGTTGAGGCTGCAAGACGGGTGGAGCGAGGGAAAAGTCCAAGATGCTTTGCCAGTGCTGGAGGCACTAGCACGAAGTTCTGAAAGAGATCGGGAACAGGATGAGCAACTCGATCATGCCAACTTATTGTGAGCAGCTAGCCGCCTCACTTCTTCCTGGGAGCGCGATCCATCCTCAGAAGCCGGCCATGCTCTGGCGCAAGCTGCCTTGCAGACCAAAGTAGGCCACTTAGCCGTGTGTCTTCCTCGGCCTGAGGAGGTATGTCGAGGATACTCGATGGCCACATGTATCGTGCTGTCGCCTCCGCGTTCTTCTTGAGCCAGCGCAGGCAATCTACGAGCTTGTAATACCTGTTCCCATAACGCCGAGCCCAGTTGCACTGAGTGTTCCTCGTGGCCTGGTCGAGGCTCGAGTGGATCTTCGCTGAATGCCTTGGCCCAAAAAACTGGCCGACTCCGCCGAGAAGGCATATTCGCAAATGGACATGAGCAACTCGCAGCGAGCGGGTGCTTGTTCGGTGTCAGGCTCAGGCTGCTCCTAATGCGACTGTGCACTTCAAGGGCCGTATATCATCCGTTCCCAAGCCGTTCATTACAAGCAGATGACCCTCGTTATCATCACCCTGTTCGAAGGTGTCTGTCACTTCTATAGGAAGGCCGGGCTTTCATCTGGGGCAGGGCCCGGTCTTTGGCGCTCCGGCGTGATTGCCGGCAGCCGAGCGAAGCACGAGAGCAGTGAGTGAGAGAACAGCTGATGTACAAGAGACGCGACGCGAGTGAATCGAAGTGGAGTCGTCCGAGCACACATATTTCCCAATCAGGGTTCTGGAGAAGCAGTCTCAACAAGCTTTGACGACGGCACTTTGTTCACTTATTCACTCGCCTGTCAAACTCTCGAGGGGAAGTATTCTGAGCCTGTGCTCCAGGTACCCTGCGTCGCTGCTCGCCAGGAAAGTGCATCATCGCTCTCATACAGTGCTCAATGATGGTTGTCGAGCAGCGCGTCCCTTTCGAGGGCCTTGCGTTCCCCTCGACGCGTTCGTCGACTTCGTGAGCTCCATGTTGACACAATATCGCGCCTATCAGCACGAGCGGCTGCACGACATCTTGATGGACGACACTCGTGTCCGGCCAGATGAACGCTCACTCGCGGAGCTGCGCTCTACTATCGTTGCGCTCGACTCTCTCTGCCGCAGCGTCGTCGCTACCGATCACTCGGCGTGGACCTCCAGCAGCGAGTATCAGAAGAGTCGGACAGAGCAAGAACGCGCTCTAGAAGTTCAGAACAACAGTCCAGAACAGGCCTTGTTCCGGATCAGTTCGTATCTGGCGGACAAGCTGGACGAACGGCATGCCTTTGATGCAGCATTGCAGTTCACAAAGTATCGCATGGGCCTTCAGCACTTTGCAAAGCACAATTCAGAGAGCTTCGTCGTCGATGATGACGGGTCCGACGAAGCTGATGTTGCTGACTCAAGACAAATCGCTATGTTTCAATTTTTGTGAGGTTGAAGCAAGTGACATGCATTCCCCACCTCTCCTACTGATTGCCTTCTCTCTACGCCGCACAGAGAGCTTCTTGCAGACAATCCCACCCTGTCGCAACTTTTCGTGCCAGTCCGCTTCTGAATTGCTCTTCATCATTATTCTCTCTCACCGCATTCTACAAATCATCGCCTTTGCATCTGCAAAAGAGCAAATATTCATACGCTGCATGATCCTCAGCGCGCCGTCACTGCTGATCGCACTCAGCATCCTAGTCCTTCCTTTTTTTATCATGTCCTCCAATAGTCGCAAAGGGTACTTAGAGCGTTGCCTCGACTTTTTCGTGTATGAATATACACACAGTCGGTATAAAGGTAATATACCTCGATCTCAAGCAAGGAAGTCGTCCTGATGATGAGCTCAGATCTTGGCCTGAGCCAAACATCTCGCGCTTCATCTCGAGATGAAGCTGCTCAAGTACCGTACCGTGGGAATTAAAAATGAAACGGCGGTAAGCAAAGCGTGCTGTGTGAACCCGAAACTCTTGTCACTCGACCATTTCTTCTGCGCAAGATGACCCTGACCCTCAATTTCCAACCTCTTCGTCGTCGTTCAGACACCAGCCGCTTGAGCATCGCCACGAGCAAGAAAAACAAGCGTGATTACATTCTCGCGTTTGGCATGCTGGAGATATGTGCGACCGAGGCCAGGCGTACCTCCCTGCTGGTAGCACTATCGCATTTTACGAAGGAAAGAAGCTCCTCGTCGCTCGCGACAGCACCAACCTACTAGCGTTTCTCCACAAGGACGAGGTCGAGCCGATTGTAACGCTGCGGCCCCTTCCGGCAAAAATCGCTGATGCGGTCTGGAAGTTTGTCGATCATCATTTCACAGTCGTCTACTGCTACCCCTTCAGCGACCAGTTCCACTATAGAGTCTTCTAACTAACCGCTCACTCTTCACTCATTTGACGATCTGGAAATGCTCCCCCTGTCAACGGCTGTGGTGCAACACCTACCACCCGCAACAGTCAACCCATTAACGTCTGAAACCCTTCCCCGCATCGACTGTGAGTATGTTGTATTTGCATCGTGCGGCGTGCTGGTTATCTCCGTCAGAGCCTCCGACTCAGATCCCATCTGGCTGCTAGTGGAAGTCGACAAGATCGACCCGGCGCGGATTGCGCTCCAACATCCAGCACGCGAAGTCGGCCACGGATGGCACGCCTGGCGATTTGGACTCACGTTTCTGTCAGGGGAATTTGCCACGATGGTCATCTACGGCAGCTTGAGCCCGACGGAGCCGCCTGCGATATGCACTCGCACGTGCAGAAGGGCACCGAGCGAAGTGTGTACATGTACCTGTGGGAACCAGCGGTGGTAAATATGACCCCGTTACACGCCCCTTTGGCGCTGCCAACCGCGATTCAAGTTTGCGAGCTCTTCACTGATGCGCAGCTGACAGGTGTGAGGTCATACACTAGCCACAAGGGTGGCCCATGGGCAACGAGTGCATGGGTCATTAAAGCAAGGAAAAGGGCGTGCAATCTGCGCGCGCATTCCATGTGTGTCTGGATTGTCTCGGCCTGAAGTGGAAGGCACACTCGCAATTTTTCTCCGATCGCGTCGCAAGTGGCCGCTGATATCCAATTTGATACCAAGATCAGTATGAGTGTCCAGGATGTGAATGATGGAAGCAAATGTGACAATTCTCGTTGTGGAGAATCGTCAATTCTCGTGAACAATCCTCTTGTACAACTCATTTGCTTCTTTGAGCCTACTGTGAGCCAGTGCAAACTGCTTAAGCATTACAAGCAGCGCTTCGCGATATTGCTCGGCTGCTTGCAGCTGCTGTGATAGGAGCGCATCACTGGGAACACCGCTGGTAGAGTTGGCCTCAGCCAGCGGATCCGATTGGAACAACAAGGAGGCTTCAAGCAGCGATAGAACAAATTGACAGATCTGGGAGCGCCGTTATGCAATGTTGCGACTCAGTTTGGTTCTGTCTCCGCTCGCAACATCAGTCCGAGCTCCACTCACGAGATTGACGCCTCGCGCGCGTTCATCGTCACTCATTTCATCCCCGTCGCCAGAATCGCCCTGCCGTGAGACTGCATTTATGGATCGAGAGATGAACGGAGCGAGAGCGTATTGTCGGATCAGGTCCGAAAAAGCTGTGTTCTCGGGAGTGAGGGGGCCAGGATGGACAACATCGGCCCTGCGCAGGAGGCGAGAGAAAAGATCGAAAGTGCGCAAGGATAGAGGCAGATCGTGCAGTGCGCTAGAGTATGCCATCAGATCTGGCGCTTCCCTTCCGCTGCTTTCGGCCAGGCTAATGAGCCTAGAAAAAACCTCGAATGCCAGCGGACTGCTGTTCCTAGCGATGCCAACTGTAGTGTCAGCATCTGGAAGCAAAGCTGCCGGGAGTTGATTCACGACGGATGTGACGCGCTGCATAAAGAACGCGGCCACAGTCAAATTTCTAGCAGAGGCACCTAACACGACCTCGGAAGTGGACGCACCCTCATTTCACTCATGGTCAGTGTTCGATTCGCAGATTCGAGCAATAGGCGAGAGGCATCGCGCCATTCTCGGGGAATGTCGCTGCTAATAACGAGATCGAAAGCGGTCCTCGAGGCCAGTACACTCTGCCAGGAGAGTTCGGCGCCATCGTGTCAGTGACAGGCGGGGAACGCGGATTAAACTGGAGGGACCCTCACTAGCTGTTGCTGGTCGCCATTCGCCAGCGCATCCAAACACTGTGAGCCTCCCAAGACATTCCAAACCGACAGCACGGAGGCGAGTTCAGCCACGATATCTCTGAAGGGCTGAAGATATTCCGGTACGCCCGCGATCACGTAAGGGACCTGAGCGAGGTATGCTAGGGCGACTGCCTCTGCGGCGAGCAGGGCCTGTTCCTCGTGATGTGCACCGTCACGTTGTCTTAGACCAAAGTCTTGGACAGCAAGAGCACATAGCACGATGTGCTCCAGAAGCACTTCGAATTGGAACGCAGCAGGGATGATGCCCTCGAAAACCGCTCGAAGCTCCGTCAGGGTGATGTGCAAGGTCTTTTCATCGCACAAAAGCTGAGATGCTCGAAAGAGGTGTCCTTGCGTCAGGCTGGAGGGCGGTGGGAAGGGGGAGAGTCGGGGGGCATGGGTGGCCATGTGATCGCCTTGTTCATTTCGTTGCAGCTCGTCGTTTCTAGTCTGTTCGACGCTGACGCAGCTCAAATCTCGTTGTGCTCAATCACACCTAGTATTGAATAACACTGTCGATTTTGAGGTAAAGACCGAGAAGACAGGTGCTCCACCAACGAGGCCTTCGCATCTCATTGAGATCCTCGCGTGTCGACAAGTGTGTGTTCGTGCTACGGGAGCAGCGGGTGGACACTTAACCCTACTCTTCTCGCTGACTCCGAATTGCACTCCGCCAGCACTGCGTCAGTATCGTGCTCTCCTCTGCGGATGCATTGCTCTGCCAAAAAAGCCTTCTTGTTGCTTTTTAGGTGGGTGATGATTGATGAAACAGTCGGAGCACTTCAATTATTTACCTTCGAGACGTTCGCTGACATACGTGCTGCTGTAGGTGACGTCTTGAAATTGCTTCATGAGTCGCGGCTCGCAAGCACCATACACAGGGATCGGTATTTTCTCTGCTGAGCGCTGAACGCTGAGCGTTGAGCAAGTCTATCGCGGCAGACTTTCGCAATCCCATCAGCTCCGAGCTGTCAAAGGGGCTACTTGTGGGGGCAGCGACCATGGCGTCATCGCGACCGGTGCCCAACAGCCACACCCACGGACATGTACACGCATTGCTTCATCGCAAGAAGCGTGCTACTGGTGGACATGCGATCACTGCGAATGCTGGGCTCGCGGCTGGGGGCATTCTCGATGATCTAGACGACGAGCCTCCGTTCATCAGCTCCAGTAGAGATGCAAGCGAGGTGAGCTTGGCCAGCCCACGTGCAGCCTGCCAAAGCACGATAACTGACACCGGCTTCTCTTATCGGGTCCACAGGAGGACAACGATGATGCTTCTGGCTATTCTGACTCGGCCTCATCGCTGCGAGCTTCGCACCAACGAGAAGCGAGCATGACGCGTAGTGGCAGTGGTGCGTCCGGAGCAGCACTCGGCGCGCAAATGTCTGGATTTCCTACCTCTGCTCGAGACAAGGCCCTGGTCGATTCCAAGCCAGCAAGCGCAGCTCCCACAGCGGCTATCGGACAGAAGCAGCAGCAACACCAGTATTCTGCAGACAAGACACCTGCGAGTTCCAGCCCGCCGCTAGCCGCGGCCAGAGACGACTCAGGGCTCGCTGCAAGCATGGCGTATGCGAGCATCGGTGCCGAGGCGTATGCAAATCCGGCACGACGCTCGAGTGCACAGCGCTGTTCGCAAAAGGAGAGCTCGGCTATTCGATCGACACTGAACCAAGCAGCGGCGGCTCTGACATCAGCGTCCTCGACGGACCTGGTACCGCGATCTGCGCATGACACCGCGCTCTCTGCAGGGACTGCAGAGATTCCCCCTATGGCGATTACGCATGGGACTATGATGCCGGCTGGCCAGGTCAAGGTCCATTCATCGCTGCGGCGTGTGTCGTCGAGCTCTAGTGCGGGGAGCGACTACCCAGGTACTGCAGGTGCTACTGTTGAAAACAGAATCGATGAGGAACGAAAGGGAGAATCCTCTGCTTCGGGCGATGACCGTGCGCGCCGCAGTGGCAAACCCGCTGGCTCAGTCTCAGTGGCCGCCGGGTCCGCAGCAGGAGGAGCGGGGTCACACCCTCTAAACCTTGGAGCCTTGCCGATCACAGCGGCTACTGCACAAGGTGGTGTGACGCCAAAGGCCGAGTTATCAAACCAGCTCAAGCCCATCGCACCAGCACTGAGCGGGACTTCTTCTAGGCCAGCTGCGCGAACGCGCAGCCTCTCGGGCGTCTTGTCCGGCGCAGAGACGGAAACGCTAGCGGATGTCAGCGCTAACTCTGGTCGTTCAGAAGGCACGGCGTTGGAGGAGCGGAGCGGATATGTCGACCCAGATGGGACGACGCCGTACGATGGGGATGTCGAGTTCGCCGCTCGGACGACTGTCACGCAGCAGATCGCCTTGGGTGGCGCGGTTCCTGTCTCAAACAGCGCCTCTGCTTCAAATGTAAGCAACAAGCCTGCAGCTGCTGCTGAAGTGGCGGTAGCAGGAACCGGTGCGGCTGTTGCGAGCTCTTGCGTTCCACGCAATCTCTTCGGCAGTGCGCCAGAGGACGTGGGCAGCTCGAGCTGGGATGCCGCACCCGGGCAGACTCAGCTGGAGCAAGATCAAGGTGCAATCCAAAAGGCGAGCGTCGATGAGATTCGCGCCTACTTCCGCGATGCCATTTACGCGCCCAAGGAAGGGCTGCGGGATTACAAGATCATACATCCGCCTGACGGCGGCAACAATCCGAACCGACCGGTCCGGATCTATGCTGATGGTGTCTACGATCTGTTCCACTACGCGTGAGCACCCATGACTGTGGTGAGATGTGGGCACGGTACTGACGCTCAGAAGCGCGGCCTCTCCGTTGCAGCCACGCGCTCCAGCTGCGGCAAGCGAAGCTGGCGTTCCCGCACGTGCACCTGATCGTGGGCGTGTGCTCATCTGCGAACTGCGCGCAGCACAAGAACGAGCCGATGCTGACGTCTGCGGAGCGCTACGAGGCAGTGCGCAATTGCCGCTGGGTGGACGAGGTGCTGGAGGACGCGCCGTGGGTGATTGACCAGGCGCTGATTGACAAGCTGAAGGTGGACTATGTTGCGCACGACGAGGACCCCTACGCCGGCTCCGCGGCCGCAGGCGGCGGCGGCGGCGCTAGCAAGGACATCTACGCGTTCGTCAAGGAACAGGGCAAGTTCTTGCCAACGCGGCGCACGCCAGGCGTCTCGACAAGCGACCTGCTCGCAAGGATCGTCGACATTTATCGCCATCATGGACTCGATCAGAAGCTGGAGAAGATTGGCAAGGCGGCCCTGGCGTTCGAATGAAAGAAGGGGGGGGTTCCTATCAACCATGTGTACAGTCCGACCGCTTTTTGCAAAGGCGTACTACATTTGCATTTAGATTGGGCTCATCCTGCGCCGCGCCTGTCTTATCACGCATTTGGCGCACAAAGCGGGAGGAACACGTCCGCGTGTGATGAAGAAGCGTAAAGAGCGATCCACTCTCGGATCCTCATACTGTATTATGTACCGCTTCAGCACGCATGCATCATGGGCCAGTCAGCTTCGACACCTTGGTGATACCTCGTCAGACATCCATCGTCCATCGATCAATGACCCGGGCAGCCAGTTTTTTCCCACTCTGGAATCGAATGGGGTGTCAACAGACTATGTATGGCATGACACAGCAGACAGCAGACTGTGCGCTCTCTCCCATTCGCTCGTCGCGGAGTTTATTTCTCACAACGACGAACTACCAGCAGAAAGCTGGCTGGGGTTGCGATAATCACGCCTAGGGAAGAAACTCGGGCACCGGCAAAGTCTGAGTGGAGTGGAGTTGAAGAGTGCGCACATGCCACACGCCGCATTGCATCGCCCGCTATCCGCGCCCCATGCCGCAACCCACACTGGTGCAGTGCTGCTTCCCGCCTCACATGCACCCAACCCACCCCAGCCAAATCCAGAGCCAGAGATTGCGAGAAGTGACTCTGTTGGACGGTGGGTGGCGCATGCGCCGGCCATCGTTCTGGCAACATATCCATCCTCCGATCACCTACCTCTACCCACCTGTACCTCCACTCTATACCCCTCCTGTCGTGATCTTCTGTCCTCTCTCGCTTCACCACACCGCCGTCTGCGTCCCATCAATACTCTTCCTCACCCCCAGGCTCACACATACACCTTCCATTCACTCCCCGCTCCCTTCGTCAACGCGCGCTTTCTGCTCCAAAATGGTCAAGGCCGTCGTTGTGTGAGTGACACGCCCGGCGCTCGCCGTTTGTCCGCCGTGGCAGGAACGAAGGTTCGTGTCCAGCGCTGACCCTGCCAACTGTCCTGTTGCTTCCCCTCGCATGCTGCGCTATACATGCCGAACGATACGAATACAGTGGTGCTGCCGGTGGTATCGGTGCGTGTTACTTAACGACGCGAAACGATGAAATGCAGCCTGTTGACTGAACCCGCAAAATCGCACCAACAGGCCAGCCTCTGTCGCTGCTGCTCAAGCAGTCCACCCTGATCACTGACCTCGCTCTCTACGATGTGTGAGTGAGCTGCGGTCTCTATCGCCATCGATCATGCCACGGCCCATGCTGACATCCAGCTTTCCCTGCCTTGGGAACTTCTTCGCAGCGTCAACGCTCTCGGTGTGGCCGCTGACATTGCCCACATCAACACGCCTTCCATCGTCACTGGATACCTCCCTGACAAGAACGGTGGCTTGGACAAAGCGCTCGAAGGTGCTGACATCGTCGTCATCCCTGCCGGTGTTCCGAGGAAGGTGCGCACCTGCGACTTATCTACACTACATGACAAAAGATCCAGAAAAGTAACCCTTTCATTCCTTCAATTAATCGCAGCCGGGCATGACCCGTGACGACCTGTTCAACGTCAACGCCAAGATCTGCCAGGGCATCGCCGAGTCTATCGCCTCGGTTTCGCCCAAGGCGTTTGTCCTGGTCATCTCCAACCCGGTCAACTCGACCGTTCCAATCTTCGCTGAGGTGCTCAAGAAGAAGGGCGTGTACGACCCGAAGCGTCTCTTTGGCGTCACAACACTCGACGTCGTGCGCGCAAGCACATTCGTCTCTGAGGCGGCCGGCAAACCGGCAGAGAGCCTCAACTGGCGCGTCCCCGTCATCGGCGGTCACTCGGGTCTGACGATCGTCCCGCTCCTGAGCCAGAGCAACCCGAGCACGAGCTTCGATCAGGCCAAGGTGGAGGAGCTGACGAACCGCATCCAGTTCGGTGGCGATGAGGTCGTCAAGGCCAAGGACGGAGCAGGGTCCGCAACGCTTTCGATGGCGTACGCCGGTGCGCGCTTTGCCATCGCCGTGCTCGAGGCCGCCGTGGGCAAGGGAAGCAGCAGCCAGCCAGAGTACTCGTACGTCGACCTGACGAGCGACCAGTCTGGCGCCAAGGCAATCATCGACGTCATCGGCGACCAGACCGCCTTCTTCAGCGTCCCCGTCCAGCTCGGCAAGAACGGCGTCGAGAAGATCCTGCCTATTGGCAAGGTGAATGACTACGAGAGCGGCCTAATTAAGAAAGCTGTTGAGGACCTCGCTGGCAACATCTCCAAGGTCAGTGCAGTGCGAACGATCCCTGTGGTCCGCCAGTGTATGTTCCACCTCAGGACCCTGTCAAGCTGACACGCCCGCACCTTTCTTCCAGGGCGTCGCTTTCGTTGGCAACGCCAAGATCTAGGCTTGCTGAACATAACCAATGTCTCGAACCAATCGACCGTAGTCGACTCAGCACGAAGACAATCGAAAACGTGCGGAAAATGTGACCGCCCCTTGGCAGCTCCTTGTACAGGGAGCAGGCATGATTACTTTACGAAGGAGCGCAATTGATCGCATATTGTTAGGCTGTCTCTTCCCCCGCACGATCATTCGCTTTCCTGAACGCTGCAAGAGTACAAGGACGCTGCTCGCGCAGCACATGATCAACCGCACGATCTTTCAGGCGTCCGTTGCTAGCTGCGATGTGAGGTAGGAGCAGAAGGACTGGAAATGCGTGTACGACGCGCCGTATAGCCAGCGTGCGTTGAGTTGCATCGAGTTCTGCGTTCGTCCGCCTGTGGCGGCGGCATCTGCGCGTTCTGAGTTGCACTTCGGCTCTGGTTCAACATACGGATCTGGATCTGAGGTTGACGCTGAGTGGAGGTCGGATTCGCTGCCAGGGTCGTGGCGCTGGATAGAGAGCTCGGCGAGTAAAAGTGGCTCGAAAGCCGTTGTTCTGCTGCTTCCGTCGTCTTTGATTCTGTCTTGACCCGCACCGCCGTTACGCGCTTGAGCTTGAGCCTGCTTCCTACGCGCAGCCCTGTTCCAAGTGATCGAGCTCACGGCGACGTGCCAAGTCGGGCCGATTTGATCTGCATCTGCCGCTGGCCTTACAGATCGGCGCATGTGGACAGCGCCATAGAGCGACGCGAGTATATCGTCCAGCTGTCTGATTCGCTTGCTGTCACCATCATGCACCGTGCCAGACGCCATACCGTGGGAGCCGCCCCGTCTTTCGCACGCCCATCGGATGATAGCGTCGCGGCGGGGAAAAGGCGGGAGGATGCTCGCGAAGGCCGTGCACGAGGATGGGCTCAATCCGAGGGAGAGCGGGTCCAGACGCAGGTATGTGAAAGACCAGGCTATCACCCAACGCTTCGTCTCGCCTTGCAGCAGTTCTGTGACGAGGTAATTGTCGATCTGCCAAGTGATGTGCGCAGTGAGCGAAGATTGTGTACGGTACGAGAGACGATGAGACATACCTTATGCACCTTGAGCTTTTGCACCACCTCGGTCACGCTTTTCCGCAGCCCGAGCATGCTGGTGTACCATGTCCTCCTGCACGTCCACGCACCCATTGACTTGTTCGTCTCCACTGCGACCACTGTCTGTCGCATGCGGTGGAGCTTTATGCTCTCCTCGATCATCTTCCCTACAAAAGCCGCTTCGCCTCCAGGCGTGAGCATCTCCTGCTCGCTGCCCGTGCATGCGGCACTAGGCCCGGCCATTTTGAACGACGCCGACTCACGCATCTCGGCAAGGCTGCCATAGAAGGGCGGATTGCACATGGTAAAGTCGTACACGTCGTCGCGATCGGAGGCTCTGCTCGACGAGGTGGAGCTCGCTGCGGTGGCACCGAGGCGTGAGGCGAGCGGTCCGAGTGACCGCCGTGCTGTCTCCTCGTTTGCGCCATCCGATGGCGGTGCAATTGCAAGCAGCTCATCCGCAGATGGAATGAGAGCTGTATCTTTGTGCTCCCGTTGCAGGATCACAATACGCTCCGGGAAGTTGCGAATCGGCGTCAACAAGTCTGCACTGGCGAGCGTAGCGCGGGCATGACTCATGGACACGGCGTCGGTGTCCGTCGCTACAAACGACCAGCTCGCATCTGATGCGCAGCCGAGCAATGGATAGATCAGTGAGGCGCCCGTGCCGATGTCGAGGCCTAGGGTATGTTGCGTCTGCTCAGCAGGCGCCGCGGGACCCTCCATACGGAGTCGCTTGCAAGCTGGCAGTCGGCATCCTGTATGCTCTGCCCCCTGCGCCACGTCATTGGCCTTTGCCGACGGGGGCGACAACGATGCGTCGACGGCTGAGAGTAGGATGCGCAGTACACCCAGGATACGCTGCTGTTCCTTCAGCAGGTCTTGCAGCCAGAGAATGTAATTGAGCCTATTTGGAACGGGTGGACAAAGCCTGTCGCTTCGAAGTTCGACGTGCAGGCTGAAGTCGTGACGCAGTAGCACCGTCGTCAAGCATCTCAGGGCAGCGGGGTCCTTGTAGTCAATCGCACTGCCACGAGCCTTGCCCTTAGCAACTCTGCTCGATGGTAAAGGTATCAGACTGGCGAGATTTGAAAGGAAGCATTAGAAGAGCATCCCTCGATGCATGTTTGTCTCAAGGCACGGTGGCCTTCTGCGTTGTGCGACACGCACAAGGGCTCAAGCTCTGGGTACTTTTTGGCAAGCTCTTCAAAGTTGGGATGAAAGTCCGGGCGAGCGTAAGGGCTGCGCGCTAGGAAAATATGATGCATAGATGGGACGCAAGCATCAGCCCCCGTTGCATTTACGAAGCTGCGAATGGGGCGACCAACTCACGATGCATGGCAGAACTTTCTCAAGGCGTGCTTTCCCCCATCTCCTTCTACTTGTAGATCTCCTTTTATTACTTGTAGGCGCGGATATACAAAAGCCCCTGTCTGCGAGCATATGCCCCGATTCAAAAGGCTATATAGCGCTAAGAGGGCGGTCAGCTATGACAAGCAACGTTTATAGATCACACGCCGGGTCTGATATACGGTGTGGCCAGGGTGGCCACTATGGCTGGGATCCTAGCACCAAATTTCTAGCGTTGCAACGTCTTCAAGCACGCCGAATGAAGGAGCGCTCCGGTTGTGGGTTCAACCTGCCGCCCTAAAATTCAGATGTCTCTTGAATGCGCTGCGCCTGGATCATGGCCGACTCTTCGCTTGACGGCGACGACTGTGGCTCGTCGTGGGCTGCGGATTACTGAGATGTATCCAAATGAGGGAGTGTGACTAGTCGATCGATACATTGGACACAGCGCGGTGAGAGTTGAGACGTATGTAACCCTACAATCAGGACTCGTTCAAATAATTCAAAAAGAAATATCGACGACTCGTTGCAGGGCAGTAGCGTTTGCAGCCCTTTGCCAGTCCGCAGCTGCAGGGCACAGATGTGCATGCAGGGCTGCATCGGTCTTGGTTTCAAGTGCCTCTTCCTAGTCTCTCACGTTGAAAAAAGAAAGCGATCAATGAGAAACCATCAGCTGCTGAGGAGAGAGATCAAAGAACCAGAGACTGTGAGCCGCTGGTTTTTGTCAAACAATCCGCAGTCCCTTGTGCGGACGGGTATGTTGTTGGTGATGCTATAGAAGCCGGACGCGGCCAGGTGGAAGGAAGGAAAGGAGCGGCTTGACAACCAGGAGAAGGGCAGACTTCCGAGTTCCAAAGGTCGCGGCCAAAGCTTGCAAAGTCTTTGCAGTCAAACTGCGCACAAGTGAGCCCCCGCAAGCGCTCATCCTTGCTAGCACTGCTCTACCAGAAGGATCGCGACAAAAAATGGACGACGCGCAGGGGTGCATTTAGAACGCCGCTTCTTGCCACCAGGCCGCCTGGCGGCACGCAGAAGCACCGCTGCCTCCAACACGAGTGGTGGCTGTTTGTGTCGCCAATCGTATTCTTTTCGACGGTTGTAGACGCGGTCCGAGCTGCAAGCCCGTCAGTCTGATCTGCGGATCTCTAGAAGGTCTGCAAGGGGCAGCAGACGAGAGCGCAGCGAGAAAGCAAGCGAGAGCGGTCAATTGAAGGCTCACGAGGCACCGCGTAACACAGTATGAGTCTTCCACAGCCACCCCATCAACAGCACTCTGGCCAAGGCGCACCTGTCAGCGCAGGTGATAGCCAGCGAGGCTCGCCAGGCATAGCGCAAGGCCAGCAGTCTTCATCTGAGGAACCGGTTCCCTCGGCATTTGCACTTGGAGTGATGCGTGCTACGACAGATGCTATTCTTACTGGGTCTCAGAGGCAGCAGCCGTCAAAAATTCCGCTGGCTTCCAGAGCCTCCACTGTTGCCTCTGCCCTCTCCGCTTCACTTGCGGGCAACGTTCCAGGCAGGGCGGCGCAGCTTCGTCTAGACACGTTCAGTCACAGCTACCTTGCTGCTCGTGGCGGTCGCCCCATCTCGTCCATCTCGAATGCCAGCGCTGCTTCTTCGGACACTGGAAGCGCTGCAAGCTTCTCATCGTCACTAGGACCCAATGCAGGCCTGCCGTTCAGCTCTGGTCCGGGCTCGCCGAGTGGCATGCAGCCCAATGCGGTTCAACAAGGTGCGGGTCAATTTGGTACGTTGGGGCTTGCTTCCGCCCACGCCCCTGCCCCCGTGCCTGCGCCCGCGGTCCCAGTGACGAGAGCAGGGGCGACAGCAGGCCCAGGACCGGGCACCGAGGCGGAGATGCAACGCAAGAATGCGCGAAATGGCCAAGTCAAGCATCGCTGGACGGAAGATGAAACGCAAGCGCTCGTCGACGGGTGTAACAAACATGGCGTCGGCAGCTGGAAGATCATTCTCAGCGATCCAGAGTTCTCGCATCGATTTGAAAATCGTACTGCAGGCGATTTGAAGGATCGCTTTCGGACTTACTTTCCGGACGCTTACCACGAGCTGGTCAGTCCTTCTTCCTTTACGCCTCATCATTTCAAGCTAGTAGCAGATGGTGCATGGGCTTACCGCAATCGTTTTTCTTTCCCCAGTATCCAAATGCGAAAACACACCATGGGCATAAGATTCGTTCAAAGGATTCTGAAGGCAAAAGCATCTTTGAAAAGGGAAAGGGCAAGCAGAAGCGACCGTTCACCGTCGAGGAGACGAAGGCCTTGCACGAAGGCTACCTCAAGGTGAGTCGCGCTGCGCACTTCTGCATACCGGTAGTTGCATGCTCACTCTCCATGCTTCGTCGCAGTTTGGATCTCACTGGGCGAAGATCGGAAAAGATCCGATTTTCCAGAATCAACGGAGCGCCACCGATTTGAGGGATCGTTTTCGAAATGCTTTCCGGGAAGAGTACCAGCAAGCAGGCTACAAAGCTCGCACGCGAGCCAATCGGCAATCCAGCAGCAACCAAGGAGGGGCCGGACCTCCAGAAGGCTCAGCGCCATCTACCTCGTCCAACGCATCGGCTTCGGGCGGGGAGTGGAGCCTAAGCGATGCAACGAGCGACGGCAACTTGACAGACCACTCTTCCTTCTCGCAAGACCATCTGAGCGAGTCACGCCAACATCAGCAGCGCACTTCGCAAGTCGGTCCGCAACGAAGGCAGCTCAGCGTCCGCGATGCACGAAAGAGCGAGAGTGGGCTCAGTGAAGCGTCTTCCTCGCGCAAATCGTCTTTCTCGCATTCTTCGCGACCAAAAATCACTTCATCTGTTAGCGGTCCCGTGCCGACCCTTCCTGATTTTTCTCGGGGAGGCGCTGCGATTTCGGCATTTGGCGGAACGAGTATGCCGTTGCAGGTTCCTTTCGGAACATCAGCACCGCCATTCGAAGCGATGGATGAGCAGCATCAGCTGCTGCAACACATACATGCTGCTCCTTCTGCTTCTATGTGTTCACGAAGTGGTAGTGGTGCGGATAGAGCCATGGTGGATGCAAGCGGCACCGGCCTTCGCCGGAGCCAGAGCTCAAAGCGTGCCCAGCCTCGCATCAGCGATCAGGAATTCGGCCGTATCTCGCCATCCATGATGCTAAATACAGCAAGTGGCTCCGCGCATCCGCTCGCGGAAGACAATTTTGCTGCATCGACAGGCGGCGGAGGGTTTCCGTGGTTATCAGCTATGCAGATGCAAATTGCCATGCAGCTGCAGGCGCAGATGCGCGGCGGCTCTGGCGTCGCACATGTCAATGACAGAGAAGATGAGGATGAAGAATATGACTCGGAAGGCTCCGACGAGGACACATCTGAGCATCACTTGCATGAATACAACGCTGACTCGTCAGGCGTACTGCAGACCACTATGGATGCACTCTTCTCTGCGCCAACGGTCGTCCAAAAGGCCGTGGAAGACATGGACGCGGAACATCCGCTCACATCGCATATCGACGCGAGTCTCGCGCAGTACTTTGCAACATTGCCTGGTTTGCCTGACTTTGCGAACACACTCGAAGACATGAACGCTGAGGACTATTCGGCTTGGCAACAGCAATTTACACAATACACGGCCGCCCTGCAATCTGGGCAGCAAGTTGGGATGGCGGGCTACCCGTCTGCTTCGTATTCCAGCGAGCAGGATGCCTCCAGCGGCATTCTGCCAGCCTCAGAGGAGCTCGGCATGCGCGACTTTATCCCTCCAGATTCGAACCCCCGGCTCGCGCAAGCGCAAGGCGACGCGCCGGCAGAGGGCGACTGGGAGGCTGAGCTCGGGCGCATGCAGCAGACCTTGCTCGATAGCGGCAGTTTGGACCCATTTGGGCTGCCTAATGCATCCATGCAAAACAATGCTGCAGCGCAAGTCCAGCGTCGGTCAACGGATACACTGCGGGACCAAACGGGAATCAACCAACAGCCGCCGAGCGATTTGACTGCCTACTTAAACACGACAGCCTCGGCCGGCTTTGACGAACAAGGCTTTGACCCATCCACTCTGGCAGAATGGCTCGGAAGCCAAGCGGATCTGGGTCCCAGAGCGGGCGGTCTCCCAAATACCGCGCTGGAGGGGGCTTGGCCGAAGGAGGGCCCGGCGTCCAATCAGCCTGGCTCATCGCGCCACTCGACAGAGCCATCAGGGGACTCGGCGGGCTCTGCCTCTGCTGCCTCTTGTCCTGCTGGGCCCAACAGCTAGTCGGCATATTAGCTCTGTCTCTTCCTATCGTTTGACCTCGCATTAACGGACTGTAGATGGCGACACACTTGCTGTCTAGCACGCACACGCTGATCTGTTGACGTCATGGCTTCCTCTAATCCCTGCGAAATATACATTGCGTGACACTGCAAGAAAAAAAGATGCTTCTGCTGGCACCTGGCTACAGCAGGATGGAATGTGGAATCATAGGTCGTGTCGCGTACAGCGCCTCTGTCCACCTACTGCGCGTAGATGTGCATAGAAACGTGCGTCGGATCTTGCACATGAGACGGGGGGCCATCGTTGGCATTGACGAAATTAGCCGGAGACACCGCACGACCATATCCGCTCTCTCCTTGCACCACATCGTAGTGCGGCGGCGAAGAGTGCCCCGAGTGTGAGTCTGTTGCAGCTGCAGCTGCGAGTCCGCCGCCTGTTGAGCGCTCGAACGGGTTCGCAAGTCTGTTTACGATGTTCTGCGTGCCGACAACGAGCGTGCGGTCGGGGTCGCATCCATCGTCCTCCTCGACGCCGCACAGGGGCGGTTCTGGCGCGCCAATCGAGGGCCCAAACTCGTGCATCTCACGCTTGCCAAAGTCCTCATAGCTGTCGTTGGCGTGGTACGGGTCGGGGTATCGGTGCATTGCAGATGCAGAGGTGGACGTCGTGATACGCTCGTGCTCTGTCTCATCACCGTACGAATGCGAATGCAAGCTGGAGGAGTCGGCATACTTGTACTTGCTCTCCTCAGCGCGCCCTCCTCCTCCGCCGCCATCGCCATTCAGGGCACTGAAAGACGCAGCAGATGAGAGCATGCGTTCCGCCTCGCCTGGATCCCGCTGCTGACCTTGCGAACTCGCTGCTCCGCTGGAAGAGCGCCATCGCGACGCCCATCCTCCAGCACCTATCAGCCCACCTCTTCCTCCTCCTCGTCCTGCACCTCCACCGCCGCCGGAGGGCGTTTCTCCCTGCTGAGCGCCGCTGTAGCGCAGGTCCGGTGCGCCGTACATCTTCGCGGCCGCTCGGCTGTCGCCGATGCCGTCGTCGTCCTCATGTCCGCCGTGCTGGTACAGTTTCGCGTTCTCCGCAGTGCTGCTGGGCTGTCTGGTGGCGGTGCCGATGTTGTCCGTGCGCCGGGCCTCGGACAGCATTGTGAACCGCTTCTGCTTGAGACGCGCTTGCACCTCGGGGCGGGCCTCATACATCTTGCCGTACAGGTACCAGCCCGCGCCAAGGGTGATGAGCACGCTCACTAAGAGGACGACGTACTTTACGATCTTGCTGCTTGTCGGCTCGTTGCTGCTGTTTCCGCTCTGCTCGATAACCCAGCCGAGGTAGACGATGGTGAGCTGCTTGGGCATGGATAGCACAGCGGCCAGGATAAAGATCCAGACGCTCATGCCGACTGTGGCAAAGACAGCGGTGGTGAAATGGCCCGGGATGGCTGAGAGGCGGGCGAGGAATATGACAAAGAAGCCGCCTTCGCGCACAATATGCGCCATGCAGGCTATGTGCGGGTAAAGCAAAGGTGAGAAGTGTGGATGTGAGAAGAGACGAAGAAGTTGAAAGGTGACAGCAAAGCGCGCCGCTCTACGTACCATAGTTTATGTTCTTGCGCTCGTAACGAGTCGCATGTCCACTCAGGAACGACTTGAAAGCGTAAAAGTTGCCAATCTCGCCGAGCAGCGTGCCGAGCGCGACGATGCCGAAGCCTTTCCAGAGGCCGTAAACTACGCCGCACAGGACAGCAACAATCTCGTGGCCAAAGAGCGGGGGGAATGAGATGATGAAGAGAATGGCGACGGGGATGAGCCAGCCAGCGGGGATGGTCTGTATCTTCTTTGAAAACGGCGTGAGCCAGTCGACGATCTGACGATGGTAGATCGTCATAAGTGCGACGAGGAGGAGGATGACGATCAGCAGGAGCCACCAGTCTGCAGTTGGTTTTTTGCATTCGAGTGCGGCGCGAAGGCAAGGGGAGGGAGAAGACACACAAGCATTAATAACAAGACGACTAGGCAGGGAGGCGGCACAACGCCCGAGCCCATCTGCACCACTCACGTAAGTACTTCCAGCAAATGTACGACCTCCAATCCTTAAGCACGGTGAGCATCGAATGCCACAGACTGCCGCCTTCCTCGTCCAGATCCTCGGGGAATTGCGCAGCGATCTTCTTCTGCTCCTCGTTCAGCTTCGAGTGGTCGAGCTTTTTGCCCAGAGAAGGGTGGTACACACCGTCGATCGGCGACTCGGGCCGGTTTGGTACGTTGTTGCGCTCGCCGGAAGCAGCGTATGAACCGGCAAAAGGCCGCTGGGGTGGAGGGTACGTGGCGAATGCCTCGCCCTCGTCACCGTATCTGCCTTTCGATGAGCTGGCACCGCCAAGGGGAATCGAGACGTGCGAGTTGGGCGCGTCGAATGGGTCGTTGTGCGCGTAGGGCGACCGTGGCGGCTGCCCTCTGCCCCTTGCTGCTCCTGCTCCTGCAGCAGCATTTGCACCCGACGTGGAAGTATATACTGGTGCCTGCTTTCGTGTGTACGACAGACGATAAACATTCGATTGCGGACCCGGCGGGGGGTACATGGGGCTGATCGGCTGCTGCGCGTAGGAACCCGGCCCCGAGGCTTGTGCGTACGAGTAGGGATCACGGTAGGTGTTGTGCTGATATTGCTGTTGATATTGCTGTTGATATTGCTGTTGATATTGCTGCTGCTGCTGTTGTTGCATTGCTGGTGTTGATGGAACTCGATAGGCACCTGAAGAGAGCCCTGCCATACCCAAGGGCGCATTTGCGCTGTAGCCGGCATGGCTGGGGGGATCGCCATTGGCAGCCGCATAGTCGGTCGGCGGACCGCCGCGGTAGCTGTCACCGTAGCTCATCCTCCGTGCAGATGTATTCATGGCACCCACGTCGAAGCTCTCTCTGCCGCTGCCGCTGGTGGCGGCATTGCCTACTGTTTTCGCCGAGGTAGTGGGCCGCATGTGCTGCGTCGGCTGGTAGTCGTCACCGCGCGATGCCTTGGGTGGGAAGTAAGGGTTGGCCATGGCCGGCGCGAGTTGTGCAACCCCGCCCTTGTGGACACGGAGGGAGAGGGTGTATTGGGGGGGGAAGCAGCTGCGCCTGTCGGCCACACGGTCAGATCTACGGGCTAACGGGGCAGGATGAGGATGGGTGCGTGGCTGTGGGATGCAATTGTGTACGGTGAGGATGCGGATCTACCTCATATATCACCATCTCATCTTCATCCACAGCTCCTACTCGCGCATCACGTCAGCGTGCGTGCGTGGGGGTTTCTGGTAAGAGTGAGTCGTGCGTTGCTTTTTGCTTGCTCTGCCTTGGTTGTGGCTGGTGACTGATGCTGTGCAGTGTGTGCTCTTTCAGTCGACGGCCAGCCAAAGTGCCGCAGTGCCTCCTCTGCCACCCCTCCAACTCAGACTAGCTACGCTAGCCAAAGTAACAAAAGCGCGCAAGAGGAGAAAAGAATGAGGAAAAAGGGGTTAGGGTTATCTGCCTAGCCTGTCCTGCTTGTGTGCCTGCCTGGACAGGTGTGTGTGTGTACACGCATGAATAGCCTCTGCCAAAAGCAAAAGTACAGCGAGCCATCCTCGACAAGCCCTATCTATCAGCAAGGAGCTCCTGGCTCGGCACATGCCCTCTCACCGCTACTTTGTCATTTGGCAGACAATTTCCCATGTCATGCCCACTGGGAATCGTGGGAAGTTGCCGTCCTCGTTAGGGCACTAGACCACACACACACACACACAGTTCATTCACCGTTGTCGTCAATTTACACCAGTCAGACGTCAGCAGCAGCCACGAGAGCTTTTTTTGAAGGAGGACTTGACCAACCAAGCAAGAGAAATAGGAAGGATGATTGAGGAGAGAACAAGCTGGGACCAATACCACGCCTTTGCAAACGAGACTATCGTTGAGAGGGCGAATGAATGCATATAAAGTTAGTAGTGCATGGTCGTAAAAGCAATATGGACCCACGGGAAAGCTGGTAGATGCAAAGGTGGCTGGGGACGTGTTGACCATTCTGACGCCAAAGGTGCATAAAGAGGCTGCCTCCGCCGAAAGCAGGCTGGTCCAGTTCACACAAGCGACTTCATGGCGGCAGTAGTGGATGCTGCTCTCCTGTGGAAGAGGCGGTTCGTCGACGAGGGGCGGTCGGCGGCTCTACGCGCATGTTACAGCAGTGCAAGGGACAGCAGCAATGTCCCCGACTGTCTGGCGCTTGCGACGTTTAATACTCGCTCGCCGCACTGTAGGCCGCTGATCACGGCAGCTGCAGCGGCACCTTCAGAGAGCACTGATGCTACTACAGCATCGTGGAAAAGGGAGGCGCGCAGCACATACCGCCATCTGCTCAGGGCTGTCACACCCGCCACGCACTTCTCGCGGCCAGCTGCAAAGAATCTCAAGAGGCTGCTCCAGACGGAATACAAAGGCGCTATTGCTTCCCAAGTGCCAAGCGGCGCGGCGAATCCGGATGAACTGGCTCACCATGGTGCGTCACGCATCTATGCCTGCATGATACCCAGCGACCCTGGCTCCAGTCTAACGTGCGACCTATTCCGCACGGTAGCATCGCGCACCGTCCAGTTCCTCTTGTCCGCAGCCCACTCGCCTCCATTCTCCGATGCGCAAATGCGAGCGTGGAAGGTAAAGTATCGGCGTCCACGCTCAGTCGAGGCTGCGTTCGAAAGCGGGCGCTCGCTACGTTCCATCAAGGCTGTGCAGAAAAGACAGCGCCGCGAGCTTCTGCGACGCGCTGCGACTGCTGCTGACGCTGGCGGTAGCAGTGGGAAAGGTGCCTATGTCGATGCCGCAACAGCACTCAGGAAGTCACGCAAAGACCGCGCTCGCGGCCGCGCCGCAAGCTTTGCCTCGCTGTTCCCGCAGGGTAACCGCACTCTCGCGCACGCCGTGACGACGAACCTGGCCTCGCTGACGTACCACCACCTGTCACCCAACACGCGCATGCAGCCGCTCTGGCGCACACACGGCGGCACGGACAGCTCGACCGTGCCGCGGCTGACGCAGCAGAGCATCCGCGCTGCAGGCTTCGCCGGTGCGCATGAGCTTGCCGGCGATGGAGATGCAGGCGAACATGACGCGGGGATGTACATCGCAGATGCTGTCCCGCGTCAGCATACCCTATCGCTTATTGTCCCGCCTAAGCCGATTCTCGGCCCGCGCCAACCAGCAGGGGCGCAGCACAAGCGCTGGGACGGGCAGCGCGTCGCGCAAACCTTCGCGCCTCTGGCATCTGCTGGTGACCCTGACTCAGACGCTGCGCGCCTCCTGCACCGCTCTGAGGAGCTGCGGCAGCGCTACGAGGCAGTCGCAGCACAGCAGCATGGGCACGGCGGCGCTGAGAGCGCTGCAGCGCAGAGTGCCAAGCGCGAGTGGAAGGAGATGCGGGGCCGCTGGAAGAGCGCCGTCAAGACTACACAGCGCGAGCGCGCCGAGCGCGAACGCGAGGCGAGGCCGGTGCGCGCGCTCGCCAAGCTCGTACGCGATGCCCAACAAGGTTCCGGCGTCTGGCTCGGTGCACGCAGATTTGGGATGAAGGAACAGGGAAAATGGCTTATACCTTGAGCATGCCAAAAAGTCGCGCACCTTCTTCTGTATGATATGTTCTGCCTGTCTGCATGCAAATCTCCGCTGTCTTTGATACAATAAAAAAAATCTAAGCAGAAGCCTTCCACCAACCTGGCTGCGATGGCGTGCCGCGTTTCCCCCCGTTTACCTGTTTCTTGGCGCCTGGCACTGTATCATGGACGCTGTCGCGTTTCCTCTTTGTGCCGCCCTCGCTTTGCTTCTGCGTCTGTGTCTCCTGTCCTTCTGCGTCGCGATCGGCACTGCCCCCCTGCTGATGCAGTTGGCCACCTTTTCGCAACATGGCGTCCCACTGCGCCTTTTGCGTCCGGAACACAGCCATTGTAGCACGTGCATCTTCGACACTTGAGTGCTCCTCTCCCTCCTTCTGGATCTCGATGCCGAGCGTCAGGCGCACCAGCGCCCGGAGCGATGGCCGCTTCGTGCCCGCGAGCATACACAGAGGCTCGAAGGACGATGTATCGCGGATGAGGTACCGCGGGTGGGTCAGTTGCAGCGCCGTTAGGTCGTTCGACAGCGCGTGCCCGACGAGCGTGCGCCCCTCGATCAGCTTGGCAACTTGCTTCTGCACATCGCTGAACAAAGGCGCGCCGTGCAAGTCCGCAGCACGCACGCCCGACACCCATGTCCGGTAGTCGGTCACACGCTCGCGCGTTCGTACGAACGTGTCGAATATCGTAAAGCCGTGAAAGTTGACGATCGACACGCGCGCCAAGGCTGATTCTGCGCCACGTGGGCCTACGCCGACCATCTCGCAGTCGATGGCTAGATAGCTGCCTGGGCTGTCATATTCCATCGCGACGTCAGCATCAGACGAACATAGTGTCAGGCTACACAGGCATTTATTCGACAAGCCAGTACTCACGCTTTCTTCTCTTCACTCGCACTATCGTCCCACCCACCGAAGATGACGCGCTTTTTCAATGCCGCTTCCCGCGCCCCATCCGCAGTAAGTTTCCCTCCAATTTCGCTGCCCACCCCCGCTCCTCCCGCAAGCACGCTCGCAGCTCCGACTTGCATGACCGCATTGCCGCCCTCTTGGATCTGCCGAACGAGCGCCAGGTCGGCCGGGGAAAGGTCATCTGCGAACCATGGCAGCGTTGTTGGCGCCGGACTGCCTGTCTTGGGTGATGATGATGTGGAAGTGGCAGAGATTTCTTGCTGTACGTCGATTTGTCTAGCTTTTCCCTTGCTTTTTGAGAGACCAGAGGTCAGGTGCACGCTGTGTTTGCTTTCGATTTGCTTGTTCGTGCGTGACTCCGTTCGGCCCATGTGTAGCTCTTGCACTTGCCGCTCCAACTCCCCTGTCCGCTTGAACGCCTTGTGCCGTGACTTTGTCAGCTGCATTTTCGACATGACCACTGCAGTACCAGTAGCATGCAATGGGATCCCTGCGGCTGCAGGCGCAACGAGCGTCTTTTTGAGCGCTTTCCAATTGCTGCCTGGACGCGCTTGAGCTGGCGAGCAGCTTTGAGCATTACTGCCGCTGGCGCTGGGGCCAACGCCGTTTAATCGCTGGGACATGACGAGAATTCACCTGTTGCTGTGCGAAACTACGTTTTCGACCTCCCTTGCTTATGGAGTGCTGTGTGTGAAGTCTTCCATGCACCTCAGTCAACTCGTATACAAGAGTTCTCGATGCTTTTTCAAGGCGTGAGTGAGAGGGCGAGGGGCTTTCCGAGCTGGGTACAATTTTTTGGCGCACCGTAATCACCGATCACCCGCAAAACCTTGGAAAAGCGTTTTACCGGCCGGCAGACATTATCCATCAAGGGGTCCTTTTTTCTCCTCAAGGGGTGGCACCAAAACGCCTTGGACAAAGACCCTGGCATACACCTTGAAGTCTTCCATCACCTTCATCAAGACTCTACAAAGGCTTTCAAAAGCATGCATGCAGGGTCATAATATTTTGCAAAAAGGATTCATTACGAGCGCTCTTAGTCTCAGGCAAGCCCTTTGGATCGCCAAATCAGTGCATCCTATCAACATGCACATGATACAGTGTGGTCATTTCAGCTTACTTTGTATGCCTACTACCACCTGTGCTTGTTGAGAAGGGAAGCGACTTGGGACTCAAATGTTCTTTTCTCATGCAACTCGATCAGGAGAGGTTGCATTTACTTGCCTACGCCGAAGATCATACCATCCTTTGTGGAGCAAGCGGCGAATTGGTTGCGCTGGTTAACGGGTCAAAGAAGACGAGGAAATACCCATCAGCTAACCGATGCACAGTGCCTGACAGGTGGATTTCCAACTGTCTTCACTCGGTCACAACACGTGTGTGCTTAAACCCTTTGTCGGCAAGCGCCAAAAAATCAGGCGGAGCCTCATACTCTTGCTTTTCCTCATTACTTTTGAGCCTCAACCGCTGTGATGGAGAATAAAAGGCATTCACGAGTCCTTGTCGCAAGGGAGTCGGTCTTCCGAAAGCTCGCTCATCCAACATGCTACTCTGGAGCAATTTTTATGATTCTTGAAGCGATGTGCGTCAGTACCACTGCTACAAATGGCGGCAAAGATATCTTGCACGTGTAGATCCGTGGTTACGCCTGCTAGATGCTGCAGACATGAGCACCGAAGAGCAGAGTCAATGAGTGACGGGTCAAAGTGCGAAGGAGCTGTTCTAGCATCATCCAGGTTGACCTTTCCCTTAACATTGTGGCATAGGGTTCACCTATGATCCTTAGTTTTGCAGCTGCATCTTTGCAGCCCTCGCTCTCGACCTGCAAGCGTTCTGCGGCGTTGTTGACATACGAATCAGATGTTTATAGTAGATCCTGAATACCAAGTGCACTTCTTGCCAAACCCGCTTTCCACGGCTTTCCAATCGGCATCGACAAACATGTGAATTCCGGTCGCCTTTAAGGTGCAAAGTCCCACACGATCTATCGTGACTAATGAGCAACGGTTGCATTTGTCGCATGTGATCAAAAGCCGCGAAAGACGCTGTGCTCACTCCCACTACCGCCCTCTCTTTAGCCTCGTTTTCTTCAACAAAGGATAGGATGCACGTGAGTCACTCCGGTGCATCAAGCACACCTTGATGTGCGCGAGCTTGAAAACGGCGATTGATCGCGGAGCAATGGTAGTACTCGAATGATGGTTGTTCGTTCTGTCATCTGTCATACTCCATATAAACACGTCCCGGCTAATCGCTTCATAAAGCGAGATTTCTGACTTGAACACCGCGACGCGATATTGACTATTACGTAATGAATTTCAATTCTGTATGAGAAGGGGTAGCGAAGCGTTTTGTTCAGTTTCAGACGAATTTGCCTACACAATTACAGCATTCAGCGCGCGAAGTCCTCGCAATGACCGTTTGGAAAACGATATCAGCGTCCCACATTTCGGGGGCCCAAAAGGTAAACTTATGCAAAAATGAAATCCTCACCGTAAGTACACAGCTATCTCCCTACGGCTGTCGCACCTACAGACGCGCTCAAGCGCTGAGAAAGCACAACAGGTGGCTGGAGAACGATCATCAGCTACACATCCATCACTCCTTGGGGATCCGAAGGGCTTTTATCGCATCACAACCCCGCCGGAAGTAAAGAAGGGTCCAGCGTACAGGCCTCTAAAGAGCAACATCACCAACTCCTACCTTTGGTGAGGTCTGCGCAACTCAGACAATTGAGCGTCCGTCACATCTTCTCAACTGTGTGGGAAGTCATCCCGACAAGCTCAGCACCAATAAACGTTCACGATGGCTGACCGCGTGAGTATTAAAGCGGAAGAACACTTGATTAATTGACACGAGAGTGTGTGTACAGAAGCTGATACTGCTGCCAATATTTCTTCTTTCGTGTTCGTTTCCGTACAAACGCCGCTTCGGGCATCATTCGCATTTTCGTCCGCCTTTTCCAACTTGAATGGGCGGCGCATGCATGCTCTAGGGACGTGGCTTCTCGCGAGGCGGGCGCGGCGCCTCCTCTAACTCGCGTGGCGGGCCGCCTGGATCCTCTTCATCAGGGCCAGGCGGCCGAGGTGGTGCCGGCGGAGCAGGGCGAGGTGGTGGTCGCGGTGGTGTTCCCGGACCAGATCGTGGCGGCCGGGGAGGTGGACACGGCGGCCCATCGGGGGAGCGAGCAAAAAAGGAGGCCATCCTTGATCTTGGAAAGTACAAAGACAAGAAGATCCGAGTGAAGTTCACCGGTGGACGGGAAGGTGAGTCTGGGCTGGCCGAGCAGGCCTTCGGGCTGCATTGTTCTTGACATATCCTGACCCTCGTCGTGCACAGTGATTGGCGTCCTCAAGGGCTACGATCAGCTGATGAACATGGTATTAGATGAAGTAGAGGAGGAAGTGCGACGTGAGTATGGCCCCTCCCCGCACTGTTTCTCTTTGTCTACCATTGGCCTAACGACCACTTTCGTGGCATATCTACGTTTCCTCTCCTCTGTCCTCATCATCGCTCCTTTCGCGTTTCAGACCCGGAGACAGGTGAACTAACAGGCGAAAAGCGAGCGCTGGGCCTTGCAGTGCTTCGAGGTACTGCATTGACGGTCATCAATCCGGCCGACGGGTTTGAGGAGATTGAAAAGTGCGTCGTTGTCGGTGCCTTTGAAGAACTCATGAACACAATACTGACTTTTGACGCTCGCCTCCTTCCTTCACCTCCTCTCTCCGTCTTCTCAGTCCTTTCGCGCATCCCGAGTAAGGCATTGGCCTACGCAAGCGTTGACCGTGAAAGAAAATAACACGCTTCGACTTAACCAAGAGCAAGCTTTGTATCACTAGGTGCTTATAGGTACATTCAGACGGACAGTTCCGCCTTGGAAGCGTTGCCGATGTGCTCTTTGTAAGGCGCAACGGCTGGCTCGACCCACTTAGTGATGAAGCCCTCAACCTGCTGCTCAGCACGGCCAGTGAAGCTCTTTGGGTCGAGCAGCTGGTCAAGTTTGCCGGCGATGGGAGCAAAGTACTCGTCCTTCCTGATCCGTTCGATCAGATCGTTGTCCTTGCCCTCTTCCTTGACGACGCGCGCAGCTTGGTGCGAGAGAACGCGGATGTGCTCGTGGCAGACCTGCCTGTCTCCGCCGCTGCGGACCATGGCCATAATAATGTTCTCTGTCGCCATGAACGGGAGCTCGGCCTCGATGTGCTTGCGGATGATGGCCGGGTAAACGACGAGCCCCTCTGAGATGTTCTGCAACAGCGTGAGGATGACATCGGCAGTCAAAAACGACTCTGGGATCGTCAATCGCCGATTGGCGGAGTCATCCAGCGTGCGCTCCATCCACTGCCCGCCAGCCGTCTCGCGGGCACTGTTAATCGTGTTACCGAGCCACCGCGCAAGTCCACACACGCGCTCGGAGCGCATCGGATTGCGCTTGTAGGCCATGGCGCTGCTGCCGATCTGGTCCTTCTCAAATGGCTCCTCAACCTCCTTGAGATGGCACAGCAGGCGAATGTCCGTCGCCATCTTCAACGCCGTCGCCGAGAATGAGGCGAGCGAGGCGAGTACGTCAAAGTCGATCTTGCGCGAGTAGGTCTGCCCTGCGACGGGCATGGCAAATGGAAAGCCAAAGTATGCGGTCACCTTTTCGTCCAGCTCCTCCACCTTAGCGTGGTCCCCGTCGAAGAGCTGCAGGAACGAGGCCTGCGTCCCGGTCGTGCCCTTGACACCGCGGAAACCGAGGTCATCCCGAGCGCGCTGAATGTTGCGCAGGTCCCAAAGCAGCTCCTGGATCCAGAGCGTCGCACGCTTCCCTACGGTAGTCAGCTGTGCGGGTTGCATGTGCGTAAATCCGAGCGTAGGCAGGTCTTTGTACTTTTCCGCGAATGCTGCCAGGCGGTGGATTACGATGGCCAGCTTAGGGAGCAGCAAGTCGAGCCCTTTGCGCAGGAAGATGAGGTCCGCATTGTCCGTCACGTAGCAGCTCGTTGCACCCAGGTGTACAAAAGGTGCAGCGGTGGGAGCAACGAGACCAAAGACGTGCACATGCGCCATGACGTCGTGCCGCCGTTTCTTTTCCTCTTCCGCTGCAAGCTTCATCTGGTGGTCGTCCAGCTGCAGATTGGCTTTCATCTCCTCGATCGCTGCGTCCGGGATGGGCAGACCGAGCTCCTTTTCAGCGGTCGCGAGCGCAAGCCACAGCTGACGCCAGGTGGAGAAGCGCGTTGAGTTGGAGAAGAGGTGCGACATTTCTTTCGAAGCGTAACGGCCTGACAACGGCGACGCCCAGCTCTCGTGCTGGGAGCGGTGCTTCGGCGCGGCAGGCGCCGCCGCCGTAGCCGCGGGTGTTTCCTGGGGTTCCATCGTGACACCTAATGCTGTCCAGATTCGAATTGGAACGTGAAAGCCTTGGGCTCATATAAAGCTCGAGAGGGTAGAGACGATGTAAACTTGTGAGTCTGCTGTCTTTTGCATCCCAATTAGACTTGGGTGATGAGTTGTTCAAATCCGTGTGCGCGAACGATGCGTCACGGGCGCTGTGCCTCTCTCTATCCTGAAACAAGAGCAGCGGAGGAGGTTTTTTTCTTCCAAGGAAGCTTACGTAACTCGGAGGATCCGTTCCGTCTTCCGTCCGTCCTGTCTGGAGCATTCTCTCTATTCTCCAGCTCTCTCTGTTCACTAATCTGTTGGCGCAACAACAATGTCGAGATGTGCGAACAGGCGTTCACAGTTCGACGGTAGAGGACGTATCATCAATGGGAGGGTACCCACGGCAAAGTATGAAAAGGACGATGTGGTCTGTGACCGTTTTTTTTTTCAAATGGCTCAGTTTATCTATACTGACTAAAGTCAGTCGACCAAGTAGACAGAGGTTCGACGACCAGTCCACAGCAGTTGACATCAGATATCCGATGTCGACAGCTAGTCAATCTCTGTCGACAAATCCGCTTCACCGGAGACGGCCGACCAGAACTTGCCGGGTCGATCTCGAGCTGTCCAAGGGTTATGGTTGTATGACTACATAGGCTGCCAGTGATGGTCAACCGCCACTGCAAACCGTTGACAGTGAGCACGGTTGCATATGAAATAATCAATCGGGGCTGGGTTCGTATGTAAGCACATACTCTTGTTTGTTGCACGTTTCCAATCTTTTAGGCGACAAGCGTCAACGCTTCCATGGGCTGGCTGCCTTGCGCATGTGTGACAACGTCTCCCTGGGGAGTATGGACCCTGGACTAAAGAAATTATACTCATGCCAGCTACACTGGAGCGCCTGAGAGCCTCCCTGAACCATCCCTCCCCCATGTTTTTCTCCTGAGCCTGGAAAATTGGGGCCCGGAGCGCTTGATGCCTGATGGCTGTTGAAAGTATGTGGGTGGTCTTTCAGTGGCGAAGCGTGTCGTTACCGCCATGCATCATGTTTGAAGCTATCTACCGTTTGCCCCAGTCAGAAATCGTGCGAAACAGCGAACTCACATCCGTTTTTTACGTTCGTTACCTGTAATCAGCGCTTTATTCCAGCCCTTCTTTGCTCTCGCACCTCGCTCCAAGCTGTCCCGTTTTCATTTGTCCTTTTGAATCATCTGGAGAGCGTGAGATTACTGGCACTATAAAAAAATACGCCAAAGAGACATTGATCCCAACTCCCTGGGAGCGTGTCTGGGAAGAGAGGCAAGCTCGACCTGCTCGACCGCTGGTACCGAATAGAGGAGAGCACGGCCGGCGCGAGGAGCGGCGCCAGCTATCTCCACTCTCTTGCAGTTCCCCGCAACATTTTCCACCATGTATAGGCATGCACCGTGCTCTCATTGCTTGTAATGGGTCAGGCGCTTGGTGGCAGGTCTGACAACTGGTATTCCGTATTTGGTGCCCGGGAGATGTGGGATCTGGAATGTGGTGTCAGTATCAGACAAGATGTCCTGGCAGTTGGCATTGAGGTCATGGCGAGCTCCGAGCAGTCGCCTCCTAGCCAGATGTCAGCCGAGGTCTGCACATCTGAGAAACGGGTCTGGGGACTGGTACCCGCTACAGCCCTCTACCCACTCCCGGCGATGTGGTAAGGAAGAGTGCAGGGACGGGGCCTGGGACACTGGCAAGCAGTTGCAGGTATCAGCCACTGGTCCGAAGTATATTTGACCTGTGTTGGACTGGAGCAGACTGGGTCAAACATGGGCAAGCGGTCTGCTGGTGAGACCGTGGAGAGACAACTGCACGCGACCTGTTTCACAACGAGGGGAGCCCGAGTGATGAGAGAGAGCTCTGTGCTTCCGGACTTTTAAAGGGAAGGCCGCAAGCGGCGAGTCTCGATCACGGGTGTAGCGGGACTCGGGAGGTGCGCCAAAAAAGTGCTAGCTCCCACTGCCGATAAGTAGTTCTTTTTTTATGGTTCCGGTCACAGCGGCATTTTTTGCAGTATGCAGCGGATTCCCACCTGCTGCCTCACGCTCCACTCCAGAATTGGTCTTAGTCTCTTTGGGTTTTCCAGCATCGCTTTTTTGTTGATCTGTCACACCAGATCTCCTTTGCGCCGGCTTCTATATCTTTTATGGTGTTCAGGCGGCGAGTGTCCCTTCAGCCTTTAGCGCTTCAGCACGCTAGCATCCTGCGAGGTCCGAGAGGACACGTTCGCACTTGTACCAGCGTATTAGTAATACAGCGTCACGAGAAAGTACGGGGCGGTTTAGCCTCAACAAGGCCTCCCTACACCTTTCAAGCAAGAAGCACGGCCAAAGGGACCAATATTGTATGTTCCCTCAGCCCATCCATAACACGCCGTGAGTTGTTTTACCAGGACGCAGAAGTACACAACCTACTGCTGGTTGCTCCGCTTGCATGGTGCACTTCGCGGTGCTGACTGCTCTTTCTCTTTACTTGGTACCCTCTCACCCTCGTAACGCTGCAACCTGGCCTGAACGCTATGGGTTTCTCTCTTCGCCCTTGTCCTCGCCGCAACTCGACTGCCTCGACCGTCGAATCTTTCTGCTCCATCTCGTCGACCTCATCGCCATGGTCACTCTCCCCGGCGGCCGCCATACATTGGCCCGCCTTACGTACGGTTCCGTTTGCCTGCGCCCTCGCCACCGTCCACGGATACCGTGGACGGCTTCTCGACACATGCATCGTAATTGAGAAAGTGACAGAGTGCAAGCGCGAAGGCCAAGATGGAACTGTCTATCACGGCGCATGCCAATGATGTCTACCTATATCCTATTGACCCCAAGCTACCAGAGAGCGCGCAAGAGCAGCTTCGCGCGGACCGAGCAGGGCCCGCACTTTATGTTGCGAGCGTCCATCTCAAGATCCCGAGCAATACCAAGCCAAAAGATTTAAAGGGCATTATTCAAAAGCTGGAGGTCAAACTGGAAGGGAAAGAGATGCTCAGTGTGAGTTTATATCATCACGTGCGCTTCATGTAGTGCCTGCATCGCTGACAAGCCTCTTCAATTTTCAGTTCGCGGGTGGTGCCCACTTGGAGCAAAACACCCCGTTTGATATCACGAAAGTGCTAGAAGGAGCCGATGTCACACTTCCGTCGTCTAGGCTTTTGCGCGCCACACTGCCGGATCGAAATACAGACTCTTGGAAAAAGAGCGGAGCTTCCTATCTCTCATCACCGCCCAGCACAGCGGCTTCCTCTGCGGGCCCCTCGTCGCCCCATCAAGATACACACCAACCGCTCTCGCCGATCAGCCCGCTAGAGTCACCGGGTGGGTCATCCCTCGACCATCAAGGGGCTTCCAACTTGGGCCTCGAACCTGGGAAAGTCTACTCGTGGGACTTCATTTTTGAGGTCCCACACGAATCGGCACCCTATGAACGCAGCAAGCATGGGCGGCTCTACCAGCGCGTCACGGCCAAGCTCTGGCTCAAAGGAAGGGGTGGCCTGATAGGCTCAGGGAAAAAGACGCTCACTGCCCAAAAGGTGAGCACAGAGACAGAGCAGTGCACTTATCTTTTTTATCGTATTCATCATCGCTAATTTGCTTCCTGCGACCTTTTTCTTCCATTTAGAATGTCTTTTTCATCGCATTACCCGGTCAAGACGAGTCGCTTGCCTACAGCTTTACACACCGGGACGCAGTCGAACACCTCGGCCCGCTCCTCGTCACTACACGCTCGCAGCACTTGACCGTGGGCGGGTATATTCGCACAGCTCTTTCGCTCCCGAACCCGAATCCAGAGCTGCAGATTCTCGAAGCTAGTTTGTACCTGATTCAGACGTTCCATCTGCACTCTCGCAAACAGGTGCTGATGCAACCGTGCCAGGCGGACTACTTTCCGATCTTTGAATCGAAAGGCAGCGACATCCTGCGGGAAGAGGAGCAAGCTCAGGGAAGCGACGAGGAGGATGATGAGGACGACGAAAATGACAACGCATCGAGCGCCAGTAAGCATGTGTCGTTTGAAGGCAGCTGGATCAACAAGCTTCCGACGGATAACATGGTGCGATGCAGCGCGCTGCCTGGCAGTCTCTCCGCCATCAAACCACAGCACCAGTTCCAGTTCTCGCTGAAGTACACGTACCCGGGTATGCAGGAGGAGCTCGGGAAGCCATCTAAGCTGTACCAAGCTACATGGAGCGTCAACTTAGCGAGCTGCGCGGCGCGGTACGAGAATCTGAGACTGCCGGGCTACTCGGCCTTCGACGACAAGCCGGTGCCGGAAACGCATCGCGACGAGTGGACGGGTCCGAATGAGCATGAGAGTTTCACGCATTGCGCTTGCGGCGACTCGCTGGAGAAGTGAGTGGTGGCGCCATACTGCTGGCTGGCTGGCCTTCGACGTGCTTGATCGCTGTGCGCCTTGCTAACTCGACGTCTCGCCTCTCGTGCTGCCTGCTACGACGGACGAATTAGACTGATCCGCGTCGAAGCTGAGGCAGAGCGCGAGCAGCAGCATCGGCTGGCGGAAGATATTCGGCAGGACATTGAGCACATGCGTCTCGCGTCACGCTCCTCGTCGCGGTCCAACTCGCGTGCGGCGTCGCGCTCCAACTCACGCGCACCGTCACGCTCCAACTCACGCGCACCATCACGCAGCGTCTCGCGGAGGCCGTCGTTCAATTGCTTGCCGACGGGCACGAGCGGGAGCGGGTGCGTCGGTGCTGGCGCTTGGCCCGCGTCTCCCTCGTTGTCGCGCTCGCCTTCGCTGTCACCCTCTCCCGGACCCGCTGCTGGTGGTGCTCCCGGGCCGTCCGCCATCTCGGCTGCCGTGCGCTTTGCACCGAGCCACAGCAATGACCGCAGTCGAAGTCGCGGTCGGAACACCAGCAGCCGCGCTATGGCGGACGACGGAGACGGCGATGCAGACAGCCATAGTGCCAATGGTCAAAACCAGGGCCAGGGCCAAAGCGAGGGCGAGGGCTATGGATACGGCTACGGTTACGGCTACGGCTTGGGCTACGGGCATGAGCGCGGGGAGATGGACTTGGTGATGCGCAGGCGGATGCGTGAGAAGGAGCGCCAGCTGTACGAGATTGTGCCGCCCGAGGCGAGTTGAGGCGCATAGCCGTGCGGGGACTACGGGGTGAATGGATTGGATGGGATCTTGATGGCAGCACGCACGAAACTGCTCGGCGCTGCTGCCCATCATCTTTGCGCTTCCAGCAGCAGCATCGGCACGATCATAGCAAAGCAACCGTCACCGTCGGTTTGTTTGTTTGTTGTACTTGTACCCTTTGCCGAGCAACGATGATGTCTTCATACCACACTTGAAGTCGTGCACACGTATGTCATGAGCAAAGATATGTACAATGTAGTACGTGCTCAGCGCGCGCCAAACGACCGACCGAGCAATCGAGCGACGGAGAAAAGAGGTGTGGCGAGCGATTGCCTCGGGGGGTGCCCAGCGCCTGTCGGCCGGATGGATCGGATTCCCAATGCAGCCTCAACCAAAGTTGGATCGTGTGAGAAAACATATATTCCATCTCAAAGGATACCACATAAGCAAAATCGTAAAACATTTCCGATGCGCTTTCATCAAGACCTGATGTTTCACAATCTCATCAGATTCCAGTACGGGCGGGCGTTCATCCACTTTTGTCTTTTCTCCCCATGTCCAAAGAAAAAGTTGGCAGTCCCATGTCGTGTATCAGACAGAGCTCATCATAAACCCCAGTCGCGCAAGAGTGACGCTCAACCCTACTTTATTTTGGGAACGGTGCTGTAGCGGGCGTGTACATTTGGGTGGCGCTGCTCCACACCGCCAAAAGCCACAGTGCTATGCAGCTTGTGCCGACGGCCGGCGGCCCGGCCGCTCCGAGCGCTTCACCCGCAACAGTGAGTGGTGCAGTGCCAGTGTGGACGGCGCCATGTTTTCTCTTCCAGCAGTCGTCCAGTCGGTGAGAGCAGCAACCAGACTGCAATGCTATGCTGACCACCCTCCCCCCATCACTACCATCATCCACTGGCTCGACCTTTTCCCCATGGACCCGATAGCATCCTCGCCCTCTCTGTGGTCACTCTTGCATACCTGGCTGGCCCAGTATACACAAAGATACTCCTACCCTCGCTCGCCTCTCGACCGACACCATCACAAACATACGGCGATCGATCGAGCGAATGCGAGCTGGCCTCCGTTCGGCTCTGAGCCCCCCTCCATTCCTCTAACTAAATCCCCAACCCTGTGTCTTCGATGAGCATGCGGTCACGCCCCCCGTCACCGTCGCCGTCGCCATCACCCTTGTCCTTGTCGTTCGCTGCTGCCGCCACCGACCTGCCAGTGTCCTCCTCGACGCAGTCGCCGTCGCGCTTCCACATCCCCTACTTTCTGCGCCCCCGCAGCCCGGCACCCGCCGCAGGCGCACTCAAGCTGCCACCCAGCACCGTCTCGCCACTCCCGGCAGAGGTGCACAACGTGGCAAAGCCCTCTCTCAAGGCGCTGCGCAGGGGCCAGAAGATCATCGGCAACCCCTCCACGTACGCATACGCACCCGCCGCGGCATCGCAGGACCACTACAGCAATAACGGCAACGGCAAGCCTGTTGCTGAGCCGCGTGACGCAACGGCTGCTCCACCTGGAGTCTTTGCCCAGCAGCAGCAGCAGAAGCCGTCAGCAGGCCTGCACCTCGCCGTTGGCTCGGCCATCGCATCGCCGCACACACCGCTCGCCACACCACCTGCCACAGCCGTCCGCAGGCGCTGGCTCGCCGTACCGCGCTTCCACCTTTCACCCCACCAAAACACCGCCGTCTCTGCCACTGCTGAACCGACGTCAGCGCCCGCGTACACATCCACCACACCCGTCAGCACGCCGACATTCCCCAACGCCGCTCCAGTGCAAGCGCAGACGCAGCGGCTCGGCAAACCCAGCGCGCGCTCACCCTCTGCCTCGCCCTCGTACCTCAGCGCCGGAGTAGCATTCGCGGGCGCCCCCGTCAAGTTTGCGTACAAGAGTGTGCGCAAGGTCACCGGTGCTGGCGCGGCGAGTGCAAGGGCGGGTGCGGATGCGACTGCTGCCCGCAGCAACGCAAGCGCCAAGGACAGTGCAGAAAAAGACAAGGAGCGCGAGAAGAGAAAGCACAAGCTGCTCCTCGCTGCGGAGAAGGAGAAATTGAAAAAGGAAAAGGAAGAGGAAGAGGAAGAGGAAGAAGAAGAAGAAGAAGAAGAGACGAAGAAGACGAAGACAAAGTTGAAAGGAAAGGAGAAAGATAACATGGCTGCACGAGGTCGGTTGGCCGCTCTTCGCGTACGTTTGCTCTGTGCACAATGCACCCCAGCAGCCCGTTGCTCTGGCCATCAACTGACGAAGCTTGGTTCGCTACCTTCCTTTGCTCGGCTCTCTCTGCTGATGCAACAGGCTCAACAGGCATCCATGACCATGTCCACACTACCGCCTGTTTCCGTTGGCACGACGACAGGCAGCCACGCACAGGCGGACGTCAGAAGGGACAGTAGCGTTCGGCGGTCCGGCTCGCTACGCTCGTCCCGCCCGCCAGGCGCCGCAGCCACCTGCCAGTCGCAGTCGGAAAGCCGTGACGCTACCAACGCGTCGAACAGCAGCGCAGGTACCGGCGCCCCGGCGAAGATCAACTATGGCCACAGCCACGGCGATTACAACGCGTACGGCATCGACGACGTCAGCCCCATCGAGCCACCCATGGAGCACGACGCGCGCTTCCTCCGGTCGGACGACAGCGTCTCGCTGCGCAACGCCCGCCCCGCTGCGCCGCAGCAGGGGGGCGTGCAGCGCTCCTTTTCCAACGGCTCCACTGTCACCACCGTCACGGCTGTCACGCGCAGCGCGACAGCCAGCAGCAACACCACACTGGGCGGTGGCAGCGCGTACGAGTACAACATCAGCAAGACGGACAAGGTTCGTATCGGCTACGGCCCTGCCTCGGCCGCGGTCGCAGCGGCAGAACCGGCTGGTGCGGGCAAGCGCGGTGTGGGTGGCTGGCTCGGCGGACTCGGTTTCGGCGGCAAGAAACAGCCCAAGAATGCCGGCGGCATCTCGCCCGTAGTGGAGGAGAAGGAGGAGGGGACGCTTGCGTACGGCGCCAACGGGAGCCGGCTCGCGCCCAGCGCTTCTGTCCAGCGGCGCGCGACGCTCGTACACGCCGGCATCAATGACGACGCCGCGGCAGCAGCAGCGGCCATGCCGCGTGAACGCTCTTTCCAGCTCCTCTCTGCTATCCGCTGCGCCGGCCCCCCGTCGCAACAACAGCAGCAGCAGCACAGCCAGCTCGGCATGCTCAACCGGCGCTCCAAGGCGCATCTGATGGAGGACTTTTTCCGGCAGCTGTCCGACATCTCGGACACGGTCACACTGATCGACGACCAGGTCAGCGCGATCGGCGCTGCGCACGCCAACTCGCTCGACCAAGCCGACGAGGCGTCCGCGCACATGGCCGAGCAGGAGGTGACACACCTACAGTCGCTCGCGCGCTCGCTTCTGAGCGCGTGCAAGGCCAAGCTACTTGGCATGTTCCGCGCGGCGCAGCTCCTCCCGCTCTCGTCGCCGGACCGCGCGACACAGCTCGCGCAAATCGCGGCGGCCAAGGAGCGCCTCAAGGGCGTCCTGCAGCGCTACTACGAGCTCGAGCAGTCCTTCCGTGCAAAGTACCGTGCCCGCGCAGAGCGCAAGTACCGCAGCGTCGACCCGACCGCGACGCCTGAGGAGCTGTCGGCTGTGCTCAATGACGACGACAATGGCCAGGCGTTCTTCCAGCAGGCCATGCGCAGCTGCACCCGCCCTGGCGAGGCGCGCACCGCCCTGCGCGAGGTCCAGGAGCGCCACGAGGACATCCGCAAGATCGAGCGCACCCTCGCCGAGCTCGCCGCGCTCTTCAATGACATTGACATCCTCCTCACAGAGCATGGTGACGAGGTCTCCGCCATCTTCCACACCACCGAGGTCTCCAAAGAGGCCATGAAGGAGGCAGAGAGCTACCTCGCTCAGGGTGCCGAGCACGCCCGCCGCGCCAGGCGCAGGCGCTGCTGCATCCTCGGCATCGTCCTTGCGCTCATCATCCTTCTCATCACCGTCATCTTCGCATCCGCCTGCGCCGGAGGCAGGTGTGCGCTTACGCATCGCCACGGCTCCGAGAATGTCGCGTTAGACGGAGACGACAGCCACAACGCGCACAGCACCAACGGTGGCAGCCGCACAGCCGACGGTGACGACGATCATAGCGACGATGCCAGTAACGGTAGTAGTGTCGCGTCTGCTGCTAGCAAGCCAACACAGACGAACAGTACCGTATCTGCTGCCAGCAAGCCAACGCAGACGAGCAACACCGCCAAACCGGTTGCCAGCTCGACGTCAACTGCAGCAGCGGCACCCACCAGCACGCACGCTACGGGCTCCGGTTTTGGCTCTTCCCAAGGTAGCAACACAGATGATGACGCCGACGATGATGAAGCCGAAGACGACTATGACGAGGGCTACGATGATGGAGGGGACGGAGGCGACTTCTACGAAGAGTACGGCACTACCGAAATACCATCGCACCAGCTCACATTTGGCAACGTCACGAACGGCAAGAGTCAACGCATCGCCATGCACCAAAAGCCACAGCAGGCGCAGGAGCAAAAACAGCAGCAGCAGCAGAAGAAGAAGGCGCAGGCAAATCAGGCAAAACAGACAAAGCAAACAAAGCAGGCAAAGCCTGAGCACAAAAATGCGCAAGAACAAAAGGCGCAGAACAAAAAGGCGCCCAGCACGTCTAAACCTGCCCCTGCCCGTGCCGCCGCGGTTGCCAGTCCGACCCGCGATGACTCGAATGAGCTGTACGACGAATACAGGAGGCGTTCCGAGCCTCTGTTCGCGGTAGACGCGCATGAACTCTTGCAGCGTCACATCGTTGCGAGGAAGAGCAAGGAGCGTGATCTTTTACTGGAACTTTTGTATTGATTTAGAAGCAGCTCGGTCTCCCATGCTTTTCGGTTTTCATTGGACAGAATCTATTTCGTTTTGTTTCAAAAGAAGATTCCCAGCGTGCATGGCGTACTTTTGATGTGACTATTCCCTCGAACATCGTTGGCCGCATGATAGCAACAAAAATACAAAGGGGGGATGGAACACATCATGGAAGAGGAACGTCGCGTGCCTACACCGCTTGAAATATGTTCGTAATGTCACTTTTGGAGGAATGTCCTCCTTGCTTGTGGTAATATCGTGAGATTCGAAGCAGGGAGGACAGTGTAAGGAAGAGTGAAGTGGAGGATTGGTGGAGAGTTGATGAGATCCGACGGCAGAGATTGATAGATAGGTGATGAGGTATCCCGTTCGCATGGGGTTTAGGCGGTGTTGGTGCTGGTGCTGCTGTCATTGCATCCTTTCGATGCTCTGTGTGATCAGAGTCCTCATGATCTCTCGCGGTTGCGGAAGCGCAGCAACGGCGCGAGACTCGAAAGCGCGCATGACTTCTTGAGGAATTCATGCTGCGTGCGAGAAGAGAGGGTCTTGTCAGTCCTGTTCCGCATTCTCCTTAAGTCCCTACTCTGGAACCCACCTGGAGAAGCTCGTCGGCAGTCGCGCGAGATTTGACGTCGGCGCACAAGCAGACGGCCAGGAAACCTTTCAGTTCCTTGCTGAGGCGTTCCGGCTTCTTGAGCGTCGGCGTGCCATTGGTGGCGATGAGGTACAGCGCCTTGAGCGGTTCCTCATCCAGATATGGCGGCTCGTTTTCGATCATCTCGATCGCCATGATGCCGAGCGACCAAATGTCCACCTTGGCGCCATACTCTTTCTGCTTGACCACCTCTGGTGCCATCCAGTACGGGGTACCAACCATCGTGGCACGCTTGCTCTTCTGGTCCGTAAGCTTGGCACAGAAGCCAAAGTCGGCTGAGAGCGAGCAAATGGGAGGGTAGAATAGCGTGGCGCGCGGGTCAGACACATTGAGTTCAAGAATGGATTGTGACGTTGTCACTCACTGATCTTGACTTGGCCCTGCGCGTTCAGGAGGACGTTGTCACTCTTGATGTCCCTGTGGATGATGCTTTGGGCATGAAGGTGTTCCAAGCCTTTGCAGGTCTGTGAGAGGCGAGAGAATGTCAGCGTCTCAAGAACAGCTGAGAAAAGAGACACGCTAATTGAAGGGACAACACACCTCGAAGCAAATAGCAGCGATCTGGTCCTCTTCGAGCGTGTTATTGTCGATGACATCCGTCAAAGCTCCGCCTTCCATGTACTCCATGATGACCCACAGCTCGTTGTTCTTGACGAGGTATGACTCGAGGAAGTTGACAATGTTCGGGTGCTGGCTCTCCTTCATGACGAGGATCTCATTGACGATGAGCTCCTTGCGCGGCTGCTGCGACAAGTCCATCGTCTTGATCGCGACGCGCTGGCCCGTCGCAAGCGTCTTGGCGACATACACAGACCCAGATGCGCCCTGGCCGACCTTTTTGATCTTGCTGTACAGCTGGTTCGGATCGTCGGGCGAAACGACACTGCGCAGCTTGTCCATGATCTGCGCCTCGGTCATTGTACTGATCCGCCGGTCGCTCTCCTTGGCAGCAGCCTTGGACGACGCAGCAGCGGCCGACGGCGCCGGTTCGGCCTTCTTGGCTGTCTGCAGCGGCTTGACGGCCGGCGCGGCCTGCTTGTCTGCACCGGCAGGCGCAGCTGGCGCTTGGCGCGTAGCCTTCACCGCGCCTGCAGCGCCGGCCTTGGCACCCGATCCATCCGCGTCAGCGGGGTTGCGTGCCTTGCGCTCGTCCGTCGGCAGCGCAGCAGAGAGCTTCAGATCCTTGGCTTTGACGTTCAACGCCGCTACGCCACCAGGATCATTCGCATCTGTCCTGCTGCGACCGATGCTGCTGCTGCTCGGCAGCGCACCGCGCGGTCCGCCAGGCGCCTGCCTGGTCGCTGCACTGCTGGAGCCAGTGCTGGTGCCGCCGCCACTGCTGCTGCTCGATGCGCCAGGCGCTGAGGGCGCCGGCCTGCTGGCGAACAAGTCCGATGGCGAGTTGGCGGCGCCTCCAACGGGACTCCTGTCCTTAAGCGTGGGGGCCGGCGCGTTCGTCGGCCTCGGGGAAGGCGAAGCGCGCCCATTGTTGGCATTGCTGCTGCCGCTGCCGCCGTAGCCGCCGGAGGCACCACTGCCGCTGCCGCTGCTAGCGCCGAGCCGGTCTTGCGTGCTGCCCTGCTGCTGCGGTGGATCCGGGCGCCGCTGCGCTTCGGCTGTCCGATAGTTGCTGCCGCTGCCGCCACTCGCATTGTTCGACCCAGCCGAGCCTGTCCGTGTGACATCCCCCCAAGCGGATGAGGAAGGAGTTGACGAGAATCCCGAGCCGGCATGCTGCTGCTGCTGCCCAGATGCCTTGCTGGCGAAGCCGGTCTGGGTGCCGGTCCTGAAATCCTGCTGCGCCTGGCCCGTGGTGGCTTGCTGGCTTCCGGCGTAGCCGGTGCCACCGAAGCGCGTGCTATTGGCGCTGGCGGCTGTTGCACCGGGCTTGAGGTTCATGGTGGGTGTGCCGAGTCCAAAGTCGTCGCGCTCGCGCTTCTGGATGTCCGTGTAGAACTCGAGGACGTCGAGCACCGCCTGCGGGTTCTTGACGTAGTCCTCCTTGGTGATGGCGCTTGTGGTCAGCAGCTTGGTCCACTGCTCCGGCAGGCCGGTGAACGCGCCCGAGATGGGGTCAAAGCCGACATGCACCTGATGGACAAAGTTCGTCGGCGACGAGACGCCCATGAGCGGCGAGCGCGAGTAAACATCGTCCATCCAGCCGTACAGCTCCTCATCGTTTTTGAGCTGGACGTAGTACGTCTTATCCTTTGTCTCGATCTCGATGCAGTACGGCTTCAGGTCAGTGCGCGTCACATTCGTGATCTCCTTGAGGAAGATCAGCGACGAGGGCTGGTATGTTGTCTGCGAAGGACATGTCGTTGGCATTCGGAGCATCAGCACAATGTATGCAGACATGCCTCGCTCTCACTCCGCCACACTTTCAACGCACCTCGTTCTTGTGAAATGTGAGCGTCTGCTCTCTGAGTGCGAGCCACCTCTTGCTCCAGATCCAGCTTCTTATCCCGTCCTCCTTGACGCTGACGTAGCCTTTGCGGAGGATCTTGCTGCTCCCGCCTGTTCCAAAGCCGCTGGTGCTGCCGCCGGCGGAAGAAGGCCCGTTGTTCAGGCCGTAGCTGCCGAGACTGCCGTTGCTCGATGCGGGCCCGAAGCTGCTGGAAGAGGAGTTGTTCGAGCTCATGATGGGCCGCAAAGAGCCCGTGTATGAGCCGCCACCTGCGCCAGGGCCAATGCCGGCATTCCCTAGCTTGGCCGCGCTCGCCCCGGCCAGGCCTGCGCCTAGCCCTACGCCGGGGCCGCCAAAGCCGCTGTTGCTTCCGCTACTGCTGCTGCCGGCGCCGCCTCCACTGCCCAGCGAGGACGAGCCGAGCGAGCCGAGCCCGCCGGCTCCCCCATTGCTGCTGCTGCTGCTGCCGGGGCCAAAGGAGGAGAAAGGCGGAAGGAAGGCGCTGTTCTGCTGCGAGCTGCTGCTACTGCTGCTGCCGCTGCTGCTGCCCGATTTGGACGGCGGGACAGGCGGAGCGGGACGCGAGGGTGTGAGGGAGCCAAAGGAGGTGGAGTGGCCCATGCCCGAGGAGGCGGTGGACTGACCCGCATTGTATCGGAAGCCGGACATGACGGCGGATATGTCGCGATTCGCCTTGTCGGTACTTTTGCTCGCTCGTCCGAGTACGGGGCAAGAGGGAGAATGTGGCGGTGATGCGACTGCTGATGCTGAGGTGCACGTCTGCCACTGTTGCTATCGTATGCTCGTAGTGATGCTGCTTCGATTGCGCGATGCAAGCAGGCGGCAGCGTGGTATTATGTTGGCGCGAGCGATTTAATGTGGATGCAAAGGGGTGCCGGCGAACCTGGTCGTTCCACGAGAGTTCACGCTCGCGCGTGCGCTCGATGGCCAAGCCGACAGAGGCCCCGGTGAAGACTATTGCAACAAGAGCTTGGCCACAGCGAACAGACCAATGTTCAGTGGGATGTAGACTTGTCCCAAGGGGGAGAGAGAGAGAGAAAGAGACGAGAGACGCGCGGGTGAGTCGAAGCGGCGCAGGTGTGGTAGGGAAAGACGAGCGAAGAGCGAGCGCCGGCGCGCGTGGTGATCTATGTATACAAACACAGCGCGGCGCTTCGGAAGCTGGACTTGCGTGCACACGCGTGTGTGCCTATGTTTCTCGGGCACCAGCTTTATGCGCTTCCGTCGTGCTGAAGGTACAAATGCGCGAGGCATCAGCATGAGCAGTAGGGATGGCCGGGCAGATATGAGGTGTATGCGAAGCTGCCATGTACGCCCGAGTCGAGGCTGAGAGGTGTGTTTGTGTTTGTGGTGGCATGTGTCCTTTTTACGTGGTCGTGGCGAAGACGGAAGACTGCCGCTCAGTGCCTGCCACGGATGCCACACGCCCGTTTGAGTGCCCTCTGGTGCCGTTGCTTGCACGTTGCTTGCGTGTGGCGCTCGCTACTCGACGGCTCTTCGCACATCACTCCCATCTAGCCGCGAGCAAACTGTACAACCCTACATTGCCATCAGACCACAACGCTGGACACGTCTCCCGCTGTCGTCGGTCGTCGTCCACATCGTCTTTGAGCCGTTGCCATACATGACCTCACAGGACACGTGTCTGCAGGATGCCCTCTTATTCATACACGCCATGTTCAGTATTGGCGCCCGGCATGATACATTTCCATCGCAAGTCTCTGCAGTATGTACAACCAAGAGGAGACGGACCCGCGTCATGGGGCTTGTAGCAAAGGCAGCTGTTTCAAGTTTGAACCTCCCAGTCTCTCGCCTCTCGGTCTCCCTCTCCTTCGTGCTCGCCGTCTTATCACGACGGCCGCACGTGCATTGACGCTTCCCCATGAATTTCGCCCGACATAGTAGTCCCTTTGACGCGATTGGCAGGATCCTGCACGAGGGCATACTGCAGAAGTGAGAGCGCCTTCCTCCGTCCGTACTACGTGGCAACAAAGAAGGTTCCACAGCGTATCAATCACTAGCTCGCAAAAGAAAAGTCCAGGCAGAATATGGTCGATCTGAGTGTGGTATTTGCTGACGAGCTGGCTTTGGTCGTCCCTGTTAGTAAATGCACAGTGCCCCTTCCAATCACCACCATACAAGCCATCAGGCGCGCGCCGCACACAGTCACACGCCACCTCAAGTCATGGCAGGATCGCGTTGCTGAGCATGCTACCATTACTCCAGCTGGCCACTACTCGTAGATGAATGCAGAAAGCCATCCACTCCAGACAAAATATCTTGAGTCTCGCGAACGTATCGACGCTCGACAATCACCATATACATAGATGTGTCCCTTATGACCTTGGCACCGATGCCTCGCCGCTTTACCCCCTTTGACCCTACTCGGGACCTCCACCGCGACCGCGACGATCAGGCATCGGCCGCCGCACACGATGCCCAAGCCGGGACGAACAGTGCCAGTCATCGAGGAGGCTGATGACTCGTCTTTCCTCCGTTCACCTATTTGGCTTCTTTTTTGATCTTCCCTTTCCTTGAGCGTATGACGTGGGCCCCAATGGGGGCTCTCAGGTCTCCCCCGACCTTGCACCATCACAGGAGACACATCACATCCTGCCTGCTAAAGCCTCACCAAGAGCAGCCATGGCAGGCCCTGCAGAAGGCGGAAGAAAGGGAATGCAGCGAACGAAATAGCTCCTCGAGCAGGTCGCCAAATACGTTTATGCTAGACCATCATACCAGATCAACCCGCCGCGACTTTGCATTCGACCGCCGCCTCGCCTCCGCGCTGCCGGGCAGCGGGCATGGAAGCTAGCGCATTCGACACGCCCTGGTTCCTGCTGCCGATCCCGATCATCCTGCTTGTCATCGCCATCGTGCTCATCACGCGGCGCTGCAGCACCCGGAATCGCAAGAAACGCCAGCGCCGCTTCATTCTGCGTAACGTCACACCACACTCGTCATCACCGATAAGGAGCGTGCCAAGGAGCGCCGCCCCAGCCGCGCGCACTTTCTCGCCAGCAAGTTCAGCAGGGTCACCAGCATACCCAGTACCGCCTACGGCGGCACCGGTGGAGCGGTTCGCACCAGCGCCAGCATCCGCCCCCATCCTTCCTTCAGCGAGACGCTGGCGCTGTCAGGGTCCGGCGCGGTACATGCAGGCTGAATACTCCTCCGCCAGCCGCAGGGCGACCTGTATCGCATCGATGCTGCGTCACGGCGGCACAGCGGGCTTAACAGCAGGCGTCAACGCTGGGCCGATCAGCAGCAATAGCAGCAGCTACCGGTGCTGCAGACCCGCGCACCGATCAACCCGCGCAAGCCGCGCCTAAAGTCAGAGCACCGCTCCGAGGCGGGCGTGGGGAACGACATCATCGCCTCCGGGTCCGGTGGACAACGGTGCTCCTCCTTTGGCTTCTCAAAAAGAGAGGTGGTAAGTGGCGTTGACTATGTCAGTGATAATGCAGGTGCAGGTTGCAGGGCAGGCGGTTCGCTGGGGCATGGCGCGCATATGCAAGCAGCAGCTGCGCCTAGCAGCTCGCAAGGGCACGGCGACTCCGTGCAGGCGCTTCCGCAACACGGCGCCGAGGACGCCTCGCGCCACGGCACTCGCCAGTGCCTCGCTCGGCGAGACTGTCTCGGATTCCGGACACAATCACCACCACTCCGTCACCTAGGCCCTGATTCTCCCTGTGCCGCCTCCGGCACTTACCGGATCCCACAATCAGCATCATCACCACCATCAACAACAACAGCAGCAGCAGCAGAATGATGATCCGTCGTCATCGACATCTGTCGCGCGCGTACAGCAACGCCTGGCCCCCCACCTCCGCAGTCATGCCACCTCGCCAACAGAGAATAGTGGCAGCGCTGCTAGCGGTCAGGCTCTCTGGAGTGTGGCTCGCTTGCTTCGACGATGCGAAGCACAGACAGTGCGAGCGCGGATGCGCGAAACGCTCCTGAGACAGCCAGCACCGCCGCCAAGACCATGCCGTCCGCTTTGACCAAGAGCAAGCGTGGATCCAACAAAGCGAGTGCGCCGCCCACCGCTGTGGGGCTCGCGGCAAGAGCAGTGGTGGACATCGCAGCCGGAGCGACAGTAGGGGCTACTGCAGGAGCAGCGCCAGCTGTGGGAACAGACTCAGCGACCGGGCTCATCAGCTCGGCTTCTCGGCTTCTCGCTCGAGCGCCAGCTCTGGGTCCGAGTCGAGATCTAGGTCCACACCCACGTTTGCATCTGTATCTGCCTCGAGATTGACCCTGTTTGCGCGGAGGAGAAGCTGTCGTATCAGCATGGCCCTCACTCCCATCGGCGAGCGGTGAGCCGGACCAGACGCAGCAGGGACGGATGACGTACGCTGCAGCAGTCCTGTAAAGGAACAAGCACCGCACGCAGCCGACTCAGACAACGTGGAAGAGCAGGACGTGCGCGTCGCGGCTCTATACTACTCCTCTTGCTTGGGCAGGAGATGCTGCGAACAAAGGTCGCTTGATATGAGGGCGAAACAAAGAAATTCGTTCGACATTGCCCGTGGCTTGCTGCGCGTCAGGTTTGAGAAGCTCTAGACGCGGCGAAGTCTAGGGCTGGCAAGCATGTCGCTGATGATAACCGGCCCTCTGCGCCTGCCGCTGCCGCCAGCGCAGCGCCATCGACCCGCATGAGTCTCGACACCGCATTGCCTCACCTAAACATGCCGCATTTGCCGTTGTCCAACAAGCTGCTCATGCGCAGCAAAAGCAAGTGCAATTCGTCCTTGCGGAAAGCGTAACAAGTCAAAGATTTCGATCACACGCTGATAGGCGGCACCATCCTGCGGGCCATGCTGCCTTCGCCTCCTGGAAAGGAGCGGGGGCAAGAGCAGCGCACGGATGCTGCGAGCAGCAGCAAACTGCAACAGAGCACTTACAAAGGCCTTCCTGCGCTGCTGCTGCACGCTAAGACAAAATTGGGACCGTCGTTACCGCAACGATACCACCATCGTGGGCGTATCAGCCCAAGGCGGCCGATTGGCGCGCCGCAGCCACAGCAGCCAAGCGACTGAGCCCGGACACTCGGCTGGCGGAGATATGCAAAGGCGCGCACGCCGCTCAGTAGACTATGAATCTACTCACACTTGCTATGCTTGGCTCGAACCTGAGCGGAGCTGATGCACTGTAGCGAGTGCCGAGCATCGGCGCAGCTGACAGCCTGTTCAAGGGGACGTTCAACGATGGCGATGACGAAGGCGAAGTCGAAGACGAAGCTAATGCCGTTGGTTGCGGTGCTTGCGGTGGCAGCATCCCGACGGAAGGATAGTAGAGTTGTGGGGAAGGGGATCAACACGCCATGGAGGGTGTTGGAACAGGATGCCCTTGCATGCGAACCCATTTCATTCATTCACCAGCCCAGCACGTGGGTGCCACCTCTATATGACACGCCATGTTCCAGGCCCATGCAATACTGTAGAATAATTCAATTGCGCACAGAAAGTTCAGATTGCACATTCCGCACTGTTTTGAGCCATTCAATGGTGTTTCATTAGCCCTCATCTTCCGCTGCACGCTTTCTTTTCATCTCTTTTGTGATTTTGGTTTGCGCAGCGGGATGACGAGCAAGCTCCGGCGAGACTTTGGATACTGGTGAGCGTGAGATCTCCTGCTTGAGATCGTAGTAGAGCTCCTCGTCGCCGCTGTCGAGGAAGGTGATAGCAACACCGTGCTTGCCTGCACGACCGGTACGGCCGATACGATGAATGTAGCTTTCAATGTTGTTGGACATTTGGAAGTTGACGACCAGCGCGACATTCGGCACGTCGATACCACGTCCCGCCAGGTCGGTCGCAACGAGCACAGGCGCCTCGCCTGAGCGAAGCGACGCCAACGCCTCTTCTCTTTGTGCTTGCGTCTTCTTGGAGTGGAGCACAGCTGGATTCCAGCCGGCCGAAGCGAGGTATTTCCCAAGACCGTCTGCGTCGATAATGGTGCTGCAGAAAACGATCGTTGGGCCATCCACCCCAGCGTGTAGGATTTGCATCAGACGTTGTCTGCAGGGAAAAATTTAGATGCAGATGTCAATAAGACAAGAATGACTGCCTCGACTCTGGTCGCGGCTCTCACCTCTTCTTCTCATCTGACTGAATGAATTCCACTCGCTGCTCGACGGTACCGACTGCTTGATTGGCATCTCCAATTGTGATATGCGCAGGCCTTCTCAAATACTTCTTCGCCATGCGCTCGACACCTGGTGGCATCGTGGCCGAGTACAGCATGGTCACGCGGTACTTGTCGACCCTGTCTTCGCCTTCTCTGCGCAGCAGCTTGAGTGGATCTTCAGCATCTTCCGTGTCTGGCTTCAGATTGGACACCGGTAGAGCGTCCAAGATGATGTTGAGTTCAGCTTCGAAACCAAGGTTGAGCATCCTGTCGGCTTCGTCCATGACGACATAGGTGCATTGGCCGAGGACCAAGACATGACGCTCAATGCAGTCCTTCAGACGACCAGGTGTCGCGATGACGATTTCGGCACCGTTGCGCATATTGAATGCTTGTTCATTCATGTCGCGTCCCCCAACGATCGAGACACATGTGAAGCCGAGGTGGGCAGCGAACTTGCGCGTCTCGACTTCGATCTGCTGGGCCAGTTCTCGAGTCGGGGCGAGAATGAGAGCATACGGTCCAAGATGCCGATTCTCGTCCGTCAACCGTGGAAGATCCAAGATATATGCGAGCATTGGTATTACGAAAGAAGCGGTCTTTCCCGAACCTGTGAAGGGAAAGAATGCAATCAGTGTCCTGTAACACACAGAAAGCATAAAAGCTCTGCGCACCTGTCTCTGCAATGCCGATGAGGTCCCTGTTTTCCAGTCCAATCGGGATTGCTTGTCTTTGAATCGGGCTTGGATCCTGATAGCCGATCATTTCGATGGCCTCTAGGATCGGCTTCGGAATCTTGCTCTCCTTCCAGCTGCGCAATGGCCGCGGAATGTGTCCGCCGCGAGCAGCGATCGCAAAGTCTTCCCGAAAGATACGCCAATCCCGTTCGCGCATCTCTTCAAGCGACTTTTCTGTCCAATGCTTCTCATCCATCGCATTTCGCGCCCCTCGCCGTCGTTCCAATGTTTCAGTTGCAGCGGCGGCGCTGCTGCTTGTCCCTTTCGGCGATCCAAGTTGTGCTATGCCACTCGCTTTCGCTGCGCTACTAAAGGCTTTCGCCTCGATGATGTTTTGAAACACTGGATTGATGGTGTCCGTCGTATCTTCCTCCATGTCATGGTCGAACATGTATTTGCGATCTTGAAGCATACGCCGGGTCTTCTTTGTCGATCCCTGCTTGATACCGAGATATCGTCGCCTGATCAACTCTTGTTCTTCGGCGGTGACGGGTGCATCACCAGATCCATCCTGGGATGCGTAACTGTTCTTCGGCAGTGCATTTGGCTTTCCAGCAGAGCTTTTCCCGGCGTTTTGCCCATTCGAGGATTGAGAACCGTGGGAATGTCCGTAAGGCTGCCTTGATGGCCCTGGTGCATCCTTGTCTGTATATCCATTCATCCTGCTATCACGGCTCGGTCCAGACGCTCCATTTTGATAGCGCTGCCTATCTGCCCTGGGAGCGGTCGGAGCTTGTGTATGGGTAGAGGTGCCATATCGGTTAAGTCCATTTGCGGTGCTGCGCACCTCCTCCCTTGCCTTGCGCTCGAACTCCTCTCGCTTCTTTCGCTCGGCCTCTTCCTTGGCCTTGGCAGCCTCGACTTCCTGCTGTCGCTTCTCTAGAGCAAGTCGCTGACGCTCAGCTTTGCTCATGAATTTCGGCTGCGCAAGAGGCGAGCTGCAAGTCAGGGAGGCGAAAGCTAATGGCTGGCACGTCACGGTTGCTCAGGGCATACTCACCTTGACGGCTGCCTCCTCCTTCTGTTTCTGGAGCAAAGCTTCCACGGACAGAGGCTCTTTACGCGACATGATTCCTTGAGAAATGGCTCTGCACTGCGATTTCGGAATGTACACAGCAGGCGTAATCTCGTCTTCAGGGCCCTGTTCAATGCGCATGAAGTGCATATAAATAGAACAACCAGGTCCGAATATATAATCATGGATCCGAGTGCTGGCTTGCTGCTGAGTTGCTGACAGCCAGAGCTGAACCTGCATCGAGGAGAAGGAGGTTTGACTTCTCTCGGCCGTAAGCCGTTCCGCCCGTTGTCAGTCCCCTTCATCCATCCTCTCCGCTCTCACTGCCGGAGCTCTCGTTCTTCTTCCAGCCTGCTTCCATGTCTGATCTGAAATACTCAAAGCCTTTTGCTACTGCTTCACGGAATTTCGAGGCGCACCTACAGGAGAGTTTGTGCACACACCCTGTAGCAGCTCACCATGTCCGCCTCACTCACACGCTCTCTCGGCCTGCTGTCTCTGCGCAGTGGGTCGGGAGCCCTTGCCGCCGCCACCACTGCCGCCACGGCTCAGGCTGCTCACGCCATCGGCAGCACTTCGCGGGTGACACTTGGAATGACCCTCGCTTTCTCACAAGGTCCAATTCAACGGAGAGGATATGCTTCGGAAGCGCTGGGGCCCATCAGCCTTGGCAACTTGAAGCCAGCCGTACCGACGAAGAACGTGAGCACGTCCTTTTTCTTTGCGCTCTTACCCCTTCAAGTCTGACGCATACCGTTTTGCGGTCGTAAAGCGAAAACGACTGGGTCGTGGTCCTGGGTCAGGGAGGGGCGGTACCGCTACAAGAGGACACAAGGGACAGAAGGCAAGGTCCGGCAATGGCAAGCCTACGCCAGGCTTCGAGGGCGGTCAAACACCGATCATGCGTCGGTTCCCAAAGAGAGGCTTTACAAATATGTAGGTGCTCAAATCACTTTACTGGACGACCCTTGCGTTTCATGCAGTGCTAATGTGTTACTTACTTCGAAAGTCACGGCCATGAGTACGCACCCGTCAACCTGGACCGCATTCAGTATTGGATAGACCTGGGCCTGTTAGATCCCGCCCAGCCCATAACAGCCGCAGAACTACTTCACAGCCGCTGCATCCATCAGGTTAAAGACGGCGTCAAGATTCTCGCCGACGGAGCGACGCGCCTACGGACTCGTATCAACCTCATCGTCTCCAAAGCTTCACAAAGCGCTATTAAAGGCATTGAACGCGTAGGGGGTAGCGTCGAGTGCAGGTACTACAATCGCCTCAGTCTGACCGCGCTCGTCAAGCCACACAAGTGGATCGAGAAGGGCAAGTTGCTCCCACTGCCTGCAGAGCCAACAAAGAAGCGAGACTTACGTGAGTCTTTGTGGCAGTAAGCTGTAGCAACGGCCAAAGGTACTCGCCTGCTAACGTTTTGCTTCGTCAGTATACTACGCTTCACCCAACAAGCGAGGCTACCTTGCCAAGCGTGCGATCGGAGCTGCGATCGCTCAACGGGACGTCGAATCCGCAGGTCCAAAATCATCGCCAGCTGCTCCATCAACCGAGGCAGCGACGGCAGACGCCCAATCTGCACCACCAGCCGCATAACGCTGCATGTACCCTTCCGCATCACTGGCTTCCCATGCATGCATACACAGAAGATGATGTGTTGACAGTGTGTTTGGTATCGAGTGGCATGCTACAAAGTGTGCGTGTGAAAAAGGAGAGAAACAAATGAATCCCCGAACAAATGACCGAATGCCGAACAAAAGAAACTTCCTTTTAATGATATATCATCACACCTTGAAACTGAACAGTGCGTGTATGGTTCGAATGCCATGTAGTCGTAATGAATGCTGCCTGTTTGATGTAGGGCCCTTCGGATGAAAGGGGCAAAAGCAAGCTGCTTGAAGCTGTCCCTTCGACAGATGGAAGTAAAAGCCGCGGAAAACAGAGGAAATGGGACGGATGATGAACGAGTGGACGCGATAACCAGATACCTTTATTGTAGGACCGAAACGAGATGATATGATGTGCTCCGTCGAAAACGATTGTTGCTGTAAAAAGGCAGGGAAATCACTTTGCGTGATCGATGCGTTTGTAGTTGTGCTGTGCGGCGACAAAGGCGGGGTGATGCGCTTGCTGCATCGTCTGCTGGTAGTAAGTGTCGTCCGTCAGGCTCTTAGCCTTGTCTCCAGCGAGCTTCAGCGCCGAGTTGGTCAAGTTGAGCGGCACTGCAAGAGAAATGGATGTCAGCACATGCGATGACTGTGAATCACCGATGTTGAAAATACATGACTCACGGAACAAATACCACATGGACCCTCTCTCGTACCAGGGGGCCGAGCGCGAATTGGGCGAGAGCGGGATGGAGTGCAGGTACATCTCTGGCAAAGAACTTCCATTGCTGGTCGGCGAAGGGCCACCATTAGCACTGTTTGCGCCGCTACTGCCGGCGGCGGCGGCGCTGCCGTTGCTGGTACTGGTGCTAGGCCCAATGGGCGGCCCCGCAGACTTTCCAGGCGGAGCGGGGTACTGATGCAGCGGCACGAAGCCCGAACCAGTCGGGCTGCCCAAGCCACCCTGGGTATCCCCGATGCCGAGCGCTGTGGTGGACGGCAAGCTTCGCGGGGCATCGTGGAGGTAGTGGTGCTGCTGCGTCGACGAGCCAGCGCCACTGCGGCCCAAGGCATAGCGCACGGCCTGGAACAGGGACATGGGCAAGTTGGCGATGCGCTCGCGTTCGCGGCGCTCGACCTCAATGAGCTCGGCGTTGATGGCGACCTCGCGCAGGAGATCCTCAAGGCGGCTCTCGACGAGATTGAACTTATCCTCGGCGCTGAGGCGGAGGTGCTCCTCCTTCTTCTCATACTTGCGCACGGCCCTGCTGAGCTGCGCCAGTGGCGTGTCGATTCCGTCGCGTAGCAGGCGCACGTCACCCTTGGTCGCGAAGATCTTGCGCAATGCCGAAATCTCCGCCTCCATCTGCCGCAGGCGGCGCGAGAGCTGCTCGACCTGCGAGTGTGGATAGTGCACCTCTTCCTGCAGGAAAAGCAGGCGGCGGCGGATCAGCTTGAACGCATGGATCCACGGCTTGATGCCAGCAGAGAACATGAACAGGCGGATGTTGAAGGTGTTCAGATAGTCCGAGCCGTCGGTGAGCGTCTCTCGGAGCCAATGCAGCAGCCAGGCGCCAGCGACGGGGCTGGCGATGCACCAGACGAGCGCGACGAGCTCTGCGCGATGAAGCTCGGCCGTCGCTGCCAAGCGCGTCTGCCGCTGCTCCGGCGTCTCATTCTGCTGCTCGTCGGCAACCATGTCAGCATGCAGGACCTTGCGTGTCCGCGCGGCGTAGTACATGTCCCATGGAACTGACAAACGTACATGAGGTGAGCGGGCTGTGCAAACCAACTTGGATTCGTTCGCAACCAGCCGCTAGCACTCACCTCTGATGAACTGATACAGCCAAAAGCTAGCAAGGAAGAGCAAGATGGCATTGCTCCAGTGCTCCGCCTTGGCGCCGAGCAGTGCCCCGAGGGGCGGAGCGAGCGCGAGCGCGAGCGGGGCGGTGTGCCAGCTGAACAAGCTGACTCCATCGCCCATTGCACCATCGGCGCCATCCCCGGCGGCAGCGGCCGGGTCTCGGCCGCCGAGCATCAACAGGTCCTCCTCGTCCTTGGCCGTGAAGCGCGGCGGCGCCATCGGCTTGAACGCGCGCTCGATCTCCTCCTCATCGTCCGCGAAGCTCGTGGGGATGCTCGTGCGCGACGTGGACGTGCTGCTGCGACGCCTGTGGCCTGTGACGCCACCGCCACCCCCCGCACCGTTCAACGAGTGCCCATAGGCGGTAGGTGTGGATGCATGCGAAGCGTCCGTCTCGGCCGAGGTGCGCGAGCGGTCAGGCGAGAGCGTCGCAGCAGCAGCACCGCCTTTAGCGCAGCCGTGGTGGCCACCGGCAAAGCCTGGGGCATAGTATCGTGGCGTTGCGCCGCCCGAGCCGCCTTTGAGACCCGTGCGCGACGGCAGGCGCCCGTTCCAGCCGCGAGGCTCAGCCTCGGCCTCGATCTTCTTCAGCTCGCCCATATTCATACCCTCCATTGCAACGCCATAGATGTCCAGTGCGTCGATGCGCGTCGTCTCCTCGCCGCCCTGGTTGGCGACGACGGCGATGGCGAGAGAGTCGACGTTCTGGAACTTGACAAACTTGAGCGGCACCGCGCGCCCCCCGCCGCCGCTGGGCCCACTCTTGACGTCGTCCTCGGCCAGCTCGAGCTCCTGCGCCGGTGCGGTCGAGCCGCCGTCGTCGATATCGTCGAATCCGAGGTTGGGCTGGTTGACGTAGAGCTTGATGCGCTTGGGTGCCTGTGCGGCGGCCGAAGGCGTGGTGTGCAGGAGGATGTGCGAGATGCGGACCTTCTGGCTGAACGCGAGCTGGATGAGCAGCTGCTCATCAGCGTCCGACGCGAGGTACGAGTCGCCACTGGGGCCCTTGATGATGCTCTTGAGCGGGTGCGCGGATTGTTCGTTGAGAGCTAGCGAGCGCGATTGGTCGATCTGCGAGAGGAGCGATTTCTGCAAAGCAAGGAGACAGGTCCGAGGCAAGACAAGGAGGAAGTCAGCACCGAGTGCTATAGAAATCACAAGGCGAGCAAAGGGGGAAAGACAAAGCAATATCATTCCAAATTGCATACCCCAACCCACGGCGAGCGCCGCACGCCACGCCCCCTCTCAGCTTTTGCTGCAGAGGACGTAAAGCACGTAGCCGCCAAGGATGAGCAGAGGCAGGAGGTTTTCAAGACGTACATTTGGCGCATTGACGCCCCCGGCGCCACTGCCACTGCCACTAGTACTGCTGCCGCTGCCTCCCGAGAGGCTCTGACCATTTCCGCTGAAGGCTCCACTGCCGGACGCGCCGCCAGAGTGCTTCTGGCAGAGCACCTGCAGCTGCTGCGGGTTCGCGCCGCGCAGTGTTTCGACGGGGGCCTTGTTCTTGATAAAAATAAAGGTGGGCATGGCGGTGACGCTATATCGCTGCGCAATGTCCGGCACGCGGTCGACGTCGACTTTGAGGAAGATGTCGCTGGCGTACTGCGAGGCGAGCCGATCGTAGATTGGTGCGATCGCGTGGCAAGGGCCACACCCTGCACGTGTCGAGTGGAGGGAATACGTATCAGCGGGCAGCGGGGCAGCGATGACAGCAAGCAGAGAGTCACGCGATGTGCGCCGCCAGACTCACATGTCGCGTGGAAATCGATCACGACCATCTTGCCTCCCGCGGAGGCGAGGGTCGCGTCGAGCTCTGAAGAGGCGCGTGGCAGTGAAGCACGCAACGAAGTGAGTCGTCAGCATCAAGCTCAACCTGTCGGGCCAGAGTATCGCCCTTCCTCTGCGCAGCACCGCATCGCCGCGATAAGCGTGCATAGGATGCGCCAGCGCCAACCATAGCCACCACGAGCGACAACCGAACTCACCGGCGACACTGTTGATGGCGGTTGGCATCTTGGCTGGGCTGACCGACGTCGGCACGGACTGCAATCCGTTTGCGTCTGGTCTTGTGCGAGCTTGTCGTATGCGCTGTCGAAGGCAATATACATGCAACAGCACCCCAAGTTCCGACGTGCTGGCTGTTGTTTCAGTTTGGCGAAGAGTTGCTGTCATACCCATCCGTCCGTGCTGGAACGAGTCTCGAGGCGTGTCACCCTGGCTGACTGTGCAAATGTAGTGGGACTGTCGCAGCTTCGTAGCGCACAGGCACACACGCAGCGAGAAAAACAGAATTGCGGATGCGCGCGAACAGGCGCGGCCTCACTGACTCCCTCTAGCAACTCGATAGCACACTGGTCTAATGCCGCATGTCGTGTCGGCCACCGCGATGGAAGCCATGTCCGATAAGGGCTAAGAGCGCCTGTGCGCGAGAGCGAGAGCAAGAGCTGTACTGCACCGCACCCACCGCACCACACCGCAGGGGGCTGGATCCCGCGTGAAACAGGGCATCCAACTCGGCTGAGAAATGGTACTGCAACCTTAATCTAAACCTCAGGTCCCTGCTAGCAACCACGCGAAGCCAGCAAGATTCTCACACGCTCTTCCTTCGGCACGCCATTTTGCCTTGTCATACTCATCGCACTAGATCCATTGCAAGGGAAGAGCCGAGGAAGACGGCATACAGAACAAGCAGCAGCCAGCCTTGCCAGCGCGTCGGGTGGCCGTGTAGGACGCTTGCGAGCAGCAGCGCCGACGAGAGCAGCATCCATGCCATCGACACCCTCGAGACAGGGACGGGGGCAGTGCCGTTCCCCTCACCAAGCACCGCGACGCCAGCGCACAGCGTCAGCAGGAACATGTTGCTGCCCGCCGCGGCGCTTACCAGCACGCTGGTGCTGCCCCTATGCCCTGCGAGTACCGCCAGCATCTTCTCTGGCAGCGTTGTCGTCACGCCCAGCAGCGTCAGGCCAAACGCGGTCTGCGAGAGCCCGAGCGACGAGGCGATGCCCGCGGCCGAGTGCGACAGCACGAGCCCCGCCAGCGAGAGCGCCAGCAGGCCGACGAGCATGCGCGCTGCGCATGCTACCGTGCTCCTCAAAAAGGAGCGTAGCACGGCGCCAGCGAGCGAGTCGCTTGTCGAGCTGCGCACAAAGCGCGTCTGCAGCAGCGGTGCTGTCTCGCAGTCCGTGTCTGCAGGAGCAACAGAAGCTGTCTGCGCTTGGAACTCTGTACCAGTGGGGGAATCGGTTGATGACGCGTCGCTGCCGCTGCCGCTCTCGCTGGAGCTGCTGTCGTCGCTGCCCTCTGGAGCCGCGAGGACACCCCTGTAGATTGCCCACGCTGCTGCACCCATGTACGCTGCAAAAAATGCCAACAGAAGTGTCCCTTTGATTAACCTTGCTCTCGCTGATGGCGTGGGCGAGAGGAGTAGCGCCGAGGCCAGCACAGTGAAGAGGAACTGTGCGATGGCGCAGATCCGCGCGCTGCCGTCGAATGCACCGGCAGTGGTTGAAGGTGGTCTAGGTGCTACGGCTTGATCGTCAGCGCTGCCATAAGCCAGTAGAGAAGAAGCAGCGTGCCTCGACGGACCCGGTGCAGCGAAGAGCAGGCCGAGTGAGAAAGCGCCAAGGATGTTGCTGATGCAGCTCCCGACGATGTTGCCGTACGCCAATGCAGAGTTGCGCTCAAACATTGCAGCAGCTACGACAACCAGCTGCACGCAAGAAGTTCATTTCAGACAGCCGCCACGATGAGTATTCTTGCAATACAGATTCTATAGGGATGCTATGCGACATGCTTACCTCCTCCCATTCCGCACCAGCAGTCAGCAGCGCGACGAGCGTCTCGCTCACTCTGAGGCGACCTGCAAACACTGCGAGGTTGTCAAGGAAGGAGTCAGCGCCCCGCTCCAGCATGTACACGCCAGAAATGAAGGCGCTGAGGTTGAACAGAAGATTCCCATCAGTCGTGACGCCGCCTTGTCCCGTACCCGCCTGCGACCTTGCAGTGATACCTCTTGTCATCACGGCGCCTCGTCTCGTCGTCAGCAAGCGCAGCATCGTGATGAGGCGCTCGCGGATGCATACGCTGCCAGCTTGTAGTTAGCAAGGTGCCTCGCCAGCGCTCCTGCGAGCTCGCGTGCTAAGCCTTGTTCAAGTACCCTTCGAGCGGATGACTTGGTTCGTTGGCATTTAAGCGTGATGGACAAGGGGCAATAATAGGATTTAGAAGGCCATAAGAAGCGAATGACGTTTCATAGCTGGCGCGTTCCGAGTTCCGAGTGGCGCTCCTCGACTTGACGTCACCGTCATCTGCAGCGACGTGCCAGGTATATATTAGCACAAGAGGATGACTTGCGGTCTTGCGGTAGATGTCACCGATGACTGTGTGCCTGTGTACGAGGAACCAGCTCCTGGCACCTGCAATCGTATTCGGCAGGCTCCATGATTCTCCCGTTCGGAGCTGTCAACGATGTCACCGAGTTTCTCTTCGTTTGCGCTGTATGGCATGCTGAACCAGTCGTCCAGCACCAACAAGTTGGCCGACGGGCATAGAGCATGCCACGCTTCAGCATCCGAGCGTGACTCATGAGCGGGTCCTCGTGTACCTTCGAGCTCGTACATGCCATCGACCAAGGTGGTTACAGACATGTGAACGACGCACGTTATTACCGCAGTGAGAAAGTAGTGGGCAAACACGATCAACTCGGTCAAGGTGCCGAGGGAGGAGCTATTTTTCACTAAGAAACTGTTCACGAATGAGTGAGCGCCATCACCTTGTTGAGTGCAGTGGGATACATGCTACCGACTGAGAAGTTCATGCGCCTGCCTGCCGTCCACGTCCTTGCACACATCATGGGCGGTGGCCAAACGACACTCTCCGCCGCGCTCGTTTCATTAGCAAAGCTGCAAATGCCACACATCAATCTGGTGCTGCTGCACGAACCGGACGGCAGCAAGTCCTTTCTCCTGAAGCCATGGGCGACGCTCTTTAGGCTATGAGAAAAAAGCAAGATCCGCTTGCTGGGCGTCAGTAACTTTGGAAGGCATCACGTCGAGGAGTTACAGAGAGCGAAGAAGGCAAGAAGGTCTGGTCAATCTGCAACCAAGTCGAGTGCCATCCTTTCTTTGCGCAGAAGGAGCTAAGAAAGCATTGTGAGAATAGGGGTGTGGCCATTCAAGGTGAGTAGTCATTGTGCACCAAGCTTCCATGGTTCAAGGCCGACGACTGAATTTCTTCCACCTTGCGCACGAACGCAGCTTACTGATCTCTTGCACGCGGAAACTACTTCAACGATCCGACGGTCCGATCCATTTCTCAGGCGGCGCGGAAGACACCAGCGCAAGTGATGCTGAGCTGCTCGGTGCAACACGGAATCGTTGCGCTCCCGAAGAGCTCCTCACAACAGCAGTAGCAAGAGAATGCCAAGGCCTTCCAATGCGAGCTGAGTGACGAGCACATGCAGCCTGAGTTGGCCTCGCTATTGGAAATCATATGGATCTTTATGCATGCAAGGGGACGCATGTAGATGATATCGACGCATAGCTTGACGTTCTAGGCCCGTGGATTTGCTGGTACGGTGAAAGTGCAAGTCATGTCGCAGAGGACACCTTGAACCCTCTTGGTAAGCCATTGCGCCAGTCCACTCTGCAAGGTGTTCATCCCATGTGGCATAGTAAAGTACAGCCCATGCCGATAGAGCATTGCTTCCCGAGTCCAGACTGTGCGGCCGTTTCTCCATGTGTGGGTCGAAGAAGCGGTGTCCAGGGCTCAGCATGCGCTTGGGAAGCTGTGCGCGCGACCTGGCCTGATGGCACTGAGCGCCGACATTCTTGCCTTTTCCATGGCAGCTGGTGGCGTGCCATCTACCGGCAGCCCCCTTACTAATTGCATTTTATATGCACACCTCGCTCGTGATAGGTTGGCACAGCGAATCTAAATGACGATGCGATGAAGGATGTGTGATTCAGGGGCGGAATGTCTCTAGCCAGCTCGCGCCTCTCGGCTCTCGGCCGTTGCGCCTGCCAGCCTCCCCCCCTCCCCACCACCACAAATAACGCTTGAAGTTGCGACTCAGCGGCTCTTGAATCAATCAATGGTCAAATTGCATGGTCTCAACCTCTGTGGTAGAGTCTACTTCTCTATAGCATTAACATATTCGGGCCCGTGGGAGGGTGCTTGGTACCCTGCACAGAAGGTCGTGAGGGTGAACTTTGTCTCGCCATTGACATTACCATTACGAAAGTCAGGAAGCTGCCAGCGCTGCATTCCCGAAGGTCGCGAGTCTTCAGCGCGGGGCTGTGAGGTAGCACCATTTTAAGCTCGTCGCAAAGCGAGTGAGCAGTGAGCGGTGAGCATTGTCATATGCGTTCCCGTCGCGTTAATCCTTGATTCTGATCCGCGACGTTCTTTCGTTTGCCAACTCAACAATGCTCAGGGGTCTCCGAACCACGGCAGACCCCCCAATCTTCTCTGCCCTGGGCACCGACCACACAGCTGGAGATACACCGCACTTGCAGTCTACACCTCCACATTCGACATCCTCGCGTTCGAGTCGAGGTCCCCCCTGCTCACAGAAAGTCAAGCGTTTGCGCTGACCCAACTAGACCGCCGTGACGACGATCAAGTCAGACCAGGCGCCACAGCTTCATGTGACATGATGTGCTCAAAGTCGTTTTTGTTTTCGCTGGCAGCGCTAGCAGCCCCGGCGTTGACACTAGCGCAACAAGATCCCGTTACGAATGCAACGTCGTATATCACCGCTCCTGACCTAACACCAGTGTCCGTGCATTGGAACTATACCTCGCCGAATGCGTCCGTCATCGATGGTCACCTCCTCGTCTCGACCCTAACAGAACCCCAAGGGCTGTACATCCTCAACGCCACCACCGGCTCGCCAATCTGGATCAACAATCTCTCCGGCAGCAATGCGGTCCCGTACAATTTCCACCGCGACACATACCAAGGCGACCCAGTGCTGATCTACTGGCAAGGCAGCTCCAATGGTAACTTTGGCACGGGGCGCAATTACGTTCTGAACGAGAGCTACGGCATAATAGCAAACTTTACATCCGCCGTGGAGCCAGGCAGCGACTTTCACGAGTTCCGCTTGACAGCCAATGACACGGCGCTCGTCACAAGATATCCCTACGTCTCGGGCAAGGACATCTCGGGGATTGGGGCCGGCGGATACTCGAATGCAACCATCCTCGATGGCTGCTTTGACGAAGTCAACGTGACACAAGGCGATACCATCTTTTCCTGGTGCGCATCGACAGGCGGCGTCAACTTTGCTGAGAGCTATGCAGAACCTTCCGAGTCACCCACTTCAAATGACACGGCTTGGGACTGGTTCCATGTGAGCATGGTTTTCTCTCCTTTTGTACGCGCGCTCCCCATTCATAGACTGACATCCCTTATCCAGCCAAATACCGTCTCCAAAGATCAACTCGGCAACTACCTCCTTTCTGGGCGACATGTCCAAAGCCTCTACTATATCGCATCGAATGGTACCATTCTGTGGCGCCTCGGGGGGAAAGCAAGCAACTTCACCGGAAACGGCACATCCTTCGCATGGCAGCATGATGCGCTCTTCCTCGGCGAAGGCAACTACACCGCGTCGGACATCTCTGCTCGAAATGCAGGCAATAGCACACGTCAGATCGGCTTGTTCGACAACGAGGCGACTGCATGGGCCAGCAATGGTACACGGTCGATCGGCAAGATCATCGAGCTGAACATGACAAGCATGACGGCGTCGCTCCTGCACTCCTTCAACAACCCCAGCACACTGACCCTTCTCTCGCAGGGCGGCGGCAGCTTTCAGTCCATAGACGCGTCCGCACCAGAGCTGGCAAACGCTAAGAGCATCCAAGGCGGCAACAGCTCGACGGGCCGTGTTGTCATGGGCTATGGCCAGTTGCCTTACATTGCCGAATACGAGTCGAGCGGCACGGCCGTCGCCGTCATGCAACTCGGCAATGCCGCCACTACGCAAGGGTACCGAGCTGCCAAGCGGTACTGGACTGGCCGACCGACCACAGCACCGAGCGTCGTCTTCGTCAACAGCACCGTCGCTGTCAGCTGGAATGGCGCGACGGAGCTGCATGCATGGCGGCTGGTCCAGCTCGGCGCAGCCAACGCTGCGCTTACCTTTGAACGAACGAGCTTCGAGACAAGGTACAACCTTAGCTCCGCGCTCGCCAACATCAACGCACTCGTGGCAAATGCGACCAAAATGCAGCTCGTCGCGCTCGACTCGGCTGGTTCCGAGCTGGGGCGGACAGTCGCATTCTACCTCAACGGCACCACGACGGGCATCGGGCTGGTCAATGGCACGGCCTCTGCGTCCCCGCCTCCGCTAATGTACGGCCATAACGCTGGCATGGCATGTGCTGGCGCGTTGTTCGTCGCTCTCGGCATCAGTACCGCCATCGTCACTCTTCTTTAGCCACATCCCGCGTGCGCAGATACCGAGATCGAAAAGAACAATGTATATCACAATGAACTTTAGTAGGCTGTACATGCTCCGAAAAAAAGGCATGGATGAGCACCAGTATGCTCATGCATCACCCCTCCAAGTCCTCCCCGTCCTCTTCCTCCACATCGTCGCGACGTTGTCGTTCCTGCGCAGCTGCTTTTGCAATGTCCTCGGCACCGAGCTTCATCTTGGAGCGTTTCGCGCCGCCCATCTCGGGTGCTGCGGACTGCGCCGCAGCTGCGACGCGCGCTTTGCCTCTGGCTCGCTCAACGCTGACATCCACGCCGCGGCTCGCATCTTCGTCCTGCGCCCACTTGAGCACGAGGTGCCGTCCGAGTAGGTGCGTGTGCTTCAACGCCTCCATCGCATTGACCGCCTCGCGGCGGCTTACAAATTCGACAAAACCGAAGCCACGCGCACTCCGGTCGAGTTTCTTCGGAACGCGAACGCTCTTAATTTGCCCGTGCGCCTCAAACAGCTGCCGCACCTCCTTCTTCGACGCCTCGAAAGGGAGGTTCTTGACGAGAAGTGTCGTGTTGCTGCTGCGGCTCGCTGCGCTGCCGCCGTGCGCTGACGCCCCGTCTCCGGAGCTTCCGCCGGCAGCACTGGCATCCTGATGAGCGAATTTGAGGGACAAGACATGTCCATCGAGCGCGGTGCCTTGCATGCTCTCGATTGCCTGCTTCGCAGCTTCCGCCATGCGGAATCCGACGAAGCCGTAGCCCATGCTCAACTTGATCGGTGCCTTGCCAGGAGCGGCATTGCTCGTCTTCATCTGCACGCGTGCAAAGACAAAATTGGGAAGATGCTGGAACGCTTGTGTGAGACGCGCGTCCGTTGTGGAAAATGAAAGGTTTTTGACGAAGATGGTCGCCGTCGCAGCTAACGCGTCTGCACCAGTGGCTATGTCGTGCTCGGTGAAAGCACCCTCACCACCCAGTTTCGCAGCCAACTTGGAGCCTGGTGCTAGCTTTGCGTTCGTACTCGCCGCGCCGGGAGCAGCGCCGTCGCTTTTGCTGACGAAGATCCCCTCCGGAGCCTTCTCCAAGTAGATTGGTTTGTCTTTGAAGCGGGTGTATGCAAGTGCACGGAATGCTTCACGGGCCTCATTGGCGATAGGCATTTCGACCATTGCAAACGTCCCCGCTGGTGGTAGGAGAACAGTCGCTACTTCTCCAAATCTCGAGAATAGGTTACGAATTTCCGAGTCCGTTGTGCCGAAGGGGAAGTTCTTAACGAGGATGACGCAGTCGTTTCTTCTCCTGCGTTCTTCACCCTGCACGCCAGCACCCTCAAGTGCAGAGATGTCGACGCCATGTTGCTTGAGGAACTCCTTTGTTTCCTGGATCACCTTCGTCTCGGCCAAGGCCAAACGCACGGCTGCGCTAGTTCCGGCGCTCTCGTCCGGATTCACAATGTCATTCTTGCTGATGCCCATGCGTTCGGCGATACTGTTGGCGACAGCATCGGCACTCATATAGAAGCTGCTCCAGTTAAAGGAGTCTTTGCCATCGGCGGCTTTGCGCTTCCGCTCTTCAAGTCTTTGCTCCTTCAGCGATTTCTTCTTCTCTGATACCGGTGCGGGTAGGCCTTCTGGGTGTTGGTCGACTGCAGGCAGGAGGTGAAGCAGTCGGCCTTGAAAGGTAGATCCATCATTTGCCCGATAGGCGAGCAGCGCATCAGGTGCATTGACGAATGTCACGAAGCCGATGCCTTTGGAGACTTTGGTAATCTTGTCAACTGGGATACGGGCCTGTCGAAGCCATAATTGATAGTGTCAGCAGGTTGAGATATGAGATCGAAATCAATAGTCTCCAATAGTTCTCCTGCAGCAAATTCAGAAGCGGAAAGCTCTACTAAAAGTATCCTGTATGTTTCTCTGCATGCCCTATTTAAGGGTCAGCTGTCCCTATCATACGTAGTGCTCATCATTTGCAAATAGCCGTACGGCCATTGTCGACCCAACCTGATCCAAGCTTCCTGCAACAAAAAAGCGATTATACTCACATATCGAACTTCGCCCCACTTTTCGAACCACTCCTTCAGCTCATCCTCGCTCGTGGTAAAGGGCAGGTTACGCACGAGCAGACGACTGGTCTGCATAATAATGTCAACTGCCTCTTGCTCTTTGCGGAGATCTTCTTCTTTTGCAATCCGTGCTCGCTCTTCAGCGGCTATCGCACGAGCAGCCGCAGCAGCGGAGACATCTTTTGATATCGATGATGATCCGGCCTCTGAATCATTGTCGGAGCCAGATGCACCTGAAGAGGAGCCAGGGCCTCTCGTCTCGGTATGAACTTCATCTTTCCCTTCCTCTTCGAATCCTGTCCCGATATGTCTTCGCATTCGACTAGCGAAGTACTCGGCATCAGTCATTTCGATGTCCTTTTCTGACATTTCGCTCTCTGTCTGTTCGTCAGGCTCGTTTTGCGCTCCAGCGATTCCTTCCGCTGCTTCGTTCTTCGCAGCGGTCGAGTCGTTCGCTAGCTCGCCCTTCAAGTGGGCCTTTTTCTTTCGTTTCTCTTCCTTTCGCCTCTCTTTATCTTCTTTCTTCTGCTTCGTTAGGTCGGTCAGGTCTTGTACGTCGTCGTCATCGTCAGCAATCGAATCATCCCCCGGCTGCCCGCAATTTGCTGTGGTTGCATTGCCATCCGCATTCATAGGGGCCTCCTCGTTCGCCCACGTTTTACGCTTTGACTTCGGCTGCATGACCGCCATGAATTCTTCAAACGTAACTTCCTTGCCTGATGGCTTGTTTCTCTTGGCTTTCGGCTCCGGGCCATGGTCAGCAGAAGCTGCCTTTTGCCGCTTGCCAGCGCGCTCGGTTCCGCTATCCCTTGGGCCAGCAGCTGAGTCACGGGTTCGCTTATCGCCTGTACCGGCAGTGGCACCATCTTGCTTTGCCTCGCTGATGCTCCTTGCGAATTCCACGCGGATCTTACTAGTGCCAAAGAAGGTCCCATCAAAGTATTCCTGCGCGCGTTGAGCGTCGAGTGCAGACTTGTACCCTAGGAATGCGAAGCGCCTGAATGTGCCATCTGGCTTGTGCATAAGCTTGACGTCTGTGATACGCTGGCTTGACCCATCTTGAGCTAAGGAGGAAGTTGAAGGAAGGGCGGAAAAGTGCTCGCTCAGAGATGTTTGAGTCGTATGAGGAGGAAGGTTGCGGATGATCAACCTTGACGTTGTAGCCGTCCTAGGCAGTATGAAGGTACAACATAGATCAGGAAAAGCGGGATCAGCTCGTTTGGGCTCTCAGCAAAGTCTCACATGATTGTTTGAAGATGTTTCCTGGTCAACGGCCAGCGGCCGTTTACAAGAACACGAGGGTGAGCAGTCAAAGGCACCGCTGAGGGGAATGTTTTCGCTGTAGAAGAAGTTATAGAGGATAGTGACGAAAGGGAAGGCAACAAATCAGGAAAATCATCGCAAATAGCCAAACGCGGAAGTCGGGACTCAAGATCGATGAGTTGCATACGTAAATCCCGCCTTGCGCCGCACCCCCAATCGTGCGCACGTCCATCGCGTATCGACACCTCGACAACTTCGACTCTCAAGGCTAAGCTACTTGCTCCTGCATATGGCGAGGCGATTATAGGAGCATACTCTAGAAAGAGAGCAGCACGAAAGATCTGCTCGTACTTGGAGACAGCATTTGGAGCGATCCATTTAGGCTGCTTTCAGTTTCGTCGAAGGGTCGCGAGCGAATATCAGTCCAAGTCTCCTATTGCGCGGCTCATCAAACGGAACATCCAGTCTTCAACAAGATGGTGCGTAGTGATCCCAATTTGCAAAGCCGAAATATCCGGTTTGGACGACTTGAAAATTTGGGCTGATGAAGTGCATCCACGATTTCCTGGTAGGTTGTGCTCGCGGCATCCATCTGCACCCGCGGCGGGAAGCGTGAGTACATTCGCAGACTGCGAACTAGCGGAGATCGAGCACTGACGGATGCATCCCTCTATACGTTCGCTCGAACGGCAGCCATTATCTCTCGTCAATTCCGTGATATGTCACGCTCTCGTGTCGAAGTACTGCTCTCTTCTTTCCCTAAGCTCATCTCGTCCAATTCGCAGCACACGTCCATCGAGACGGACTCCGTACGCTATGTCTACCAACCGCTCGAGGACCTCTACATGATCCTCATCACCAACAAGAACTCCAACATCCTGCAGGACATTGATACCCTGCACTTGTTCAGTCGGCTAGTGACAGATATGTGTGGCAGTGCCACGAGCATGACTGCTTCGGGTGCGCTCGGGGGTGCGGGAATGTACGGGAAGATTGGCAGTGGAAGGGTAGACGAGCGTCAGGTGCTCAGGCTGAGCTTCGAGCTTTTGGGCGCGTTTGATGAGGTTATCGCCATGGGATACCGGGAGAATGTCAGTCTCATGCAGATCAAAAATACGCTCGAGATGGAGAGTCACGAAGAGAAGATTCAGGAAATTATCGAGAGAGTGCGTTGTCGAATTTCTGTGTTGAGCGCCGCATCTTGTCTGACACAAGCGCGTTACCCTCGTACCTGCAGAACAAGGAACAAGAAGCCAAAGAGGAACTCAAAAGAAGGGCTAAGCAGCTCGAGATGCAGCGTCGCGAAGCTACGAGACGCGGCGTTCCCGCCTCCAACTTTGGGGCGCAGATGGCCGCTGGCGGCCCTGGTGGCTTTGCATCAGTGCAGCAGCAGGCTCCTGCGACAGTCCATCGCGAGAATCTCGGCGCCGATCGATCGGGCACAGGTTCCACCGGTGCTTTGTTGGCCAAGCCTTTCAAGGGAAAGGGAATGCAGCTTGGGAAGAAGGCAAAGACTACCAGCATCCTCGGCGACGCTGGGGCTGCCGCTGCCGCTGCGGCGGCAGCCTCGGAAGCTGCGAACGAAGCTGCGTCAGCCAGTGCGCCAGCACCGGTTGGGTCCCAGTCGGCTGCGACGATCGCATCCACACGCACACCATCGGCATCTGCAGCGGCATCCGACCCCTCCTCCTTGCTGCCGCCCATTAGTAGGGAAGCTGTGCATATTCTCGTGCGCGAGCGCATCTCTTTGCAGGCGGACCGCGACGGAAGCGTCACGAGCATGGAGCTCAAGGGTGACCTTGAAGTGCGCATCTCCGACCCGGCACTCGCCAAGGTCCGGCTGTCGCTCGCGGATACGGCTGCTCTGAGCGGTGGCGATGCGGCAATGAACTGGAAGACACATCCACATGTTGATAAGGCACAATGGAGCGCCGGAAAGGTCATCGCCCTCAAAGACGCAAACAAGTCGTTCCCCGTCAACCAGACTCTTGGTGTTCTACGATGGCGCAACACCGCTCTTGGCAAGGACGAGAGCAATGTCCCGATCAGCATCACCTGCTGGCCTTCGCCCAACACGGAAGGTGGCGCGGAAGTGACGATCGAATTCAATACCGATGCGCTCGAGACATCCGCACCCGATGCGGTCCTGCGCGGTGTCAGCTTGATCATCCCGCTTCCCGCAACCCTTGCGGACCCAGCTTTGGACGTGGCCATCGGCGAAGTTGCCGTCGGCGAGGCGCACGTTGCAGAGGAAGGCGATGCGCTCATCTGGCTCCTCGGGGATGAGCTCAGGGCCGGCGAGAGCGGCAGTCTGGAGTTTACAGTCAGTAACGGAGTCGAGGGCGAGGATGTCAGCTCTTTCTTCCCAGTCCAAGTTGACTTCTGGGGTGAGAGCACGATCGGGAAAGTTCAGGTATGCTTTTTCTTGAGAGTTGAAAACTTGGCTGGTAAGAAGCTGACCTTTTAAATATGCATTTCCATTATCGGCGCAAATTTCTCCCCTTGTGCTTGTGTCTAGGTTGCAAGCATAGTGTCGACCGCAAACGACTCGAACGTTTCGTTCTCGCAGCAGAGCATTCTCAGCCCAGAGAGCTATCACGTAGGGTAGAAGACACGCGCGGGAATATGCGCGTAATGGAAAGATTCTTATCTCTTGCGTACGTGCTACACCATTCACTATACCATCAGCCTCTTTTAAGTCAGCTTGCCGTGATCGGCTCCTCTAACCCTCTTCTTGTAGTCGTTCGGACTCTCAAATTGCTTTTGGCTCCAGATGCCTTTCTTTAGCCTTCGTGCTTTCTCCTCGGCCCGCTCGAGCCTGGCCTCGCCGGTGGACACTTTGAAAAAGAGACGATGCCACCATGTCGCCGAACCATAGCTCGCCCCACCGCTCCTGTACACTACGGCGAGTCCCTCCTTTATCATTCTGAGGCTGACGTTGGTCCGACCGAAAATGTAAGGCGCGTTCCAGACGTAGGGTGTCGCTACCAGCCGCTTGTACTGGTCGACATGGGCGACCTCGAGCCAGACAGTGCGCTTCAGCACGAGAGTCTTGAGATACTCGAGCGCTTCCTTCGCATAGGGTTGCGCTGGGTTACCGAAATGCGCCGCTTCTGGCGCGTCGGCGCCTGCTAGTCGGACGGAGAGGGTGGAATTCCGTAGCGCGGTCGGGGTTGTGGGAATCGGATACAAGTAGTCTCGAATGAAAGGCAGGCCCGGCTGGTGATACTTGCACGGCAAAATGGACAGGAAAATGCACTTCAGAGATATTGGACAATGTGAACGTGCTGCTCACGACCTACCAGCCTGAATCCGTCACCGTCACCAACACTTGTGCATCTGCCCACCAGCACTCGTCTCCATCGTAGAACGCCCGGGGTGAGATATTCGGCATTGCGTATTCGTCGAAAATAGCGCCAGTATAATCCAGATGCCGCAAGTGTTGCCATGACACTTATAGTTGCGATTCCCGGGGTTGTAGAGGCAACATATGAAAGGGAAGAGGAGACATATGAGAGAGCGCCAGCGGCGACGCTTTTAGGCGCCTTGTCGTCTTCTAATACGGATCGAATCAGTGTCTCGCGGCCTCTTCCTCCACTTGAGCAGCCCTGTATAGCTTGAATCTTGCAGGAAAGCGGAACTTCATCCATGCAGCGAGCATGGCGCTTGCCCTTCGTCATGTGAGACGGTGCATCGTGTTGAAAAGTCACGATGGTGAGGTGGATCATGGTCGGGCATGCAGGGTGTTGCAAGTTTTTGTGTCGACGCTTGTCACACTTTGGCTAGCATGCATCAGGTCGATGGATGGAGGGTGTAGCAGTGGCCGTCGATGGCCTTTCTGACCGTTTCCGGTGTGGGTCTGCTTTGTTATTCACAAAAGGCAACGAGCATGGACCCAGGTGGTACTTTCTCGAGAGACAGGCACGATGTGACTCGCTCCATCATCGCGCTTTGGAGTGTTGATGATCTCATCGTCATCACACGTCCACATCTTATATATAGGCGGAATCAACAAAAGGTCCATTCCTCTTAAACACCAACATTGTGCTCTTAGAACGTCTTCTGAAGCTCTCTTCTCTGCGACCACGGCACCGAAAAAGCCGCTGCATCATTTAAAATGAGTGAAGCAGGCCCTTCAAGAAACGTGCGCTCGGCCAAGTCGACACGACCGATCATGGCGGCCGACGTGCGTAGCAAGACCTGCTGGATCTGTTCCGATGACGAAGAGGAAGCGCACAACGGCAGTAATAGAGCAGAATGTACCCCACACTACGTCCAGGATCCGCTTGGAGGCAATGCCGGGGGAAGCGGTCAGCATGGGAGAAACGGAACAGGCACCCGCAAGCGCTTTGTACATGCTTGTGGCTGCACACTTGTGGCGCACGAAACCGTACGTGAGGTTCCAATTTAGATATACAAAACATGGCTGTGGCTCTGACATCATTTCCTTACCGAATGAAGTGCTTACTCGCTTGGATTGAGCAATGTCGTAGGAAAGCAAGCAACAGCCAAGCATCGATTAAATGTCCACAGTGCCAGGTCCCTTACAAAGTCTTGGAGAACAAACCCCTCATGCTTTCCGTATTCGAGAGAGTGAACGACCTCATCGAATGGTCTCTACCCTATTTTGGGGCAGGAACCATTTTGGGCTCTATATTTTTCGTGAGTACAGCTTATGGCTGCGTCGCCATAAAGCTGTTCATGGGCAAAGATGCCGCACACCGACTCCTCGCGAGTCCTTGGCCGTGGCATGTGAGTACTGCTTGCGCACGATCGAACATCAACTCGCTATGCTCACTTTTTTTCATGGTCAACAGTTCTGGGTCGACATTCCTGGAATCCCTTTTGCTTTGATTGGATCTCGGCTACGGATATTCGATTCTTTCACTTTCTGGCTCCCAACATTAGCCGTTATGCCAGCCTTTCACCTACCGATGATCATCACTGCTCGCATGCTCGATCACGGAAATTCTGTCAAATGGGAGCGTATTACTACCCATTCTAGCGTCGCCAAGCGTTGGCCACCGAATCCAGCTCTGACGCTTCTCCTGGCGCCTTGGTTCCGATCTGTCTATGGTGTGATCAAGCGCACCATCTACGCAAGTGTGCTGCGCAGTATGTCGCCTAAGTCTGGCAGAAGGGCAACACAGCAAGGACGTGGAGCCAGAGGGGGCGAAAATGCGGCGGTAGATGCACAAGGGCAAGCGCCAATCGACCAACTGCGGGCCAGACGGGTGGTTGTGATCAGGGCAGGCGCTGAAAATGAAATGCTTCAAGCACCAGTCCCGCCACCTGGCGTCGATGCCATTCGAGAAGAGTTGGTACAGGTGGAGCGACAAATGGATCAGCCGGTCCACTACCGCGAGGATGGTGATAATGATAGTGATGAAGACATGGAAGAGGGCGCTCAAGACCAGTTGATGCGACTCATCGCTGGCGGCCGGATGCCACGACAACCCGAGCCGCAGCTGATCCAGCAGGTTCACAACAACAATAACAATAATGCACGGGTCGATAATGGCAACGTTGATCACGGTGTTCAGTTGCAGCAAACTGTGTACGTCTCACCGCGGTCGATCGGGAGGCTCTGCCTAGGAGCTCTGGCGATGCCTGGGATTGCTGCCTCGATGGGCTTAGTGATCAAGCAGCTCGCGAGGAAATCAAGCTGGCTTGCGCATTTCCTCGGTCTCATGCCTGCGCATTTTGCTCGTGCAGGCGAACGAGGTGCCACGGCTTTGAGGGGTGCGTCGCCGCTCTCAAGCCTCTGGTCTGGTGGCGCGTCGAACTCCAACGCGCTGCTGATAAGCTCTGGCAGCTGGGAAGGCTTTTCGGGATTCGACGATTTAGAACCGGTCTGGTGGCGGAATGCTGTGGGAGTGGCGCTCTACGTCATCATCAAAGACGTTGGCGTGCTGCTTTATCGTTACATGAAGATCCGTCAGCACCGGCGCAAGTCGATCAAGGATATTCCGTTCGACCCGAAGCAAGTGGACGGACTCGACCTTAAGGAGTCGGCTCGATGATGCGTCCTTCCTTGTTTTAGAGTTTATAAATATATTGAATCATCTCCTATTATATCGCTACAGGTGAACAGGTCTCCAGCCGACTGGTGCCGTTTGGAATTAGAGCCAGAACGTCGACGAATGCCATAGCCGTTCCCGCCCTCTGATGGAAAATAACCAAGTAGTGCGTAGGACAGGGGCACAGCGCAGAATATCAGATTCGTTCATGCACACGGACAGACTAGCCTGATTGCTTGCTCACATGCAATGAAAGTTGATTATACAATGATCGTCTGCGAGCCAGCCCAAGATGACCCATCCACAGGGCGTGACGCTGATCGTGTCCCTCCGCCTGGCAGCATCTAGATCATATGTACCATCGAACGGATCGTCACCTTTTGGCGGCGTCCATGACCCGAAGCGCGTTGGATAGCTGTTGGGTTGTTCCAGCACCCATAATTTTTTCGCGGTGTGGGTGGAATGAAAGCGGTTTTTCGTCGAGGTTGTTGACGAGGTTTGCCACGCGTGATCGGGAATGATGTAGATTGAGGCAGACTTGTGGTTTGGGCTTTGCGCGCAGTTCCTAATGGCGGGAGTACCATCTGTGAAGGCGCCAGTGTCGATCGCCTTCCCAGCATCGAACATCGCCTGGGATCAGCGAAAGTGTGCAGCATCTACTGTGCAGTTCCCCAGGTATGCTACCTCCTTCCATCACTGATGTAGCTCATCGGCGCGAGTCCGTGTCGCTCAAGCTAGGGGCCATGTAATTACACGAAGCGTCGGACGCCACGCTGCGTGTTATCTGGGTCGTCCAGCTGAAGAGCTGGGGCCCGCGGAGGCGTCAGAAGTCGCGGGACAGAGGGTTCCATGTCCCGACATGGCTTTTCGCGATTGCAGGCATCTGGTTCAGGCTGGGGCTTCCAAGGCAGTGACTTGAGCAATGCAATCGTTTAACTCGAGCTGTGTGCACCCAGCGTGATGGCACGTGAGCGCAACTCAAGTCCGCCAGAGCCCAGCTTAGCAGTGCCGCCGAGTTGGCCTTGCGGAACAAATTGCGAACTCCTGGTCCAAGTTATGATGTCTTTGGTCGTCGTATCCAGCGCTTCATTTGGCATGTTGAAGCAGCGCCGAGACATCTTTGCCCGCATCGAGTTACGTTGATCAAACCTATCTTCTTCGCAACTGAGGACGGAGGGTTGACGAGGATAGAATAGCGCTTGCCGACGGCTATGGGGAGTCGATGGACGGTGGCGGGCTGAACCAGCTGATCGACTGCTTCGATGATGGTGGGGATGAGCTCGTTGATGGAGACCATCAGCTCTGCCAGCGCACTAGTGTTCAGGATTTGGAGTTGGACTCATTCGCATTTGGTCCATTTGTGTCTCGTATCCCTCCCTCTTCCCGTCAAGCACTTGCCTGACTCATGTGTCAAGCTCTGCACAAGTCGTGCACGGCTGAAGACGCCTTCGCCGTCGGGCCAGCCATTATCTGGGATGGGCTCAAATCCAAGTAAGCGAGAGGACATGTACCATTGCTGCAGGTACGGTTCATGGCGTTGGTAATGGTCCGAGCGGATCGCAACCGCATCCCGGTCGCAAGACAGGTTGTCGGTTACGGACGAAGCGGCGTGCTCGGGAAGCTGTCGGTCACGAGGGTTATGTATGATCAACATATCATACAATCCCTCGATTCGACCCAATAAAACAGAGAGGCGGGGATGGCCGTAGCGCCACCAGTAACGTTATAAAAAATTGCTCAGGTCAATCACTGCCGACATGAGAGTGCCAGAAATGCGTACCAGTATCCTCTTTCGTTAAAGTAAATTCGACCGTTTCCTCCTGTCCCTCTTCGAGGCCGCATCCGGTAAAGCCAGTGGCACCGTCCATCTGCGTTGTATTCCATACCGAAATGCTGTAGCAGTACAGGCTAACGCGATTCTCAGGCCAGGTGGGTGGACGTCTTCTGCTTAAGGAGTGCACATCTCTCCGAGCGCAATTTCACCCGCCGTGGGAGATGTGAGATCGTTGATGGTAAGTATACGCAAGGTATCACCAGGGTACATTTAGATGATCGGCCCTGGAGAGGTCCCATTGATGGTGTAGTGCAGCTTGCGCACAGGGTAGACATACATCTCTGCACGCGAGATGGTTCATAGTTGCGAGCGGACCGTGCCTTTGTGGAACAGCGGTGAGCGACGCAGAGTAAAGAGCGCGGCCGAGCTGGAACCGTGGTTTCCCGTGCGAGGATTCAGAGCGTAATTGACCTGTCCATGGGCCGGGTCATCCGCTTGTCCAAGAGTAGGGGAGTGGGAATGAGGACCACTCGACTAGATGCATTGTCAGGCGCATGATGCCGGCGATCGGCACGCAAAAGAGTCAGACGGGCGCGTCCATGATCGCGACTGTTGCTTGATACCTGACCTTGTCCCGTAATCTTGGACGAAGGAAATCCCGTCTCGTGGTTGACCGACTCCCTAAGCCGCTTGCTCAATGACCAAATGGGTCGAATAAGGGAAGATGAGCGTGCAGGACTGGTTGCACGAAGATTTATAAACCCAACCGATCCTCCTCATAAGACTATGCTCACTGCAACCACGCATATAAATCTCAGCAACACCATGAGCGACGTCCTGTCAATCCCAAGATAAGCGGAGATGGTCACCAGCCGGTACGATAAATTTTATGAACGTCGAACATCCAACCCTCCGACTAACAGCGGTGGCAATAAATGAAAACGATAGGTGGGGCTTCTCTCGGCTTCCCTCGGTATCCCTGAAACGGCGAGCGCTCCATGGAGCACCCTCATTAAGCGTTGCGAACAAGTGCAACTCTCGTCGTTGTTCTTGCATTTCTGCGGGAAAGAACAGTAAATATAAACATCACTTCTTTCGGCCAAATTAGTTTGTCTACAGTCTACGCTTGCCACACTCGTCTCGTTCATGTAGCAGTGCTATACAGACGTCACGACTCACGATCTGAGTGACTGACGGCAATCTGCGCTGTGTGGGATGATCACAGGAGATATGAGCGGGTCAGACAGCCAGTATCCTCAAGTCTGGCAGGTGCAAGCACAGGGAAATAAAGTTGAACAATAAGACCGTCAGATGGCGACGTGGGAGAACGTCAGCGGCGCTGACATGGATCGCCCTCAGCATTCCGCCGACCCCGCCGCACCGTTCTGCGTCCCTGAGTCCAGACGCCGCGGCCGTAAGCGCAGCCGACGAAGTGCGAGTCCCAGCGGTGGAGGGGAGCGCAGCGAAGACGATAGCGAAGATGCATATGGACCAGGTCCGGCGGCTGTGCACTCGAAACTGGCGCAGTTCGGCGCTCAGCCGTTGTCCGAAGATGATTTCTACAACAAGGCAGCCGAATTCAAAGCGTGGCTGCGGGAGAGCAGGAGGAAGTACATCGATGAGATTTCATCCATGGAGGCCAGACGGTACTTCTCCAAATTCGCCGATAAGTTCAACAATGGACAACTGCCAGATGCGTATTATACTGGCGCAATCCGCAGTGCTGCGGGACCGTCCTCATCTCAGACGCGACACAAATGGGCGTTTGCGTCGGGCCCAAAGTTGTCTCACGCCGAGCAAGCAAAGATCGAGAGTGTCCGCGACACTGTGGTGCGCATCCTTTCACATGACCAGCGACTCTTGAATCCAAACAGCTGACATTGCCCATATTTACATTCTTGTTCAGGACACTCTGACGAACGCCACCAGCCGCGGTGCAAAGGAAGCACGTGCGCTCGAGCGGCGCACAGGCAAGGGCCAGCGGATGATCGAGCGACACGGCGAAGGAAGCCATCGAGAGCGCAACGGAAGCGGCGCGAACGCCGGTGCAAAAGACGCAGGCTGGGGCGCTCGCGAATGCGGGACTTCAGCCTTGGGAGGCCCATCTAGCGCTTCAGCATCAGCTGGACGCGCAGCTGCAGGCGGTCGGCCCGCGCATGACTTGCAGTTTGAGCGGGAGTTAGAGTCGGAGCGGCGTCAGCGAGAGCGGCAAGCCGAGCGGCGGCGAGAGCGCAGAGACGTGCGTGAGGAGGTGGACGAGCTTGCACCGCGTGCGACGGGGCGTGATGCACTGACGGAGAGACGGCGTGAGAAGGCAGCTGCGCATCGAGAGTTTGCCAATCGCAAGGACGCCGACGACGGACTTGACGTGCGCGACGACGTGCTCATGGGCGGCGGTGGCCCCGACGAGTTTGCGAGTGCGCTGGCTGCACGAGAGCGTGCCGGAGAAAGGAGGCACGGTGCCGGAGAAAGGAGGCACGGTGCCGCCAACACCACTGAAGGCGGCGGCGGAGGCAGTAGCAAGGATCGATGGAGAGAAGAAAAGTTGCACGAGAGGAGGGAGAAACTTTCGGCGATGAAGCAGAAAGAGGCGGATACGATGGCTATGTTCAAGGCCATGGCTGCTCAACGCTTCGGCGGTGGCGGTACCAGCAGCGCCTCTTAACTATGCCTTGTAGGGGCACAAGGGATTCTACAACGGGCTTCTGAGCGCGCGATGTGCTACCCGCAGATAAGTATTGATACTAGCTACATCGACAAATTGATTGTGTGCCTGGTCTGCAGTGCAGGATGCTTCAGAGGGCAAAGAACAGTGTTCCTAGTGAGGCTGAACAGATAAGCGAAAGGGTGTATGATCTGTGGTCATGGTCTAGGGATTTCGCGAGTGGAGTGCTCGCTTGGCATACGCACGAGCCCTGTTTACACGAAGGGAGGATGGTAGACTTAAGGCCGCGCTCCGGCGTCGTTGGTCTGATATGAGACGTCGCAGCGAACAACTTGTGCTGCCAGACCAGCAGCTGCACTCCGGCTTGAGCGTCGAAGGCGTAAGCTAGGTCAGGGAACATTAGGGCGGCTATTTGTTCAGCGAGGTGAGCCTCATTCCTGCGATTGCGAACGTTGATCACATGTGAGGAGAGAGATCACGCGCAGATGAACACGGCGGTGGCGCTAATCGGCGGATTAAGGGCCTCTGATGAAGCGGGGATTGCCGCTTTATGGAGGAAGTATTTTCTTGCACTTGAGGCGAGCTGTATCGTACTGGAACGATCTCAGTTGATCGGCTTGACGAGCCCTTTAGCTAATTGATAGTATACCACTGTCGAATCGGACGAGACCATGGCTATCAGGATATGATTGGTGTCTGCTACCGTTCCAGATGATGGCGGAGGGATGGACTCAATACCTTGAAAAATTTGCGTGAAGCTGTATAGAGCCGGGCAGGTGCATGCAAATACGGCTAAGTCTGACCCATGGCTTGCAAGAGTTGGCCAGAATTGCCTGCTCACCTCTCTACGTTCAACGTGTCCGCAAGACTGCAAGGGACGACATATTCGGCCACATTCTTTTCAACAAAGAGGAAACATTCATGAGCACAGTTGTCGTCATCAGCAGGTCATGCAACTCACTTTTCCCCTTCGCTTCCCACGAATCAGGGCCCAGCGAGAATGTCGACATGGTGCGGCTTCAGTGTGTCCCTCAGATCCATTATTTGGGGTTGCTGATGCATCCTCTGGCAACTCGACAGGCTCAAGCTCCGCCCACTCAGCTGCGTACTTGAGATCGGCGTAGGCTTGGAAAAACGCAGCTGCTTGCCGGCGGTAACGCTCGCACACATGCCCAATCTCTTGATACTACCGGCCGGTTGGTATGATACAGAACCCGGTGATTATCAGCTCGGGATCAGGCCATTCACGTGCTCAGAGTATGCACGGACGGCTCACGAGAGGATGTGACTTGGCTCCGGTGAAGCCCACTTGAGGTCTGCTCATCGCTAAAGCACATCAATACGAGCATCACCATGTCAGGATGGAGGCGAGCCAGTCGCGCGCCACGCGTCATCGCATGCGCTCACAGTCGCTCATATCACACAGTTCGCACAGCTCGGCAAAGGTTGAGGCGTTGAAATTGGTGCGGCTGAACGACAATTGCAAGAGAAGCTAGGACATCCCAAGCTTGGCCATCAGCAATGGCTTCGATCACGTCGCCAGGCTATGCATGGATTACCAAAAATATTGTCGCGCAGAGGAACAGAGGGTTAGGGAGAGCAAAATCGAGCGAGGGAGAGGGAGCGGGATGCAGAAGCAGAATGAAAGACGTAGTCCGAACACATGGATGAGAACGCGGAAGCTAAAGCACGGAACACGGCATTCGGCATTCGGCTCTCGGCTCTCGGGGCTTGCCACTATACTCCGGCCCTTGCTCGCCAATTTGGATGACTGCGGCAGCTTTTATTGCGCCCAACTAGGGTCACCGTTGCCTTGCGCGGGTTCCGCCTGCGCCCAACCAGCGCAAGCAACACCGCATCGACTTGCCCGTGACTGCTTTGGATTTGAGCTTCTTGAAGCTTCCATGTGGAGAGCCTTATCAGAGGCACCTCAGGCGTACGCAACAGCAAAGCTTGGTCAGAGTGAGTATGCGCATTCGACTATGACGCGCATCTTCCGGGGAGCCTAATGCAACCGCGGGGGGATGTTGGGCGCGGAGACGGTACAGGGAGGGTTGGGTCGCAAGGTGGAGCTGGGAAGGTCTGGTTGATGCTCGCTTGTTGCGCAATCTGGGCGGGCGCACTAAGAAGCGACTGGACGATGAGAGCACATCTCATTGACTTGCTCAATTGGGAAGCATTATTGCTGTCATCCACCAAGCCGCTGATATTGCCACGTTCCTGGTGGACGGTCATTAGTCTCGCCAAGTCCGTCGATAAACCTGTGACCTCTAAAAGACCAGACAAAGGAGATGGGAGGGATATTATGAGCATGTGGTCTCATGGAATTACTGGCTACTAGCTCTTCCAAGACGGGCAGCAAGTACAATGTTCGTACGCATAATGGAGGCCGGGCGCATAGGGCCACGTCCATGCGCACTTCATCTCATCCTGAGGGGCAATGCGGTCATCTCTTGGGGAAGAGTAAAATATCGACGGCTAGCCCGCGAGCAGTTCAAGGCGCGCATCAGATTGGACGCAGATGGGTGTCGGAATGGGCGGTCGAGGTAGACAAGCAACCCACGGCATTTTCTTTGGCAGCAGATTTTGTCGAAGTCCCGCATGACACTGATCACTAGCTGGCACTCTCCTGCAGACGCAACAATGGGACGCTTCACAGAATACCTCGTCATCGGGCGGCACTTGCCGACCGAGAAGGAGCCTACTCCTAAGCTCTACCGGATGCGGATCTTCGCTCCGAACGCCGTCGTTGCCAAGTCGAGGTTTTGGTACTTCGTCAGGCAGCTTAGGAAGATGAAGAAGGCCACTGGTGAGATCGTTGCTGTCCACCCGGTAAGTGTTTATCGCTTCGTTAAAGTATCAGTGGGAGAAGGAATGGGTGTCAAGGTACGCCTGCAGACACGCAAAGGGAGAGCACATTTGATGAAGGGCAATTCTAGGGACAGTACCACTTTAGTTATGTGGTCCAGACCTGCCCGAGGCCATTCTCAGGTGCACGAACGTGCGCAAGGAAGGGTGCAACGACATTGGGCTTGAGAGAAGAGGATCTCTCAGCGCTACTATTTAGACGAATGCTGACTGTCTTATCCCCGTTGGGCCTGTAGATTCACGAGGCTAAGCCCCTTAAGGTCAAGAACTTCGCGATCTGGCTCCGTTACAACTCCCGTTCGGGCACCCACAACATGTACAAGGAGTTCCGTGAGCTCACCCGCGCCGACGCAGTTGAGTCTATGTACCAGGACATGGCTGCCCGCCACCGCGCGCGTTTCGCGTCGATCCACATCCTCAAGATCGCCGAGATCGAGAAGACTTCGGATATTCGCAGGCCATACATCAAGCAGCTCATCACCCCGAAGCTTCGCTTCCCGCTTCCTCACCGCCGCTCTCGCGCGGCTGGCGTCTACGCTGCCAACAGGCCTTCGACTTTCTACTAAGCGCATCGCTCACGCGCGTGCTGTGGCTGGTCTTATTTGTGGCCTCATTTCTAAAACATTGTGTGGGGAGGGAACACGATAGGGGCCGTACTCTGCTAGCCTGCGACGGGGACGGGCTGCGGCTAGCAGAGCGGCAGTCTCACAGCAGGAGAGGTTGAGGCTGCTGCACTCCAGACGCGATCCTTGTACTATCAAGTCTGGCTCATGCAAATATGCATTGTATCATGACCGCAAGCAATCGTGCACGTATTGGGGGGATTGGAAAGTTGGCTGGCCATATCAAGTGCATGCATGATATTACACAGAACTGCGTTTACGCAGCCCATCTCTGAAAGGCTGACTGGATGCTGACAGCGCCCCAATCTGCGCCCTTACTCACGCTCCCATCGGTAGTAGCGTTGATGAGTCCTTGCGCAGCAGCCTGCTTCTTCGCTTGGATGTGCACCAGTTGCGAGCGGAAGTGTCGCTGACATGCTTCTGGACTACCCAACCCTTCGATGAAGCCAGTCGCAGATGCTGAGGGGTGCAAGTCACCCTTTTGTAGATTCTCCAGTCCGTTCGAAATGAGTTCGACGAGTGAATTGATATACTTGGGCGTGATTGCTTCCACCTCGTGCTCGAACTGATATTAAATGACAACACGGTGTTAGGCTCAGTTCGGCTGCGACCCCCGCTTCCGAAGCTTACATAGTAAAGATACTGATCGAGAGCGCTGCAGAAGATTTCAACAGTGCTTCGCTCGTCGATGCAGCTGTTTGCAATGCGTAGGGCCTTTTGCAAGCATTCGAGGACTCGCTTTCCATCACGGAGCAAAGGCTGTGCAGGAGAGGGGAAACGTCAGTCACAATGTCGAGGTCGCATCGCTGGATGTAATTACCTTCTCTTTGCTTGCGGCTCTCCCAGGAGCATCAACCTGCCACCACAAGTGACTTGCCATCAATACAGCAGCAGCCTGATGCGGCTTCTTGAGCAACTTAGCACCATGTAAAGCAGCTTTGGTGATGAGGGTATCGTAATTGTCGACGCCGAACACGCGCGATGTATGGAGCGTGGATATGATCAATCCAATCGCTTGCAGCTGCGCTCTCGATTCTGAGATGCTTTCCTCGTAGATGGTGAAGGATTGGACGTAGAATTCGTATGCGAGCTCCTCAAAGCCTGAAGAATCGGCGGATTGGGCGGCAAGGAGAAACAGGCGTAGGCAGTTCTCTGACGCCTCAACCTTGTTATACAGGATGGAGATGATCTGATGCAAGAACTTGAAAAGCGTTTGCATCTTGGCCTCCCACTCTTTTTCGATCTTTTCTACCAGCTTGTACCGCCGCGCAAGACGAATACCAGAGAAAATGAGCGGAGGTAGTGTGTATCGTATCCGATCGCCGCCCTCGACAAAGTGCTTGCGCGCTGTCTGCAGCAGGCTGAATTGAGTCTCCAGGTCGTCGGAGCGGAAGAGGTGAACGAGCCTTGCCATCCAGCCTTGCTCCTCAGCCATCTCCTCGAGGTCATGTTGTGCTTGAGCGTACCTATTTGCTGCTGGGTGACCTGAATGCATGCCCGGATGTTGCTGCTGCTGACGAACGAAACGGGGATCCTGCGTATGGTAATTATACCCTGGCCCGGCCGCGTAGCCAGGCAGCGGGGCGCCGTGACCCATGCCGCCTATGACTGTGTCTCTTTGATTCTTCACGAGCGTCGCACAAAGCTGCAGGACACCATCGACGTCTTCAGGGGTGCTCATGATGGTCTCGTTCTTGAGCACGCTGAGGACGACCGCATGTGAGATGCTTTTGCGAGTCGTGTATGGCTGCGATCCGAGTAAGGCGTTGAAGTTTGGCAGCGCAAGGAGAGTTAGCACCGTTAAGTAGGAGTTGATCGGCGACAGGAGTAGCGAGTTCAGATTCGCCACCGTTGTTGGTGAATGGAGGTCGGGGCTGTGCTCGTACTCTGCCACTTTGCTTCTTGCGAAACTAAGGACTTGGTCAACATACTCGAGCCGGTCTGGGTAGCAGCTGAGGGAGAGGTTAACGAGGGAAACGAGCAAAGCGGTGACATCTTGAATCGCAAGGTCCGGCCTCGCCTTGATCAACTGCACTACCTGGTGCCAGAAGACCTCGAAGAGCGGCACGTTTTCTGGAATGCCTCTGAATTTGCGCACGGGTTTCTCTTCTTCCGGTGGAACAGCAGGCTTTGCTTCCTGCTCCACAGCAGCAACCTGTGCAGGCTCTGCTAGTCCACCTGCACCATTGACAGGCTTGGTGGCCGGCTCATCCTGCCTGCTTTGTGCGCTGGTAAACTCGGAGCGCATCTCCTGCCCCGATGTTTCATCTTCCCTTTCCACTGCAGTCGTCCCCATGGTTGAGGATGCGGGTGCACCAGCGGAATCCCCTTCCGCTTCCGCCCAGGGGCCTTGCTCGTCTGCGGCGGCGGGTGGCAGGATGGCAGCCGTAGAGGAAGACGATTCCAAGCCGTCATTTCCACCTCCCCAAGCGTTTTCGTCCATGCCTTCCGGTACGTCGGCTGAGGAACTGTGGGTGGCCACATTTGGCGCTGCGGCGCTGCCGGCTGGCACACTGCCTCCAAAGTCGGTGGCACTGACTGTTGTCACCCCGTTACCAATGGGATTGCGCAGACGGGCTTGCTCCTCTTTCGGGTCTCCACTGCGCGTGACTTCATCCCATACGCTGGCTGGGCCCGCACTGGTGCCGTTCAAGCGCATTTGTCGCGTCTTCTCAGCCAGGCGCCGCGAGGCCTCCTCCTCTTGCCGCCTGATATCTTCCGGGCTATCGTTTTCTGCTTCTCGTGCTGCATACGCAGCGAGTCGGTCGATGAGCGCAATGACGATCTGCTTGATGTTTACTTTGGGGTGGAGCTGTGCACAAGCGCTCAGGAAAGGGCCGAGCGTTCGTAGGTGGAACTCATCCGGGAAGACTTGGATGACGACTTCCATGAGATACTCCTGCGCGATCACATCCTTGCAATTGACCACCTGCTCCAGGATGCTAGGCAAGATGATTCGCTGGTAAAGGTCCAAGTCGACGCCTTCCAGCTGACTAAGTCTGACCAGGTTCGTCCCGACCAGAATGCGTAGCTCCTTACGCTCCATCTCTCTCTTCTCGCGATCACGACTGTGACCCTGGTGCTGTAGACGGACCCAGAGCTTGTTCATTTCGATAAAGTTGGTCAAGATGAATCCGATGGAATCTTGCAGATTCCCACCTGGACCTTGGTCTACGCCGACGGGCAGAAAGTCCCTCGTCGCGCCGGACAGGTAATGGCGCAGGAAGAGTCCGCGGGTCGGATGCTGCACTCCGCGCGACATTTCCATAATGTCGCGCATGATCTCCTTGATCGGTGCATCGGGAATCGACATGTACACGGAGCCAACCGTGATCATCAAGTAGAGCTGCAAATGGGAGAGCGACTTGAGCATCACTACTTCCAAGCGCGCTGTTCAGCTGCGGACTTTCCCTCACCCTGGGCACAATGTTTCCGCAGTATTGCACCAGCTCGTAGAGGTCCGCGAGGTGATGCCGCCCGCTGGTGTGTGCATCATAGAGATATGAAGAAAGGTGTCGAAGCGCGTCGAAGATGGACATATCTGGGGTTCGGGTACGAGCGACCCCATCAGAAATCCATTCCAAAGAGGTGAGAGAGAAAGGGGTCAACTCACACAGATCATAGTAGGCTTTTGGCGAAAGGGCAGATGTACGAAGCTCGCCAAGCATGGTCGACGCAGACTTGAGCGCGTCCATGACTTGGTCTGTGTCGAGGCATCGCTTCATCTGCGTCAGCTGGACCTTGATCACATTGTGGGCCTCGGCGAGGACCTTGGCCGAGTCGTCCATCTTGGCGATCGTCTGGCTCTCGCAAGCGGGTTGCTGAGTCGTAGGCTCAGGGTGTGCTGCGTCCCTCCACTGGCGACCACTTCAGAGCAGACGATGCCCGTTGGTATGTGCTGTTGATCTCCTACGTCCGCAGTGAGTGCAAGAGATGTTCAAGGTAATTCGTGCAAGCGCGGGGCAGCGCGAAACACGAGATGGGGTGCAAGCCGAAAGTCAAAGTAAGTAGTGAATGGCCACTGCAACGTCGTCGGTCATTCTAGCACACCCTGGACTGATCGAGGGACCCAAAGTAATTAGGCTTCATCCACTACAGCCTAACTCACCCGTATGCGTCCTGAATTCCTGACGGAAGAGTAACATCATTGGGTGAAGCAGGGTCAAGGTCGCCTTCCGATGTCCCACATCGTTGTCGCCGTCACCTCAATGACGGCGGCGGCGCGCGTCCCTCTTGTGTGCTTGGACCAACACGGATCATTCCGCCATGCTACCGGCATTCACTACGCTATACGTGTATCTATATCTCAAGTCGTTAAGACCAGCACCTCGCCGAGGCTGGAATTATGAGCCTGGATTGGCCAAGCCAAAGCATGGATATATCTTTGAATGTTGCGACGATGATTGGATTAATGTAAAGGGTGAATTGCTAAACCAGACCGCGGTCCGCTTGGCTGCACTCGAAACGGCCAGTCTTCGGTCAAGATGACGGCAACAGGTATCGAAGCGACCTCACAACAGGCGGAAGATCTCGTCGCTCAGTTCCTCGAGTTCACAGGCGCTGGAGGAGAAACAGGGAATGTGATGCAAGCTCGATCGCTGCTCATGGTAAGCAAAGCTTGCTTCCCGAGACCGTTCGTCCGATTCTGCTCGGCTGCCGAATTGATGCCTTTGCATATGTCGGATTCTCTTTTTACTACCACTTTTCTTAAAGAAACACAACGGCAACATGGAAAGAGCGATCGATGACTGGTTCAATGACGGAGCTTTTAATTCAACGGCATCAACTTCAAAAGCGCCGATGCCGTACATCCAAAGCAATGCGCGTCCCGTCCCTCCGCCCCCCAGTGGAGCAAGCCATACGCACGCTCCTTCCGTCCTTCAACCTTCTGCCAGTGGAGGGCCTGCGAGTGCAGCATCTGGAGTGGCAGCAGGTTCGCCGAATGAACTACCACCGTATTCATCCTGGGACTCAAACTGGACGTCTCAACCAAATGCACACGGGCCACAAGGCAATGGTCCGCAGGTTCATCGGCCAGAGACACCTGAAGTCACTCTGATCCCGCCAAGCGGCGGGTCCGCATGGGACCGCCGGGTGCTCACAAAAATGGGCGGGAGTGATTGGCTGAACTCCGACGCGGCGATAACTCAAAGGGACTCGCCGCCGCAGCGAACCCAAAGAGGGGCAAGCAATAGTGCGTACCAGCAGACTCCTGACACGGTGGATCTAACGCGAGATGGTGAGGACGACATGGACGACGACCTTCGTCGTGCACTGGCAGCTTCTCTAGAGGAGGGGAATCTCCCTTCGCTCACCTCACACCAGACTGACGTTTCGTTGAGGGCCAGGGGGCAGCAGGCTCCTCTCGCTGGCCTTGGTAGCGGCGACGATGCCAGCGGTACTCAGAAGCCCCAGCAACAACGGAATTTTGCCGCGTCACGAGAGCAGGAAGATCTGCAGCGCGCGATCCAAATGAGCATGGCCGGCGTCTCACAAGATCCATGCATCAACTCAAGCGATGATCAAGATGACACCATGCGCAACAGTGCACATTCACATACGCACGCAGCACATGGTCCGTTGATGCCCGCGCAGATACACGTACCGCCGCTCTCATTGAATTCGGGCGGCTCAGGAACTCCGAGCTCGCAGCAAGTCAACCCCAACGTCTCTTGGGTGCACTTTGACTCATCAACCACCGCTGGCAGACAAGCGGACGCGCAGTCCGGCTGGGTGCCGCCTGTTAGCCCAAAGGGAGGCGGCATTGGCGGTCTCGGTGCTGTTGAAAGTACTATCGCTGGCGCACCTGTGACGTCTTGGGCACTGCGACCGGAGGTCCTCGTTACTCGCGCAAGGGCGTCATCCGCCGGCACCGATGCCAACGCGGGCAAGCCGCCCGTGGGCTTGGTCGCACCTACACCCATCTTGCAAGGCTTCGCATCCCTGTTGCAGGGTCTATACGCCACACCCGCTGCGCGCGAAGCCATTCTTTCTGTCTGTCCGCCAGATGCACGGGCGGAGGATGTGGATAATTTCTGGCGCGGAGAAGCGCCGAGCGCAAAAACCAGTGCCCAAGCAAGGGAGCAGGTGGGGGAGCAGCAGCAGCCTGAAACGATGGACGAGGCAACAAATGTGTCTGCTGGATCGCAACAGCAGGATCCTGTGGCACCAAAGATAAGTGTGAATGCGGAAGAGGGAGACGCCTTCGCCGCTGAAACGAGCGACGTGGTCATGGAGTGCGTGGCTTCTGATAGTCCAACCGCCCAGGCTCGCGTCGCTATTGACGGGGAAGCAGAGAAACAGCCTGGCCCTGGGGCCCAAACGACCATCACTACTGCGGATGCAGAAGCAGATGCAGGTATGGATACTGGCGGGGAGCATCAGGAGCAACGGGAAGTTGGCAGCTTGATCACCCGTGCTGCGGATTCGATTATCGGTAAGCCGATTCGGACCGCCTCTTCCTAGATATGTCAGGCGAGGTATGCTGATCGCTTCGTTACTTCTTCCTGCGTACATTCCCCATTCTTCGAATCCCAGTTTTGCAGCGCATACAGACACTCTTCGCGTATATGCAGACCTCCAACAGAGCCTGGGTCCAGATCTCCGATGTTGCTGCAGTACTGCAGTTCCATGCGCAAGAGGCGTTGTCAAGGTCCGAAGGCCCTGCAGATGTTGTCAGATGTGAGTCCTCTGATGTGTCGGATGTGGCAGACGCGCACTCACGCCTTCAAATCACACTGCAGACTTGTTCGCCGTAGTCGCGCAAGCCTTTCGCGACACGTCGCTACTGAATGCGCGACTGCAGCTGAAAAATGATGACCAAATTAGCGAAGAAATGGAATCGCAGCGCCAGGCGGCAGAGAAGATTGACTCTTTCAAGAACGAGCTCGATTTTGTCTTTACCTCCACAGGCGGACGAACGCTATGCTATGAGGCACACACCGATCTGCCGGATAGGATCGAGAGCACACCTACGCTCTACCTACATCCTGACAAGTTACACTCATCCATCTCGCTCGCCTTTCGGCAGACGTTGTCGCAAGGCAACTTCCTCATACATCGTCCGGCGAGGGTCATGTTGTTCTTGCTCGACCACACGTCACGCGGCGATAAGTTCGAGTATGACGACCCTCTCTTCATCGACCAGCTGCTATGGGAAAAGCGGAAAGGCGCGGCATTACCCGTGGTACACCCGCAGGAGATGCAAAAGCTTCACCAGGAAGAACAAGTGGCACGCGCCGAGTCGCTCAAGTTGGCACAGTTCAAAGGCCAAGATCCATTGCAGCTGTTGGAGTCATCTATCGAGTACTTTGACACGCTCTCTCAAGGTAAAGGTGATCCGGAAACGTCAGCAACTGGAATGAATGTGCTGGAGAGTCTTCGGAAGATGCTTGATGGCTTGAAAAGCGCGCGCCGTGGTAAGTGTGGCAAAAGCACTGCCTACTGATATGGTAAGATTGACCGATTACCCCACATGTAGAGCTTGAATCGAAGATGGACACCGCAAAGCAAAAGCAAGAAGCGTTGGAACGAAAGCTGGTAGAGGACTTCAGCGAGACTGCAAAGCAGCCGCAATGGCAGCAGGTGAGCCCGGATTGCTTGCGCCCGGAGATCGACTGTGGACAATTATAAACTTTATGTTACAACCTAGGTTCGCTATGACCTCCGCGCCTTAATATGCCCTGCTGGAGAGGGCCTCTTTCCCCTAGGCACCCTTGCCCTTGTCAAGGGCGATGATGATGAGTGGTGGCGCGTCGCACCCAACCCCAGCCTCGACGGAGCAGAGGCTGGGACCGTTCAGAAGGTATGTTCCCCTCGCCCGTAACTTAACATTCTTGGCTGCTGAATATCACCTTGCCTCAGCTTACACCAGAGGAAGTCGTAGCGATAGATCAACTACGTGCAAGCATGGCTATCTACGGCCTTGCGGCGAATTTGGGGGCCAAATCTACTCGAGCGAGCTGCATCTGGCCTACGGAGAGCATACAGGTGAGCCAAGCGGCATGCTTCCGCGACAAGTACACAGACCGTTTCGGATCTAACGCTTCCAATGCAAAATAGGCTGCAACAGTGGAAGACAATCTCCGTATTTCTGCAGAATTCAACGCAACCACTCCGCATCTCTACGGGCTCGAGTGTTAACTCGAATTGCTGTAACATAGTTGTGCATGATCCGATAGATGCAAGTTGCTGCGATTCTGACGAAAAAATACGGGATGAGTGCTTGAAGAGACAGGCACGAGGATATGAGACTGGCTGATACGATAAGCGTACGGTGCGATATCTGCTGAAAAAGACGAAGCGTGCATAGAGCAATGCTGAGAGAAATGCGATTGTGCGGCGTCCTGGAGCGGGTGGTGCCACTGGCGAGTCAGAGGCACGTCTCAGCCTGACGGTGGAGATCAGCCAGTGTGTGCTCCCACGGCCTAGTCGGCGTCGGCTGGTGCGCCTTGACGTTCATCGAGCTTGTACCTATCCAATCTTGTTGGCGCAGCCACGGGCCGACACGATGCTCCGATACAGCCGACTGCGAACCAGCTTGGTAGCGCAAGTTGCCGCTAGAGGCAAAATGTTGAGGCTGCTGCTGCTCACTCGAATGCGTCGTCACTTCCACATCGAGCTGAGCAGGCGAAACAAGCAAGAGCTGCGGCTGCCACTGCATGCGAGTATCTTCATTCCGATCGACGGTATCGTTGGTCTGATTCGAAGGCGCATGGTCAAAGTAGAGACCGAGAGAACTTGCAGACGCGTCAATGATGCTGTTCGGCATCAAGGCGGACGCTGGCAGAGCATCAGACGGCGTCGAGGTGATGCCATCCCAGGAGGTGGAGAAGAGTGACGCCGCTCCATCTGCTGCGGTGCTGCCTTCGTTAAGCGACGCGGACGAAGCAGGATGGTGCAGCGGCGACAAGTGTTCCTCTTCGAGGTTCATGAACTGCAGCGGGAGATGTGCAGAGAGCGAGCCTTGATCGTATTTGTTTTCGCTCTGGAAGAGACTAGGCGAACCGTGCAACGAGTGCGCCAGGCTGTCTAGGTTGGCATCAATGTGCAACTGATCTGGCACGTTGAGCGTTAAGAAGGGGTACAAAGAGCCCTGGAGCGTACCACGGTTGGCGGCTGGGAGGTGCTTGATCGACGATTTGCAATCATGATACCCGCTCGATGCATCTGCCTGAAGGAGTGCAGCAAAAGCAAAAGTGTCTACGACCGGAGAGGCGGTGGTCGACGGCGCTTTTAGGCTGCTGGCGGTATCACTGTCGTCAATATCTGAGGCCGTTGGCAGCACGAGGTAGGGAGGTGGATCAACGCTGCCCGGCAAACAGCTATCGATACTCCCCGCCGTGCCGCTATTGGGAGCACTAAAGCTTGGAATCGACCTAAAGGTGAGTGCATATGCCTGGCTCTGCGCCTGATGCAGAGATGTTGTGCTGCTGTTCTGGGAAGCAAAGGTCGAACCGACTCTAGCACCGAGCGAGTCATGGTTCACAACGTAGCCCATCACTGGAGAGTCGTTGCTCTGTGCATTGCTGGTGGTACCCGCCGGCCGAGGATTAGCAACAGGTGGAGAGAGCGACATGCTCATAGCGGTCAGATGCTGAGTGGCGCGCAAGCCGACAAGGTCTACAGGGTCCTGCAGGTCAGACAGCAGAGGCGAAAACTGCTGACGATCAATGTTCACGCTCAATGGACGCTTACTGCGATGTCGCCGCGTGTCGTCCGCTTGCGCTTGCAACACACCTGCAGAGTTCACCGTTAGTGCGCGCGGCCGAGTGGCTCTGGCCGGAGGCTTGCTGTATGGCTTGTTTCCCGATGAAAGTAGCGGAGAGTCCTTGGCGCCGACCTTAGGGGACGGTACGGGAGCTCCACCGGAGTTGTTCACCGTGTTGGTCCGCGAGCGCCGGGTCCCGCTACCAAGCGTACCGCCGATGGTGCGCACATCCGTGTTGGAGCTGGAGCGCAGGCCTCGGCTGATGTCCAGGCCATGCGCGCGCGTCGCCCGTGTATTCTCGGAGTGCTTGGAGAAATGCGACGACCGCACGTGCAATCGCAGAGGATCCTGCGATAGCAGGAGTGATTGCGGCTGCGGGGGTGACAATGGTGAGCTCTTGTCGAGCGTCGGCGAAGCTGGGCTGCTCCCTGAGAGCAACATGCTGCTGCTGTCCATCGGTGACAATTGTGGCAGGTTGAGCGAAGGGATCGGAACTGAGGCTGCGGCGGTAGCGAATTTGTTCTCCAAGGGGTGAAGGCTTCGTGAATCGGTCGAGAGCGGGGCTGCTCGCAGATGCAGGGGTATGGACCGTGGCGAGAGCAAGACGCTAGGCCGTTTGAGATGAGAGAGAGGCATTTGCTGGTCGGAACGGTGGTCTCCATGCCTGTGGTAAGCGGCAGGCTTGCATGTGACATTGTCATCATCACAGTGATTGCCACCACATCCACCGTGGATGTCCACGTCAGCCGCGTGCGCAGAGTTGAAGGGCGAGATGGTCAAGCCGCGAGGTACAGGGACACTGTCCGCGACCGCTGATGCTAATGCAGGATCTGTGGGACTCGGCTGCCTTGCAATGAGACGACCATTCTGCTCGTTGTGGTTGGAGAGGAAGAAAGCATCGAGCTGAGGATGCAACGGTAGCGCTCCTGAGCTGTCGATGGTCACCAGACCATTATGCTGGTCCGTGCTTGCGATCGTGACGGTGGCCGCAGAGAGCGAGCGTTGGCGGACGATACACGCTTGCAAGGACGGCTCGGAGAGGATTTCGATCGCCGCAAGCCTTGCTCGTCGTGCGCGTTTCTGCAGACGCAGCCGTGCGTTTTCCTCCTGCGACACGGCTGCATACATGCAGTCGCGTCCGTGCTCGATGCAGGACCCGCATGTCGGTCGCACGCCGTCGCACTTGATTTTCCTGTCAGTGCAAAACCAACTCACGTCAGTGCTGCAGTTTCAGAGGCGAATATATGCGCTTCGATCGTACCGTCTACGGCAGAAGCTACACGCCATCGTGGGGAATCGCTAGCGTTTGGGGTTGATTGAAATGGTTTCCCTTGCAGACTGACAATCGCGACCGATATGACTCCTTGTCACTGATGAAGCTTGTACGCCTGTCGTGATAGCTGGAGTATCAGTCCGAAGCTGCCAAGATCGAGGCAGGTCGAGACGGTTACCAAGACACCACCACCACGACAAGACGAATTGACCTCCGTGAGAAGGCTACTGGCGAGTTGATGATCGGTCAACGGTCCTCGAATGTTCGCTGGCGGCAGCAAATTGGGTGCAGGGCTCTGAAAGTTGAAACGGCGAGGGCATTCAAGCGACGAACGCACTATAGCGAAATTCTGGGACCAGTATCACTGGGCCCAACACCACGTAACCTTGAGCTTGACGGTGGAGCGCAATATGGCGACGGATGCGGACGGAAATGACACGAGAAGAACGCCGTGAGCCCAGCGTTGCAGGTTCAGATACCTTTAAAGAGGGAAAGATAAGTGGGGCGAAGCGACGTATAGGATAGAGAAATGTGGCAGACTTGAAGCTCGAAGAAGTGCTCCTTCGTCAACAGTCACCTTGCCGATAGTGGAGCGGAAATGAGGACACTCTGGGGTTTAGATATGGTCGATCACCCTGACTCAGCGGACGGGGAAATAGGGAACGGTGAGTGAGAGTTTGAGTGAGCACAAGGCTTCTTCTTTTTGTTGTTGTGGTGGCTGCTGCTGAATGAGCGCGGTACAGATGTCAGAGTGCTGCCGTATCAGCTCATCCCTGCTCCCTGTTTGGACGGTATGGACGTCCCTCGAATCTGAAAGAAGAAACTTCGATCGGAGCTCAGCTGAGCTGAGCAGTTCCGTAGTGCGCACTGTTGCACCCTTTCAGCGTGTAACAGATGAGGGCCTAGGCCACGAAAAGCAGGCACATCTTGTTTGAAACGGTGGGGAGAGTATGTACGCGTCTCGGAACGCAAGACTGCTCAGGCTGGTCGTCCAATCGTAATGCGTCCGCTGTTGCAGTCTGCAGGGTGTGCTGCGTCCAGAGAACATCGGTCAAGCTCCAAGGGAGACGAGCTTCAAGGCAAAATGACTCCAGAGAATGCAGCTAGGATGGCTGGCCGGAGCCTGCTGGAGGGCACAGTAAGCGCCATGCAGCGGCAGCCACAGACGAGGGAGAGAGCCATTGCGTATGCGTATAGCAAGTAGCCTGTGATAGTTGGTTTTGGGCTGACTCATTGGACCCTTGAATGAATCTCCGCTTTCAACAGCCGAGCGACGGTCAATACAAAGCCTGCCACATACGATACATGCATTTTATGTCGCAGCTGAGCACGAGAGCTTGAACAGTGCCTGAGCCTTGGGGAGGGGGCAGAGACAATGGGGACCTTGACTCTCCGAATCTGCACAGGTGACACCGGAAGCGGGGTTAGTGACCCCACTTCCCCGCCTGCCCGCTACCTCTCGACGCCGCGGCAGAGACTGTGGCGGACTTGCAGCTAACGGCGTAGGGATATGTATGTCGGTGGTAGGCGACAATGAGCCGCACGTGCAAGGATGAGCCGCAGTGAAAAGAGAGACGGAAGTGTGTCATCAGTTTTGTCACCGAACGAAAAAAAAACGTCTGTGACTTAACCTGGTGCAATTTTGACCGGCGTGGGGGAGTTCATTGTGATACATCCTTCGTGGCGTTTTGTTCTCGCGTGTGACTTTTCTGCCATTTCTTTTTATTTTAATAGTGTGAAAGAATAGGAGGACCTGGAGAAAGAGTGGCTCAGTGGCGGCCGGGCTTGCGCCTGGCTTTCGCTAAAAGCCTCAGTCAAAGCGATGTGAGGCCACGGCAGTTCCTCAGTTCTAGAGCAGTGTCCTTACACAGCCCGTCGAATGTTCGATTAAAAGCCGCTCAATAGCGACATCTTGCATGGGTCCATTCACCGTTCATACTTATTAATTTAGCGTGACGCTCGCTCTACAATGCATTCAGCTTCTCATCATGCTTCGCACCAGCCGGAATCAGGTATGCTTGTTAGGGCACCTGATAGAATCCGTATCCTAAGCCTGAAGCCGTTCACATCCTCTTTTGGGGTCCCCATCCCATGACCTCTTGCATGCGGATTACATATTCGCCACACATACAGCGGGCTCGTATGTAGCCACATCAACTTTGAATTTGACAACAGGTGGATAAGGAGGCACACGTAATGATGATCGATGGAGGCGGAGGAGCTCTTCAACGCTCCATGCTCCATCATGGACTCATCAATGTAAAGAGAGGTTTCTCCATAGACTACTAGGTTCACCCACTCAACGTTGAGCATCCAAAACTTGCCATTCTCTGTCGAGCGAAACAGAATGCCAGAATGCGACAACCTCGTGCACAAGCATTTGGTCACAGTGGTGCACATTTTGGTAGACAGGTCTGTTCCTTCAGAGAACAGAGTACTGGAAGCAGAGGGACCAGTGTTCGAGTCGCTTTCTGGACGGAGACTCCAATGAATT